ATTAGCGTGTTTCTTCTGCGACAAAACCTTTTTAGAATATTTTTTCATGAAAATCGCTATTTTTGGGTTTAAGTCTCAAATGACGCGACCCGAAAGGTGTCATCTTGGATTTCACTGAAATAGGTTTTACATAAACTTCGCCTTAGCAGCGAGCTATGATGTTTTCTGATGATATCTTTACGGGAAAAGTGTAAATTGTGAATAGGTACTCCACTCTGAAATACAGGCAAGCGTTTTAAAAAGTTGAAATTATGTTACAAGCGTATATTTGCCAAATTCTATTCTAGTCTGTCTTTTTGAATAAATGGAATTTTTTACTCTCAAAGATTACCTGTACATTAAGCAGATACCATATCCAAGAAATAATGATAACAGTTTCTGTCTCTAGCCAGAACACAATTGCACATACTTTTAGTTACTTTTGACAATTATTAGCAGTAAATTTTTATCACTAAAAATTATATTTCATTTCATCTTAAAACACAACATTTAAGTTGGCTGAATTGAAAATATAAATTTTTTTTCTCTAGTAGGCAAGCTGCACCTTGAAGGCAATTGGTAATACAAACAATCATACTGTTAAGTCAACAGATAATGTTTTTCACACTGAATACTTACTGCTCTGGATATTTCCTCATTAAAAAAATGATTGATAGTGTCTGCCATACTCCCACTTTTTGTAGAAAACACCCTCTTTTTCTGTAGTTAGTATAAATATTAACAATTTCCTGTCATTGTGCTATGATGTGTCAACATTTTCTAACTCTAAATTGACAAGTTCTGCAGATGAAGTAATATGCTGATTTGTAGTTTATATGAAAGACTTGCATTAACATATGAACATTTTGTAATCTCAATTTTTTCAGAAACACTCTAATTTGCATCAAAATCATCTGTTCATTTCAAGTGACATAAAGCTCCCAAAATTTTTTTAAAAGAATATGACTTTACAAATATTATTTCAAATTTTCTAAGGTTCATAATTTTTTTTCAGTTTGGAACAGGAAAAATAATGATCAGTTCTTAATCCTTTAACTCCCATGAGTGACCAAGAGAGCATTTCTTCATACAATATCAATACAACACAAGCAGACAGGTATTAGTTGATCTAATACCAAATTCTTAGCACCAACACGATAAAAATTGTTTAGCAAATAGCTGGGAGATTTTCTCATCAGATCTTGGGTGTGAAAGGGTTTATTATAGAACAGCATTTGTTATGTATTTAAAATGATGGCTGTCAATTATATTTTCATAATGTTGTGGAAAGGGGCATCTTGCTTTCAGAGAGTTTTGCACATCTGTAAAGATATTTCCTGGAAGAGATTAATAGAATCATGTTTTAGTAAGACATCTGTTTAATTGTAGTCTTTTTGACTGTAAATAATTTCACAGCTTTACTTATATCAAATCTTTGCAAGTGTTGAGATGTTATTTATATCTAGAACCATGAATTTCTGTAATTGCCTGCTAGGAATTAACTGAAGAACCTTCCTGCTGAAATAAGCTGGTTGCTGCTCAGGGATCAAATTAGATGAAAAAACTGATTATGTAATCTATGCTGTTTTTTCTGAGTGTATAGGTTTTTGTGTAAAACTTCATGGTAAATTACTTTTTTTTAGTTTAAGTGCAGTATTTTAGATGTATAAACAAAAGAATTGTTAAGATTTAGAGGGGTAGTTCTACTGACTACGGTAAGAAGTTAGATTTATGCTATTAAATTTGCTGTGACTGTATTCATTTAGAATGTTTTTGCTACAGACAGAACAATGTAACAGTGATTGCTAAGAAGTCTTCAGTAATATATTTTTTTTTCAATAGATAGTTACATATTTACATTTTGAGGGCAGGAGTTTAAGGTTATGTTTTGAATACCAGAGGCAAAGTTTGAAGCAGGAGGAAACAAAATGGCAGCATAACCACCTTTAGGGCAGGAAATGAAATCAGCAAACAATGCCCTTCTTTTCTCTAAAGCACAAGTGTCAAATAAAATAGCCAGGACAAAAAATTAAACAGTTGGGTTAAAGTCTAGGTTTTCCCGCGCTTACTAAAAGCATGAAATGGGAACATATTTGAATGGAAAGTGTTACTAACCAAAGAGAGTTTGGGCTTTTAAAAGGACCTTTTTTGCTAAGTTAGATTTTAATGAGATTTGTTTTCATGCTTGGAATTTTTATGGTTATGGTATGGATGTAGTTCTGATAAATTATTTTCTTGATCTGCAAATACCAGGGCTAAAAGAAGGATTTTACAAGTATTTATCAAATTTCAAATTTTGCTGTAAAACCCCCATTGGAAGAGAAACTGATAAATTACTGAAGCATGTCACAAGTTGGATTAATGACAGATTTGTTTCAATGGATCAGAGAAATTGCAAAATTATGACTTAGTATTTGTCTTTAATATTAATATCTACCTCTGAGCCATTTTGTGTGTTGGCTTTGCCTTACCAGGATTGCTTATCAATTTATCAATAACTCACTGAAAAGAAAGAACAAAGACTCTTTCATTATAATTTTTTCCCAAAGGGGATACTGTCTGTATCATATGAAATGCTTCACTTTTGAAACTGAAAATGCTCTATGCTTGAGTTGTGGATTACAACTTCAGATTATGGGTTTATGGCATCTGCAATACCTTAATTTCTCAGTTCCTGATGTTGAAGGCTCAATATCTCTGATAACAGTTCTTTGTGAATAAAATTTGCAAACCCAGTAGACTGTGATGAAACACAAAATTAGGGATATTGTGAACATAATTTCCCTCATGCAGTGATTTGCATGGTCAATGAACATAACTTTGGAAATTGTATTGCTTAAGTGCCATGGAGTGTTGCACTTATTCTGTGCATTTCCAATATAATTACAAAAGAATTTTATTTGTAGAAAATGTCTTATAAACTAAATTATTTAAAACAAACTGAAACAGATATACATGGGTCTTGGGACCTTACAATCTTATGTGTAGTACTGTTAATATTGTTTGTTCACAATCAGGAATTTCACTTTTAATGTAGCATTATATACTCATGTACAATTCCCTTTCATCTGATGCCTGATCATATTCCATCTGACTGATATATTTTTAGGGATATTTTACAATATGTTGTGGAAGTTGCAAGGCTTGGTTCTTAATGTTAAGCAGATTAAAAATAGAGAAATTAAGGGAAAATTTTTTGAGACATAAATGGCAACCAGAAGAAGATTTTAACTAGTAATTCTGGTGTGCTTTCATGCCAATGCACATGTATTGAGGTTAAGGTCACCATTTTGCATTTTGAACCAACTTTTGCTGACCAAAAAGGTGTACTAGGCTCCAGGAAGGAGAACTTTTAACTTCTAGCTGCTGTTGCCATCTAAAAAAAACATTTATTGCACTTAAGCTCCCTAATGTGTAGTTACTACCTCATGGAGTTACAAAATCATTTATTTTTGTAAGTATTGTCAGAAAAAAGGGTGATTAGCAAACAAACATTTGTAGTCTGCTTCATTTGGATTTCAAGTTAAAATGTCTCAGTTTTGATTGTTGTTTTAGGCAGATGATGGATACTGATCCTATACCTGAGAATGATCAGGAAGACCATTTGATTGGTGTAACATTGGACACAGTTGCAATGAATACAGGAAATGATCAGCAAACCTTAGAAACACTGCCATCTGGTGGCTCAACTGTGTCTCCATTAATAGAGAATTCAGTTGGACATATGAACAACTCTCTTTCTACTGCATCAGTTATCTTATCTTTGGATTCTGACCCATTGGGAGATGATGTGGAAGTGAATCAGCCAGATTGTGATACAAATGTAAGTTGTGAAAGTAAATCATTTATATCCAGCTGTAAAAAATTCATAAACCTTTTTTGTAATGAAACAAAATAGTTTATGTATATATGTTTATATGTACATCTCTAGATTTACTTGATAAGTAGAGAGAATTGGTATACCTCATTTATTAGATTAACCCTTTAATTCCCATAAGTGACCAAGACAGAATTTCTCCCAACAGTATCAATACAATATCAACCAGATAAGTGATGAGAATAAAGAAATATATCAATTTGGGGATAATTAGTTGATCCAATACGAAATTCTCTGAACTAACATTATAAGAACTGTATGGTTGACAGTAAGGAGAATGACAAATTTGATCTGTGTGTCAAAGGGTTAAACACAGCAGCATGTATTAAATTTTTGTGATTCAAATGTGGTGTTTATTCGAGGGCAGTGTTTACATGAGGGCAGTGTTTATAAAAAATACAATTTATGTCTTGCAAACAATACTAAAAGTAACTAAACATTTTAATTTTAAGAAACAGGAACATGTTTTAGTGCTTATCTAAAAAACATTTTTTCTATTCTCAATTTCATGATTTGCATATTAATACTACTGTAATGCATAAAGTGCATAAAGATGGTAAGTCAGATATGCTTTCTCGACATCAGAACTGGTACATTAAAACAAATTTGTGTCTGATTCACTCAAAATTTTCAACTGCAATCGAAGCAATGATCACTGTGTGCTTTTCAAGTCTATTACTTGAATTAATGCCATGTCATGCTGCAGTCTTTATTGGAGGTGGTGTTTATTATTATTTGTACTCTAAAATGCAGCGTTTATTCAAGGGTGGTTTTAAACTTGAATTACTTTTCTTTATTTTAGCAGCAGTATCAAATTTTCTATTTCATCTGTTGAAACAACTGTGAAATAGTTTTGATTGTTTTTCTAGTGTATTGTTTGCATTTGGTGATTTGTTTCTTTTTTTGTGTTTATCTTTTGATGAATGGGATACTTGAGTTAATGATTTTCATTTCTGTAAATGTTCTTTATATGTAATTGATGAAGGAGAATACTTTCCACAAAGCTGTTGTTAAGCCCATTGGTCATTTGTAGGGAGCACATACTGAAATTGGTGAGAGTAGGGAAGACGACTCTCTTGCTAACAATGAAGTAGTAGAAGACCAAACAACAGAAGAGAATGGAGCCACAGAAGAAGTTGTTACCATGAGAGATGCTAGTGAAATGCCACCAACTCCTTCAGCTTCTTTTGAAGACAAAGGAACAGATGATTTCTTGCATGACCAGGATGACAAGCCTGTCAAATTTGGCAAAATTGTAGATCCTCATGTGCTGGGCTGCTGTGAATTCTGTGGAGGTCCAGTAAAGAGGCGTCGCTATTGTTCTCCTCTGAAGCGATTCTGCTCTAAGGGTTGCTCTCGCAGTTCTAGAAAAGCCAACCAAAAGGTATGTGATTTTTAAAATTATCATAAAATAGGAAACAGGACATTGCCTGGAATGAAAGAACATCAGACAAAATTAAATGCGACCAGAGCAAGTCTCTATTTGTCAGCCTGAGTTCTCCCAGGTGTTGTAGAGCTGGCAAACACAAAACACAAACAAAAAACACAAAAGCTGGTGGGAGGGGGGGGGGAGGAGGGGGGGAGGGGCACTGGCTTTCCTCACACCATCCCTTTCTTTTGGGATGTTTGATATATCTGTATCTTTCAGAAGAAAGAGGATGAAGACAACGGACAGGACTCTGACGAAGGAAGCACCACAGGAGGTTTGTTTCTCTTTTTGTAAGTTTCTGGTATGTCATAAAAGATGTTCAGAATTACAATGTTATTGCTTTAACTTTGTGTTGGTTCTTATACTGGTTTATTGTGTAAATACACCAAATTCACAGTCATTTATTTATCATTTCATGGGTTTATTTGGAACCAACATAGTTACCAACTCCCTCTTGGCTTGTTTGCTCAGTTGGCAGAACACTGCACTGGTATTGTAGAGGTCATGGGTTCAAATCCCATACAGGTCTGAATGTTTTTTAGGCCTTATTTTCACTGCTGCTTTTATTGTTCATTACTGCAAAGACTGCATTAGTGAGAAACACTTACAAGCTAGTTTTCAGGTACTGCACAGAAAATTAAATGAAACAGAGCAAAATACAATGAATAAATGTAATATCATCTAGTTCCCTTTTGATATGATTCACTGTAGTGATTGAAGTACTTTTAAATAAAATCACCCTTTTTACAAATTTTGATGTGGATTGGATAAGAATAGCTGATCTAACTTATGTATCTAATTTTGAAATTCTGCAGTCACTGAAGGTGAAACTCCCCATAAATTTACTTGGAGTGATTATATGGAAGCAGCTTTAAGCAAAGCTGCCCCTGATTGCTGCTTCAAACATGTGAGTATGCATGATTAAATGAATATAAAATGTGAAGTGTTTGATTGCATGGTGTTTCTCGTTATAACCCACCTACTAATTTTTGCATAATTCTCTTGGCTGCTTTACGCGATGTGGTGCCAAATTACTAGATGGTTATCATGTGATAATCCCCATCTACATGAATAAGAGTCCTCAGGTTATTTTTGGTTTATGTACTAATAGTTGATTTTACAGTTGTGTGCTTGGTTGCCAAGCTTTTGAACAGGAGTGAGGCTAAAGTTGACCTTGTTATGATATAAACATTGCTGCTTTTCAAATGTAACTTAATTTATTATCATGCTAACTAGATACTGGTCTCTATTACAACAAGTTCACCTTCAGCCTCACTCCAGATCAAAGGCAGGGCTACTAAGTACACAATTGTAAATTGGCCTATTAGAGGGTCATTCTGAGGAGGATCATGTGTATGATGGTATTTAATCAATGCTTAAAGTCTTGGTATTGCAGAACATGTAAATTCCTTAAAATATCAGTACAATTCCCTCAAACAACAGGCTTGTAGACAAGAAAGTGGTCAACAGGTTAAGATTAGAACTCAAATAGATTTGGTACAGAAATTTTGTTCCCATCTCCTTTACAGATGGGCCACATAGCTTAACCACAGATCAGCACCAGCAGTTATAGGCCAATTTAATCTTTCAAATTAGCTCTCTTAAATCCCATGGTATCTATGAATGCTTTTCATTCAACTAATTTGTTCTTGTTTTTCATGTTACCATGTTCCTGTTAGTAGGGTACCTCTAGTTTTTTAGGGACATAAAACACACACAAACTGCTATTTTTCTATTTGCTCCAACGAAAGGCTAACATTCAAAATGTCTTTATCAACTCACTGACGTAGTAGCTCACAGTTTCTTTAGAAACTTACCCCAAATGTTTGATTTTTAAATCCCCTTCATCCTCAACAGACAACTGTGGATGTACCAGGCCTTAAACCAGGAATGAAACTTGAAGCTGTTGACAGGAACAATCCCCCTTCGTTTTGTGTTGCAACAGTCATTCAACAGGTTGGGCACAGGGTGCGTATACGTTATGATGGCTTTGGAAAGGACAATAGCAATGACTGCTGGTGTAATTTCCAAGCAGAGGAGTTACATCCCATTGGTTGGTGTGCACAGAATGGCTATCCTCTCCAACCACCCAAAGGTAAGATCTAAGTATCATCTCTGCCATTATTCCTAGACCAAGGGTCTCAGTGCTGGCAGTATCAGAAGGTGATCAGAAGGCAGAGATGGAAATGGATAGGGGCACACCCTTTGCAAACTAACATCAAGTGTCACAAAGACAGGCCCTCTGCTGGAATCCTCAGGGTAAGAGAAAGAGAGGACAACCAAGGAAGACCTGGCATCATGACCTCGAGGCTGACATCAGAAAGATTGGCCACTCATGGTGCCAATAAGAAAGGATGGCCCAGAACAAAGATCTCTGGCAGACTATTGTTGATGGCCTATGTGCCAGGTGGAGCAATGGGCTTAGATTGGTGGATAGATAGATAGATAGAAGGGTTTTAGTAAAAGCTAGTTCCCAGTCAGGTTTAATTTCTACCGTTTTCTTGAGAAATGAGCAGTAGTGGGCAATCAAGCCAGTTATCATCTGTCAACCAGTTCTTACAAAGCCTTGTACAATCTAGCTGATTAAATGATTCCTGTTCTCTTTTGAGTTATTCATTTTATTTTTGGCTCATTAACATTCGTATTTTTGATTATCTGAACTCTTGTTTATCCATACTGGTAGGTATAAACAGTACTCTTGAAGACTGGAGGACATTTTTAACTCAGACTCTCACAGGAGCTCTGGCTGCACCTCATGATCTGTTTAGAAAGGTGTGTGACTGTCTTAACCCTTTAACTCCCAAGATCTCATTAGTAATTCTCCTTACTGTCTGCCATACAATTCTTGTGATGTTAGTGTGGAGAATTTGTTATTGGATCAACTTGTAATCCCCTAATTGATATTTTTCTCTCTTCTTGTCACTTGTCTGCTTGATATTGTATTGATATTGTAAAGAGAAATTCTGTCTCGGTCACTCACAGGAGTTAAAAGGGTTACTAAACTGTAAATATCATATAAAAGCCTTTGTCAAAATAGTTTACAGGCCTGAATTTTTTCAGGCTTCATTATTACTTCTGCTTAAGCAGTAGTCATTACTATGATGATAGCTTTCATATTCATTTCTTAAATGGCAGTTTGCATATATGATTTTCACATGTTCACGGTCATTGATTCATCACTTCACAGGTTTATCACAAAGCAACATAATAACCAGCTCCCAGTTGGCTTGTTAGCTCAGTTGGTAGAGCACTGCACCTGTATTGCAAAGGTCATGGGTTCAAATCCCATGCAGGTCTGAATTTTTTTCAGGCCTTATTTTCACTATTTCTAATAAGTAGTGTTCATTACCACAAAGATCACTTTCATATTCATCAAAATAGTTTTTTTTTTGCTAATTAGGCAAACAATTGTTATTTTCTTGCAATAAAATTCATTTTATTGATGTGATTTTCAGAGTGGTCCTGATGATAAACCCAGGCATATCAAAATGAATTAAAACTTGGTTCAATAAAAAGTTACTTGTCATAATTGTGCAAATCAACATGTGTTAAGAAAAACATAAACCCAAAAACCCAAGTGCTAAAAACACTAAGATAGATTGTATTAAAGTCTCTATCATGAATATTGTTTGAAAGACTTTGGAATGGATCCTTTTGATAGTTTTTGGTTTGAAATTATGTCTTATTTTTATCCTGTGAGACTAAGATACCTAACACTGAGTGTGAAAGGTATATTTCAAGCAAGAAGGCCATTCAGGCATCTTGGTTTCTTTTAGTAGGTAAATTCCATTATTTAGGGGCTGCAACAAAATAATAGAAATTATAATTATAATTTTTTTTTCTTTCAATTTTTCATTTGCCACATAGACTCAAGAACACTTCCAACCAAGAGTTCATGGGTTTGAAATTGGCATGAAATTAGAAGCTGTTCACCCGATGAAGCCATCAATCATCTGCCCTGCAACAGTCACCAAGAGCTTGGGACCCTACTACTTTGCTGTTACTACGGACTACCAAGAAGGTGTGCCCGCAGTCACATTTTGTTGCCATAGTGACTCTCCAGGGATTTTTCCTGCAGGCTGGTGTTCCAGACACCAAGTGGATTTGTCTGTTCCTGGAAGTAAGTGTTAACTGTTTAACTCCCAAGATCTGATTGTTAATTCTCCCCTCCACCTTTACACAATTCTTGGTGAATTTGGTATTAGATCACGATAACAACTTCTGCCTGATAAGTTTTGGTATTCTCATTTGCCGATTGCTAGATACTGTAAGGATATTATAGGGAGAAGTTTTATGTTAATCACTTCAGGGCGTAATAAGGTTAAGTGTTGTAAGGTAGAGATTTCTATTTGTGGGCCACCCATTCAAGTGTGTGGAGACAGGGGGCAACAGGAGCAAGGAGAGGAAAGTTTCAGTGGTGGGAAGGGATAACTTTATAAGGGTGGGGAGCAGGAAGGAAGTCAATTATGTGATGTTGTGTTTATCAAGGAGATATTGGAACAGGGTATGGGAAAAAGAAGCAGATGTTTCACCTCACTGAGGTGTTGTGTATCCCATTGTGAGTGGTAGCCCTTAAATTCACTCTTACATAATCAGGGTTCTTGTGCAATTGTTTATGTTTCAGGCTACACCAAAAAGACCTTTGCATGGGACAAATATTTAACTGTATGCCGGTCAACTCTTGCCCCTGCTCATCTGTTTCGGGTAGGTTTAGTATTTTTCCATATGACGCACAAGACTTCTTTTTTCCTTTGCCACTATTTTTTAGTCTTCTTTTTATCTTGCTGAACTTTGATATCTCTTCATCCAGAAAATGAAAGCCCATAAATTCAAACCTGGGATGAAACTAGAAGTGGTTGACCTAGAGAAGCCACACATCATTCGAGTGGCCACCATAACAAACATCATGGGTCGTATGCTGCAGCTTTTCTTTGATGGACAATCCAAGTTCCAGTTTGTGGATTTTGAATCCCCAGACATATACCCCATTGGCTGGTGTAAAAGAACTGGACACATACTTCACACTCCATTTGGTACAAGTAAGTGTATTGTTTACTTTTCTAGTCATTGGCCTGGGGGAGTGGAGTTTTGTGAGCACTAACAACAGGCTCCTTAGGGTGGTTGAGTCACTGTGTCCTTGACTGCAATAGCTGAGGAATTTGTGTGCACTTAGAAGGCCAGTGCTAAGTGTCATAACAGAGAAAACCAGCATTGAAGCTTCAAGTGGTTTGGGACACTAAACCATATGCTCTGTTGGCTACAAAAGTCTGTGAAATTTCTTTGTTCTTTTGTAGAAGGCATGACATTATGCTGTTTTGGGGAACAGTTTCTTCTCAAAATTTCCAATATTAAGTTATGGATGTCTAGGTGTGACTCTGTCTCTGTTCCCTGTGTAGTAAGTAAAATCAGCAGAAAAAAAAATTGGTGCCACATTAAGAGTGGAGGGTATGAGGCAGCTAGAACACAGAGTTGAGTCAATGACATATTTGTAATTACTGGGCTTCAATTTTTTAGAATGTTTCTCTTTTATTAATTGCTTATGTGTACTTTTTCGTTCCTTTTTTCCTAGTTCCTTCTGATGCATCCAGGTCAGTTTATAGGCTTTCTTTTCCTAATTGCAGTTTATTTGCATTCTACAGCATCCTGAATATCATGCAATTGCATGGATGCATTATTTAACCCATTAAATCCCAGAGGTGATCAACATGTAACTTCTCCCCTATAATATCCATACATTACACAGCAAACAGGTAATGAGAATACTCGAACATATCAGGTAGAGATTGTTCTCTTGATCTAACACCAAGTTCTTGTAACTAATTTAAAAGGAATGTGTAACAGCTAGAGGGGAGAATTAACAATCAGACTTTGGGATTTAAAGGGTTAAGTTCTTTTGTTTGATATGTTTTGACTGATGATGTTTGGTATCTAAACAAGAGTTCCTTTGTCTTTCACATGCTAATCCTCAAGTTGCTCAAAATAGCCACATTTCTCCAGCTATCAGTTACCTTTTTTCCCTGAAATTAAAATGGCAGATTTTAGGGGCATAATCATCTTCTTTTTTGTAACACCCTTTACCCTTTAACTCCCAAGATCTGATTATTAATTCTCCCCTCTAGCTGCTACACAATTTCTGGTAAATAAGTGAAGAGAATTTGATGTTAGATCAAGACAACAGCTTCTACCCAATAAGTTTGAGTATTCTCATAACCTGTTTGCTGGATACTATGTGGAAATTATAGGGAGAATTTACATGTTAGTCATCTCTGAGAGGTAAAGGATTAAAGAAATTTTGAGTGATAACCCAAGGATGTTCAGGGTGGGTATGGATGTGTGTTAAGCTCTCAATACATGTTTTGGCCTCTTACTGTAATTTCCGGCCGTTTACCCGCGTGTAATCTGTTGATTTTGCATTAAACGCGCGCCACTGCGGGTAATAGGGAGGTGCGGGTTGTGTGACAGTTCGAAAATCTACAGGTAGTTGAATTGAAAAAAATTATCACCTACATGCGTTTCCACCTCTCAAATGAATTTTATTGAATTAAGAGTGCCACGAAGCGGCACGAAAACATGATGCCGACTCGAGTTTATTTCACGCATAATTAGTTGCGTGACGAACAAATTGTTATCGGCACGCGTGAAAACAAAACCTTGATGGTGACAAAAATAATCCAAAGACATCCCGCGCATCAGTAACAAATTTCCATTGAGCACTAGCTTGAGCTAAAGAGAATTTTCACGTTTTAAGGGACTTGTTAGGCTCAATAGAACCGGAGATATCTATTTTTTTCAGGAATCGCCGACCCAGCTTTCTTTCAACAAATCAACATGGCGCTGAACGATCGCTCGCACAAAATGTGGCCACAAATTCGCATTCTGTCAAGTATAAAACGTTGAGATTTGGGCATGGGCCGCTAGTGTTTTTACTGTATAATTTCATCAATAAAGTACATGCTAATATTGACACAGAATTGTGCACGCGTCTGAATTTCTTTGACCTTTAAACTGGACAAAGAAGCTTTCAAGCTTTCGAAAGTTAGATCAGACAACTTTTAAAAGACTGAAATGTATCACCTTAATGTCACGTTTTCGCCACCAAAAAGGTTGAGTAACATAACGTGCGGGTTATCCACCGGTGCGGGTAATCTGTTGCCTTTTTTTTCGCCGTATGCAATAATCGGCCGGTGCGGGTAATCGGCCGTGCGGGTAATCGGCCGGAAATTACGGTAGTTCTTCCTTAAATCTATGGCTCACCTCCTGAGTTGCTTTGATCTTGTGAAGTTGAGCAAATCTGTCCAAATTGGAACAGGCTGATTTTGCTGATGATAATGAAGGAGGAATGTGGGTATTTCAAGCTATTAACTAGTTGTTTGTAGAAACTACTGCGCTTTTATAATAAAAAGTAACTTAACATCAAATTAAAATCCTTTGTCGTCCTCTGGCATGCAGCTCAGATGAGGAAGACACTCTAGTACTACCCTCATTTCTGGAGGTCATGGGAAGGCAGAACCAAACCCAGTCAGGACAACAAGCCCTGGGTAAGTCAACCTTTTAATCAATGTTAACACCTCTGAACTGTTTCTTGTAATAGGCGCTATGGCAAGTTTTAAGAAATATATGAAACAATGAATGCTTTAGCAACATTACACATTCATGCATCGTACTGTTCAATCATTTTCTCCCTGCCTCTTATGGTCAACTTTATTAGTTGTTAGACTCAGCTGTTAAGTTACTATGTCTTTGGAAAGGATATAAGAGACATTTTAACTCTCTTTTCCCCCCCCTCCCCCCATAAAGTTTTGCAAAGAGCAAAACCAATATTTTTGGTATCATTGAAATTAAGGGAAGGAGTGTTCCAAATGTTACGTTTGTTTTATCAAGGATTGTGGGTAATAAGACTGGAACCTAGCCAAGGAATTAACCCTGTACTCCCTGACATCAGTATGCCTATTCTCCACACTGTTCTCTATAAATTTCCTAAGGTCTGATTAGGATAACTTGTTTAACAATCAAGAGATTCTTCTCCTTTTTTCTTGTGACTTTAATGTTTGATTCAGGGGTGATTTTGTGGGGAGAAATTAGATTTTAGTCACTCTTAGGATCAAAGGGTTAAGGATATGGTTTAAATTTGCTTGTTGTGTGCTGGATTGTTTTTTTCTTCCTACCTTAGTTTAACTCTTGCAGAAAGGGACTCTTCTCTTCAAAATGAGTATGATAAGGGGAAAGCAACTTGGGTTGATGCAAAGTGTAAGGGTTGTCTGTCTCCTTGACGAATTGACTGAGAGACAATCCAAACAATGGATGTGTACATTAGTTGTTGTGAATATATTTTTGATATAAAATGTTTTGCTTTTGCTCACTTTTAGGAATTTTACCGAGAAAGATCCCAGCTGTGAGGTTAGGGAAGTTTTCTACTGATTTGATTGATTTTAGCTCAGACAAAATTCTTTTTTGACTCACCATGAATTGCGGGTGCAAAACGCAAGCGAAGTCCTGGGCTCAACCTAAAGTACGTACTCATCTTGTGAATGAAAAATAGGAGAAGCTGGTTGTAGCGGTGACCAGGAAGGTTGGGGGGGGGGGGGTGGGGGTGGTTTTGGCACAACCGGACAGGTACAGATTGTAGCATATTGCCTGGGCCTATCTAAGCAATGTGGGGCGGGGGCGAGGGGGAATTTGGTGTTATCTGTTTTAGGCTTTAAGACGCATCTCCGCAATTCCGTATTCGTATGGGCTTTTCCTCCAAGCAAAGAACGATGGTGTTACTTATTTGTGTTTGTTGTGCTTACAGCAAAATTGAAAAAGATGACAAGTCTCCAGGCGAAGAAAGTGACATTAGTGATGATGACACAGGTAAGAGATGATGGAAGATTTGGGACGCTAATATCGATACGATAATCCTGGACTTGGGTCGCTAATACTAGCACAAAGTTCCTGGACACGTTTAATCGCGCAAGGCTCAACTGACAGACCATTTGAACTCTGTGAACTGTGAAATGCTGTGAAATTTTCATGGGAGCCACAGTGTCGTTTAGGTTATTTTTCCCTCAAGCAGTTTCCTTCGGCACCCAAATTCCGAAATAGTATGGAAATTTGCCACAGAATTTTTGAGGAAAAAAAACTAGTTGAAATTAAGATAGAACTTGAAGGTTTTTCCTTGTTCCAAGTTGCCGCAAGTGTTGGTTGACATCTATGTGACCGGTAGGTATGTCGACCTATAACTTTCCGTATGGTATGGTCAGAGTTATTTTTGCGCTGAAAAAATTGTACAAACCTTGATTTGGACATGAGTATTAGTATTAAGTATTAACTCAAGGGGGGAAAAACTCTCTTTGATGAAACGCCCACAAAAACTTGCTTGATCCTTTTCTCAAAGACTCTTGCTTTTGTTCAGGGTCAGAACGATTTTATCACAACAAGAACCAGATCTTCTTTAACAAGAGCTGTTGCTATGGACCCCTGTTAGACCCGGACAAGGTGTCACAACTGCCCGAGGCTACCCCTCCTGGGAAGGTCAGTAGCGTTATACGCACGGGGCTGGAGATGGTAGCCAAGGCAGCATTTGATCCAGAAAAGGTTATAGATTTGATGCAGGAGGGATGCGGAGTGCGGGTAGTGGTAAAACACAAAGGCAAGATTCTTAAAAAGGTAAGAGGGAATATGTCTTTTTGACTCTGTTTCCTTACAACACGCTTTCAACGGTGCCTATCGGAGCAGTGGAAGGGATGATTTTTTTTAGCGCGAAATCGAATTTTCTGGAGTTTGATTCTTGTCAGGAAACCCACAATTTTAAGTTATTGTATTAAAAAAAAAACTCTATGTTAGCGTATCGAGTGGTATGTTGCTCGCACCAATCAGATCGCTGCATTTGGGTATGTATCTCGCAGCAACCAGATCTCCGCATTTGGGTATGTATCTCGCACCAATAAGGTCGCCTCATTAGGGTATGTATCTCGCACCAATCAGATCACAGCATTGGGGTATGCCTGCACCAATCAGAGTATGAAATTAGAGTACTGCAAAATTTTGCGATGGAATTAACCCAACATGAACGTGCACCACAAATGATATATTAACAAAGAATTGTGAGCTCATCTACCTACTGTAATGGTTCGTGTCCTTCGTGAGGACTTCGTCGCTATGACCTGTCGGGGTTAGAAAGGTCGTCAGGGAACTGTCTACCATTTAGAAGTGAAAACGTGATTTGTGTACCGCTCCTTTACTTCTTACACTTACGCCGTCATACAAAGGCCTTACTCGAAACTATCAGTGGAGCCCTTTTTTTTTGGTTAGAAAGGTCGTCAGGAAATTGTCTACCATTTAGAAGTGAAAACGTGATTTGTGTACCGCTCCTTTACTTCTTACACTTACGCCGTCAAACAAAGGCCTTACTCGAAATTATCAGTGGAGCCCTTTTTTTGGAAGGGCTATTTTTGCTGACTCAGGTAAAAATTGCGCGAAGCATTAATACCAGTAAAAAATATTTGATCGTTGATTTTTTTTTTGCCATGTGATTGCTCTTTTGGCGAAGGTTTAAAACGTCAGAAAGTTGCATTTACTTTGTGATTACTTGTCACTATTAACTATACTTTCTCAGATGAAGGCCATTTTCCAGTGAACAACCTAAATTTTACGACATAATCCTACTTTATTTGGTCAAATTTCCATACAATTCTCACGTTCTCAGACGTTTTCTTCCAATCAAATTCGCGTTTAGCTACCTTAGACTTCACCCCATCACGAGTTGATTCCTTTTAAAGAACCTGCATTTTATCACGTATTCAGCCCACGCAGGGCGGAGTCCAGATAGGCAACAACCATTTAAGAAGCCTACGTTGTTATGCCCTCGTGAAAGTCTTTGAAATATGAAACTTTTTTCTTCAGCCAAAGTATTTTCACTTTTCCGCCAAATATCTTCGTTTAGAGGCTACTGGGGACAAAACAGAGTTTCGGTTTACTTTCCATAGCAAAATGATGTGGAAGAATATTTTATGAGGCAATCAAGTCTAAATAGGGAGTTTATGATCCACGTTTGCTTCTGAATACGTGTGACCGCAAACGTCTAGGAGTCACGTTACCAGACTCTAGCGGTCAAGGTCGCCGTTTGCGGTCCACGCTTGAACTTCGGGCAAGGCAGTTTCAGGTACTTCAACTCCCTGGACGCTTTTCCTCTTCCTTTTCGAAAGATCTCACTTATTTCCTATAAATAGATGTGGGGTGAAGTCTTTTCTTTATAACTAATCCTTGTGGGACACATTTTGTCTTTGAAATGAAGGACCTTCATCCTATGTGTAATTCAAGATGGCGGCGCACATGTTGACATGTCGACGTCGATCGAAAAAGCTGAAAGTCTCGAGACTTCTAACTTCTAACCACAAACTGCTGACCGCGGTGTGACGTTAGCGGTGAACACACCAAACGTGAACTCTCTAAAGACTTTTGTCTCTGACGAAAGAACGCCAGTAAAAATGGTCTCAGCCTGATCCCTATTGAACGATATTTTAATTTGAATCTTTTGAAAGTAAATACACATTTTCCTTTGTAAAAATTCAAACATCAATTTCTTTGTGTCCCATTTCAAACCTCCCGTCCAAAAATATAACTTTTGCATGCGTAGCAGGCGTGTGTTTCTTCATTGTCAATGGGTCGCGACAAAGATCGAAGAATAGAAGACTAACATCTAATTTTTACGTACAATGTCACCCTTGAATCACCCATTAAGGTCCCAAGAATAAAGAAAATGTTCACCCACTAAATATGGAGATTATGTATACTGATGTTAGTGTTTAAAGGGTTAAGTATTCTTGTTGCGGATAAAAAAACGCACGTGTTGGTGTGCACCCAATTTTTCCTCCTAGGCTGAACTCTTTGCGTAATCACTGTGAAGTTGTTCATGGGTAACACCCGTTTTCGAAGATTTCGAGAATCCTGTTTCGCGAAATTTGCTGTTCCCGTACCACTTCCTTTTCGTTCGCCACCAAAACCATGGAATATACTTTGTGGTTGTAATACATTTCCCTCGAGACCACAGTCCCCAAACTCAACATTAATTCTTATTTACCGTCACGAAATTTGAACCTGGCACAATCGTACTTCAAAGCTGTTCAAAGTGCTCTTGTATCGGTCCTCAAGCGCGTATGACGCAATAATAAATCGCTTACATGGCGAACGGTTGGTTTGGCTCACCAGAAGAAAAATGAAAATTAATTAAAGATACGGTTCAGACCTCGTGCTTTCATCAGAGGAAGCGAGATCGAATTGAGATCGAATTTAGATCGGCGGGATCAGATCAGCAAAACCTGCCCTTTGAGTTTGATTCCAAAACCGAACTCAGTCAACCAAACTTTATTCATATTGAGTGAAAAACAAACTCAACTGCTGACAAAATACTTTGAAAGCTCATAAAAAAAATTAATACCTGAGGGTCATTTGGTGAAAATTTCACCGGCTGAGTCGTTTGATATTCAAATAGCCGTTAATTTTCTCCTTGTTTATTCAGGGTTTTAGGTTCAGTTCATGATTAAATCGAGGTATTAACTTGTCCTTACATATACTGGTATCGTATCTGTTTTATCAACAGGCGATTTCGCGCGTGGATTCGCGACCGAAGTTGGAGCGCTACCTGAAGAGATTTTGCAGACGACTCATTTGTTGTGAATTCTTTTTGAGTTTAAAGCCGGTACCAACGCCATGCCCCGATCGCTGCCAAGCTGACGGTGGGAAAGAGTTACTTGTACTCGATGTAGTAAAAAAAATACACATATGTGATGGCCAAAAAAAAGTGGAGACTTTCTACTGTCGGATATGTTGTGGAACAGGCTGAATGAGAAAAGAGTGTTATCTGAACTCTCAAAAAATTAGATATTTGGTTTTTATTTCATCGCTGTAGAGCGTTAATTTTGAAGTTTGTGCTAGATTACGTATGTTAATATTAAGTGTCAACGTTTTAGTTATTTAATCAATGTTTGGGAAGTACTTAAAAAACGACATACATCACTGACAAAGAGACTAAACTAAACAAAAAAAAAACAGTACTCATTTTCCTGCGCTATAATTTTTTTTTCGCGGACGGCTGGTTTATTAAAGTAATCGCGCTCCCTCTAAATACAGATGTCGAACGATGAAGTTTCCTTCCTTTAAATAAATTAACATAAACTTTTCTCACTTAAGACTTCCTGAGGAATTAATTACGCAAAACTTTTTTTCAAGTCCATTTAGTTTTGTTACATGATTGGGTGATGAGGCTTTTAAATGATCTAGGATAATGCATTTTTTCCAATTAAAAACGAACATTTTGAACAGAAAAGTTGAATAGTCTGCCGCCAGGTACCAGCTGACATCGAAAGAAAGAATTCTCGTTAATAATTTATGAAGAAGCCGAGTGACGATATCAGTCTTTTACAACTTTGAATTTAGCTAGATCTTTGCTCATCTTGTTCCAACGGCGTTTGAAATAATGTTGGGAAATGTGACTAAAATTCTCAGGGTTATCGTTAAGCGATTTTGAGCGCGATGATTCAACTGCGATGCTGCCTTGTGCTCTAAGTAATTGAAATCTCTTTGTTGGTATCTTAACGTTGACGACAATGGAAATGCTTGTTTTTCACTGTATGGGCTAATAACTACTTTTTGTATTTCAGATCAAGGAAATCTCCAGGGTCCAAAGGGCTTGAAAGCGAAACGTTCCCGTGAATACTTTGAAGTCAAGCATCTAGGAGTCGAGAAAAAGAAGCGAGGCCGGAAGCGGAAGTCGGAATATTTACTTCCAGGGGACCCTAACAACGTTGCCACAAGGACCCTGGTGGAGAACGGTCTATCAATCGTAGGGGCGTCCTTCAATGTGGCACAGGGGCAGAAGATCTCTTCTGCGACGACCACAGCAACGACCACCATTTTACCTGTTCAGAATGTTACCGTTACTTCTCAAACCCCTGGGACTGCCGTTGTAATCCCTCAGGGAGTTTCTCCTGGGGTTTCTACTTCAACAGTTACAGTTGGAAACGTGGGGTTCCAGGTTCCTGGAAATGTAACGATGCCCCATCCTTCACCAAGTACAGTAAAAAGCGTACCGTTACTCGTACCCCAGGGGAAAGTTCCTTTGGCGCATCCTCAACGTGGACCCGTTCCGATTAACGCTTTGCCAGGAGGAAAACCTGTTATGAAAGAGGTGAAGGTTGTGTTCTTTTCTCTCGCTTGTTTGTATCAGCCGTTACAGTGTCAATTCTTCTCTTGTGTATTAGTTTACTTCTTAGACTATTGTGACTGTGAATATACGAAAATCCCATGTGTGAACTGCGGATAGAGAAGTAAATACGAAAGCGATCCTCGCAGTCATGAACATCACTTAAGCAGTAATGAAAGTAGGGCCTGAAAAAAATTCAAGGCCTTATTTATTACTTCAACAACATAATGACCAGCCCTCACTTGGCTGGTTAGCTCAGTTGGTAGAGCACTGCACCGGTATCGCGGAGGTCATGGGTTCAAATCCCGTACAGTCCTGAATTTTTTTCAGGCCTTATTTTCACTACTGCTTCAGTAGTGTTCTTTACTGCGAAGATCGCTTTCATATTCACATGTTATTGTGTTAGCGGTAACCCTCTGGCTGTGCACTGATGAAATTCTTGGCTTTTATCACGTCTTGGTTGGAGTGAAGTAATGGACGAATCTTTGTCATATATTTTGGGCCATTCTTGGCAAAGTCGGAAATTGCCTTGTAATGACAGGACCCCTTGAAATATTGGTATTAAGGCAGAAAAACACTAACAAAGGAGGAACAGACACTAGAAAGCGTATGGACGATAGCGCAGATTACAAAAGAAGGCCTTGAAAACTCCAGGCTTAATTTCAAGATGTCCAAAAAACCCTTTACCTAGTTGTTTTAATGTCTAGTTAACTGTTGATGACAGTCTGATAGTCGGGAAACGCCACCGAAGCTTTTTCCATAACATGCTATGTTTAACATTATGTTATTTAACATAATTGCGTTGTACTTGCGTAGCTACGCCTCTCGCGATGCATAACGTACAGCAAATTTTTCTTACCAAATGAAATTCTTCCTTTCTCTCTTAAGGGAGGTCAGACGCATAATCCTTCCAGTGGAAACAGTCCCATATCGTTACCGGATGGCACAAGTCGAATAGTCACCAATGTGTCAAGCCAAAGATTTGCCACAAGTGCCACGAGCTCTGGAACGACCATCACGTTTGGCCGCGCCCCACCCAACGTTACCATATCCAACTGTACTCCTCCACCGCTGACCAAGATTGCTACAGAGGCCAGTAGCAGTCACGTGACCGCATCTACAAACATGGCGGTAGAACCAGCGAATCAACTTGCGATTCATGCAGTTTCCGCTGTTCAAACCGCCAGCAGTGTGTCCGTGCCGCCACCTTACTCTACTAGCAGTGCGCATGGTCCACCCGTATCCAGAGCCTCGTATGGCACGCCTACCACAGGACAACTGTCCGTAAACACTGGCTACAGACCTGCCACAAGTCCGCCAGTGTATCCTCGACAAGTATTGAGTCCAAATCCCGGAGGAGTGATCCGCCATCCCGGAGTTCACCCAAATCCTCCGGGGACGTCATCTGCAGTTCCAATCAAACCAGGTGGTGGGACACCTCCTCCTCCCCCACTTGTTCCCAATGCAAGGGTTGGCCAAGGAGGACGTCCCCAAGGGATGTACGTTCAAGCTCAGCCGAACAGCAGCAGTATGCCACCGCCTCGCCCTGGAATGCACACTCACCCTCCATCTTACAATCCCATAGCAGTTAGGACAGGGGTAGTAAACCACCACCCACAAGGAAATACTCCGCCGCCTCCCCTCAGCAGCTCCCCAGGGGTTTCAAGCTCCAGCGGACAGCCTCACCCAGGTTCGGGAGATAGGGTGGTTTCGCAAGCGGGCGTCGCAACTATGTCCCAAAGGCCAATTATGCCAAACTATCCAGGGATCCCCCGATCAATAAATCCTGGTATGTCTCCGCGGAATGCCCCCCTGAGGTTCTCGAGTGTCAGAGCACCCTTAGGAAGTGGGTATCCCCGGCATCCTCCTCCCATGCGTCCCCAGGGAGGAGCTCCGTTGAAGATGCCCCCCCATCAACAGGTAAGATCACATTACAAGTATCGTCGTTGCTTCTCCGGCCTTTTTTGCCTTTTTGTCGCTCTAGTTTAACAGAGAATTTAGAATCTCTCTTCTCGATGATCCACAAGCATAGATAAATACACTTTAACTCCCGAGGTCCCTGAAAAATAACAACCTTCGCGGAAAAGAATTGATTTAACGAAGGTAGTCTTTTGTACAATAACTGACGTGATCGTCCGTAAATGGGTAGTGCTGAAAATCACACGAAGCAACTAGTTCCTTTTTCACGTGTTTACTGTTGAACATTTATTTGTTACTGAATTTTTCTTTAGAGCTTCAAATTGCCATTCCCAGTGCCTACAGTGTCTGGCAATGTACAGCGAAGTGTTGGATCCAGTTTACCTGGCATTACGTTAGTGGATTCGGTATCAATGTCAAAATCTCACCTTGCGCCAACCCCGATACAACCGAAAAGTTCCATCGAGCATTTACAAGCCCTCACGAACGCGACCGATAAAGACACGAAGATAACCGAAGAGATAACCATAAAAGAAGAGCAAGAAGACGAAGAAAGAAAAATGGCGGACGAAGAAGAAGAAGTAGGAGAAGGAGAGGAATTAATTGGAGACAAATCACAATCGCCTCCGAAGAGAAACCTTTGGTGGCTGAAAAAGAAGCGTAGAAAACGCACACGATTGACCTACATTAAGTCGAAATACCGTCGGAAGGACGAAGAAGGCGCGCCGAGCACTTCCGAAGTAGCTGCCATGGAGGAAGAAGTTGAACTCGACGATCTTCCGAAATCTCCTTCAGGGGAAAGACCAAAGCGAGGCCGGCCGCCAAAGGGCATAGGGTTTCGATTCAAGACAGAGAGCTTCTCGAATAGTGATCCAGATTGGGACGAGACAGAAGAGAGAAGGAGAGTAAAGCCTATAATTAAGAAAAGGAAAGGACGAATGAAGAAAGGTATTATTTTTCTTACTGAGGGTTCATTGCTTACGATAAAACGCGGTCATTTTTTCCTACTAACTTTTAGAAGGATATGAATTTAAAGTGGTCCTTCTTAAATTTTTTTTAACGAAACTAGTATTTTTCACCTTTGTTTTTGTTTTCAGATTCTAACGAAGTAACATCACCTAAACTGAAATCCCCAGGCTTGGGCGGGCCGTCGCAAATCCCGATGATCCCTGGTGTACCTGTGGTTCGAGAGTTGGGTACCGCAGGACCCTCTGGTTCCACCTCGCCTATGGTTCGCTCGCCGTCAGTTTCTCGTGCACATGCCCACCATGGAACAGGGATGCCTGGCGACAAGCGCATCACTTCTCCTAAGGGTGCTAAGATGATGCGCATGAGCTCTGGAACGGATCCTAGAGGTACGATAAAACATGTTATGAATCAGAAAAAGATCATTACTCACGTAAAGTAAAGATAAAGCGATTTCTGATTGAAGGTCATAGCAGCCAATCAGAAGAAAGGCAATTATCACAAGAAGCGAATCAGAACTCGATTTGTAATCCTGTAAAACTGTCTATCAGTAAGGAGCGGGAAACTGCGATTAACCAAGTCGCAAGTGGTCACCTTTTAAGTTAGCACCTGGTCGGGTGAAAGTGCAGTGTGAATTTTCCGGGGCGAAGGAAATTCATACTCATGAAATTTGGTATGAGGACACAATTGTCTCTGAGTTGAGCCTTCAAGTCCTTTTTTTTCTCAGTGGTATGGCACCCGACTAGTTAAAGAAAGGTTGACACGTTCGAAACTTGAGGAGGACCCAGATTTTTTTTCATCTTGCAGCAGGGCCTTCTCATCCTTTTTGATTTAGTTATACCCCTCATCCTACTGCAAGAGCTCTTTTACGAGCGGTAAAAAATCATAAATGAGTCGTTCTTTTACCAACCGCTATCTTATCATCACTCTAGTTTGCCGATACTCTGAGAGTATTTTTAGGAGAGTACATTTGTTTTTCCACTCAGGTCACCACTCTGCATCAAGATATTCGCCTTACCATTCCCCGACGTCAAACTCACCCTTCTCCCCCTTGGGGAATCGACCCATACGCCCAAAGCCGTTCTGCGTTGATGTCGGCACTAATACGTCACTTCCGGGCTGCGTTAATGGCCGATCACCAGACCTCCCCGCTAATCCTTCCACGTGGTCAGTGGAACAAGTTGTGAGATACGTGCGCTCAACGGACTGCTTACATTATGCTAATATATTTTTAGATCAGGTAAGTGCATGCAGCTACACTGTTACGTTCTTGTATTAAGATTCGTTTGAGAGTGACGCCCCACGCGGTGCTTTTTTTTTAGTCGAGAGCTTAATATTACACTTTTGGGTGTCGGTTAGCCCCAAACCATTTAACGTCACTGATGTGTATCGTAATCTTTGACAGGAAATCGACGGCCAAGCACTGATGCTGTTATCACGTGACTCCCTGATGCAGTTCACGCGAATGAAACTGGGACCCACGTTGAAGATGTGTAGCTATATTGCTCAGCTCAAACTTCGAGCGCGATAATGCTCACAGTTCTTCCAAGTTCTCACGCACCTCCTTGAGTATTCCCAGAAAGTTAATAAGTTAACGGGTCATATTGGACACCATTTGGAGCTAGAAACCCAGGAAAAAAGTATTCTTGGAGGAAAGTTTCTTATTTTTACGACGCATGGACTCAAAAGTTACGTTTTGTACGCCGTCACGAAATTTGCTCCAATGGCTTGTTCTTAGTCCGACCGTCATCTGGTCTCCTTTGCAGCCGCTGTTTGGTCTCGTCACGCAGTGCGCTCTCTCCCACGCCGAGGGTACTCTGTGGGACGGAGTGTGTCGCATGATGAAACCGAACACTTCTGCGAAGGAGACTAGCCGTCTTCCTAAATTATTAAAAACTGGTGAAAATAAGAATTTGCTTTCACTTCAGATTCAACGACGTATGACTTTGGGTTCTAACCTCTGTTATCAACGTGATAAACAAGTGTAATTTCCTCGGGAGTAAAACTCCTCAGAGATTCCGTTATCGGAGATAAGACGACTAACACAGCTTCATAGAGGTTTACGTAAGGGGAGAATTTGGCTCTGGAAAAGTTATTTGAGGGAAAGTTTGTGGATAGCTAAAAGTGGTTTAGGGATAGTTCTTTGCCCACTCTGGTTTTTTCCTTATTTCGTTAGGGTGATGTATTAAATTGAGAACGCGTGTCGACTGAGTGACGTAAAACCAAATCTTAAGTATCAGCGGACAATGTCAATACGTTTAAGGATTCGTGGAAAGTTCAAAAAAGAAAACGAGCAAACTTCCTGAGGTGTGCCAGTCTAAGTCGTGATTTGCTTTATTAGCTTGGCTTCTGATTGGTTCAAGGACTGTTTCGAGTTTTTTTCGGTTTCGACCATTCAAAGAGTAGGGACTGGGGCAAGTCTATTTAGAACAATCACAGAGTATGTCAAAAGAAAACTATTGCAATCCCACGGTACTTTGAGACACTTGAAAAGAGCTTTCACAACAATTCTGATTATTCCTAGATACCTTTTGCAAGTTTGAGTGTGTTTTCTTATTCTTTCTATCCTATAACCACAGACTTGAGAAGTAAATCAATCCCAGGTAAATTATGCCAGACCATAAGATTAAAAGTAGGAATAATTACAATAAATTAAATTGATAGAGGTGTTGTCGGCGCCTACCGTATGCAGCTCGTTTTCATTCGCGAGATTAACATTTTGATACTTTAAAATTGTATAGAGTGACATATTTTATGTAACATAATTTTTCCTGTGAATTTGATACTTACAAATTTAGAGGACAAGTCCGCGGCACTCTTGGAAAGTGATGGGTGACGTGTTCTCAGGACGGGAATGAGTTCGGGAAAGATCGACAATCATCGGAAGTTGTTGTGCAGCAACATAACATTCATCGGTTTCCAAGAATGCAAAGCCAGAATTAGTAGTTCAGAAGTCTTCTAAAGACCGAGTTTTTGTCAAGTATTAAAATTATTTTTATTAAGCTTGTGTATGTGGTGAATTAGATTTTCTATGAAGAATTATTTTATGTCATTCCTGATGTTTTCACTGCGGCAAATGAAAACAGTGGGTGAAATAAATTCTTAGCCTCCAAAATTAAGATTTGCGAAACCATAATACATTTAGTTCGGATAAGACTTAGACAAATCTTGGTGCTATAACTGGAACTAATTCAAATACTGAACAGGTGTTGGAGTAGAACTACCAAACCTTAAGTACCAATACACAATAGCACTAAAGAGATCTCGGTTAATTCTTTTGAATTCTTGCACACCAATTTTTCATGAATTATATCTTGTTAGACGTTTTGGTGTGTAGTACAGTGGAGTATTTTTACGAGCTGTGCCGTATATTGACGAGCCCGTAGTGCGAGTCAAATTACAAACAACACGTTATTTGCTATCTAACTGCTCTTTTTTTGTGCTAAGTGTTTCTGCTTATTTTTCATAAGGCGGGAAAAGCGAAGTGGAAAGAGAAGCGTGGCGCGTGCAGCCGACTGGTTAAACAGGTTTTTACAGTACAAAATAACCAACTGTCCAAATAACCGTACAATATCGCAAGGTATTTGTACTCTATTCGCGCGTTATTTGTACTCAACTTTGTGCAGTTGGATAATAATAAGCACATATTCTGAGTTCTAATGGCGCGGCGGGAAAAGTGGCAGATGAGTCGGCCGAGAAAGCCTGGACTATCTTGAGCCGCCAGTAGGGAGGAGAGGACCAGCAGTATTCTTTAAAACTTCAAGATGGCGGATGGTAAGTAGACATAACAAGACATACTCACTCCGATCCTGGAGTGATCGAAAGTTGTTTGTCATATTTTTATCTTCTTTAAAATTACATTGTCTTCCCCTTATTCATGGTGCAGCTCGTAATCTTAACTCGGCAGCGCCATTTTGTTCAATCACGGCGAAAGTGTTAAGTCATCGTCCTTCACTAGTCAATTACGCGTGAAAAAAACTTAATCAAACCATAACTGTAAGCTTACATTTTAATAGAACGTAACCCGTAGCTAACGTAAATTTTGTGGTATTAGCCAGTATATTCCTCACGATGTGAATCGTCACAGCGCTATCATTAGCCTATTTCTCGTTTAATTTTTAGCCGGCCAGTCAGCGCAAAGTATTGGAGATGTGATGAAATCTATCAAGCATGTGATTCTAATCCTTTCCGGTAAAGGAGGTGTTGGAAAAAGTACAGTTACGACACAGATTGCTTGGTCTCTCTACAGCAAAGGCAAAAAGGTTAACAATTTTCTCAGCTATATCTTCACCAACACAACTTCTACCAGTTATAATCCCCGTCACATACTAATATCCCAAATTTACATCAGGGCCAGTCTGCTGAGTATGGCAGGTGCACACACAAGTTATTTTTTGAACATTCACTTTGCATGCTAGAATTGCCACATTGCACACGCAAGATCTTATCAAATTCTGCCATAAAGGGTAAGTGTCTATAGAAACTGTGGTACTGTGTCAGTGGAAGAGTATAACAATGTAATTTAGTATTATCAACTGAGTTGGTAACGTAATTTGATTACCATAAGGAGTTTTAAAGCTGACATTTCAAGCATTAGCCCTTTGTCAGTGCAATTTAGATTCTGCCATTCTATGCAGACTGGTGTCCTGGGATGTGCATGCATTTTAACCCTTTCATTCCCAAAATTTGAGTATCTAATCCATGAACTGTGCAATTATGACAGAAAGTAAGAGTAGTTAAGATGAAGATTTTGTAGGTGAAAAGATTTATTATCCTTTTTTCTTTTATGAAATTTTTTCCAGTTGAAAATGACCTTGTCAAAGTTTTATCCCTCTGACAGATAATTCTCTGTGCCACTTGTAATCCCTCAAAGTTTCATAATTTGCTTGTTTCCCCTTTACCCTTCAATTCCCATGAGTGACCAAGACAGAATTTCTCCTTACAATATCAATACATTATCAAGCAGACAAGTGACGCGAATAATGAAAAATCTCAATTATAGGATTACTAATTGATCCGCTACCAAAATTTCCAAACTAACATAATGAGAATCATTTGGCAGGAAGTAATAATAATAATAATAATAATAATAATAACAACTTTATTTAAGGAGGGTAACACATAACAGTAATTCAACTGATGAACTAAAGGCCCTCGATCCTAAAAGTACCATTAATAGAGTTAAAATGTATAAAATGTATGTAAAATGAATTTGAGGATTATAAAACAGGTCTATAAGAATGTAAACTAAAAACTATATAAAGTAAAATATGCTGCTTGGGTTGCCTCAGTTTCGCGATTGAAATGAGGGGCAGGCGAGATTTAATTTACTATAACAACCAGTTCACATGTGTAGGTCTGAATTAAATTTAAGTATATTGTACATATGTGCAGGACAGCATCCTTGTAAATGCTTAAAAACTAAAACGCTCTTATTTAACTTGACTTTGTCATAAAAAGGGAGCCACTCTAATTTCTTTAAGAGTTTCATGCTGTAAAGAGAATTACTAATGAAATCTTGGGAGTTTGAGGGTTAACTAGATATTGCTGGTTAATGGACAATTGTGATGGTTCTAGGGTTACTACAGCAAAAGATTTGACTGTTTCTAGAAATGTAAGTTTTGTGTGTATAGAAATGTAAGTTTTGTGTGTATAGAAACATGGATGTCATGATAAAATCTTGCCTTGGTCTTTTAGGTTGGAATACTGGATGTGGATTTATGTGGACCAAGTATTCCAAGAATGATGAGTGTAGAGGGATGTGATATACACCAGTGTTCTGCTGGGTGAGTCATTGAGGATACCTTTTTTCTTTACCCTTTACCTCCCAGAACTGATTAATATATATCTTTGCCCTGTAATATTCACACATTATCCACCAAACAAGAAATGTACAAGGAAATGTCTGGCAGCTAGAGAGGAGAATTAACAACTAGATCTTGGGAGTTGAAGGATTGAAGGACCATTTTCTCAAACTGTTCCTGACCTCTTTCAGGCTAACCTGTGTTAGCAGCAAAGTGTTGGGTACCAAACAACAGTCAGTTTTTTAACCTGAGGGGGATACCCGGAGGAAATTGTCAGGGGTGATTCTATGCTCTTTTGAGGGTAACTTTTGTAGAGTGACTCCCATATTCTTTCAAGAAGTTTGATATAAAATGGTAAGCATGCAAGTTATTATGAAGATTCCTTTCTGGGCTGAAAAGAGACAGTAGTGAACATGTTTTGAAACCTGTACATATGGAAGCCCCTAAGGAAATGTGTAGCTTGAAAGGCAGTGCCTCCAATAGAAGGAAAACCCCACCCATGAACAGTTGAATCTGGTTCCACCTGATTCTACCTTGTGCCCTGTCATGATCAAGTAGGCAACTCTCAACTGAAACCCTCTTTAAAACAGTGCCTTCTCAGTGTAACACCCATCTATTTTTTTAGCTGGGTTCCAGTTTATACAGACAAGGACCAAAGACTTGCAGTCATGTCCATAGGTTTCCTTTTAAATAGCAGAGATGATGCAGTGGTTTGGAGAGGACCAAAGAAAAATGGTATTTGGTACCTTATTCAACCTTTAACTCCCAGATCAAATTTGTTGTTCTCCTTACTGTCAACCATACATTCTTGTAATGTTAGTTCAGAGAATTTAGTATTGTATCAACTAATTATTCCCAAATTGATAATTTTTTTGGTTCTTATTACCCATCTGCTTGATATTGAATTGATATTGTAAGGATAAATTCTGTCTTGGTCACTCATGTGAGTTAAAGGGTTAATGTAATTCAATTTATCACCTATACCCTCTCTTTGAAGAAAATTGGTTAATATGTTTTTCTCCAGAGCTGCGAAAATCCTGCATCCTTTCCCTGTCTCCTGTATCTCCTCTGTACTGGTTTGCAAAGAAAGTTCAAGAACCAATGTACTTCTTGTAAAGAGTAGGGAATGCAACTCCTGGTGTTGTGGACTAGCCTTGAAAAGAGGGCACTTGCAAAAATTTCCTTCAAAAATTGTAAACTGCTCAATGAAGTCTGGCTAAAAATACTGTACTATTATACTGAAGTTTTACTTGAGTGATTGTTTTGTCCTCCAGGATGGACTTTTGTACAGCCATATGTAGGCTGAAGTATAATTTCAAAACTTCTAAAACTTCATGAGAATCTGTGATGATCTAGCTTCTTATCTATGGTTCATGGGGAGTATCCATTGTTAAGGCAGGCATTTACTAATAAAAATTTTTTTGTTAAATGTTAATTTTCTGGTTTTTTAGCAATGATCAAGCAGTTCCTATCAGATGTGTGTTGGGGAGAGCTGGACTATCTGGTAATTGACACACCACCAGGTATAAAGCAGTGAAATCTAAGTTGTTTGTCACACAATAAGATTTCTTTTTTGTTCCCCATCACTATTAGATTGTGTGCATTCAGTACTTATCGAAGGAATCCGCATAATCTAGTGAGGAGAGGTTTGGGCAGTTGCAATCCATTTTGGACAACTGGTTGGCCACTTGCCAATAGGGGCTTTTAACCATGTTAAATTTGATTTGTATTATTAATTTTGGGCTATTTGAGTGTTTTTGATTAGTGGGCTGTATTGAAAACTTTTATGTCACTAGTAATTGTGTCACCCATGTGAAGTTAACAAAGGTAATCATGTCACAAATTCCTTCCCCAAAGGCTTGGCCAGAGATGTTGATGGATATGTGAAGGACCGAGATTCAACGGCAATGGTCATTATTGACTCACTGTAATATAGAAGGGTGATAAGAATTTGAAATGAGTTCAATGGAAAATTGTGATGGAACTCTAGATGGTCTGATTGTTAGGATTTTTTGGGAGAAGGGAATGGAGAAACAAAATCAGATGGGCAGAGAACTCAAATGAACCTCTGAGAAAACTTTGTTTTAACTTTAGGGACATCTGATGAGCACATAACTGTTGTAGAGAATTTGCGAGATTACAATCCAGATGGAGCCATTCTTGTTACTACTCCTCAGGTACAAATGGCTATATTTGATGTTGTCCCTGTAGGCTCAGGTCACAGTTATAGGTTCTTGTCCCTGCAAAAGCCATAGAGTGGAGGAGTCCAGAATTTTGTGAATACAATGTTAGCTTTCTTCCTGTGTAAAGAGATAAAATGATATACAGATAAATTAGTACCTCTCACTCTTTGTAATGTAACAGATTAATAATGGTAATAGGACTAAGTGGAGTCTAATTTGCTCTTTAATCATATGAGTGATTAACAAAATTGGACAACCGCAAAGGGGGAGTCCAATTTGTCAATCACAAGTAAGATTACAGACAGAATTGGATGACAAGAAGTCCTGTTACCAATTAATCATAACCGTGTCAATTTCCTAAAACCACAAACACATTTAGGTCAAATATCTCCAGTAGAGAAGATGTCTAAAGTAAAAAAATTTCTCCATTTTGGAAATTCTTCAATTTTTCATGGATAAGTGGCTGTTGCTATGGTTGTTGTGTTTAATTCTGTGATTGGTGGATTTGGCTGAGTGGCCTTTGTATGATTGACTACTTCAACTGTCCCATTACAGGTGTCTGATTACAGCCAACTGTCCAATTACAACTCTACAGAATGATTAATGAAAAATAATGCAGCTAATGCACCAATCACTTTTGAGGAAATTTTAATGGTTATGATTACTGGTAAAACCATGTATGTTGGGAAATTGTAATTTTCATCTAATAACCTTTTAGCTACCATGTAGACTACACTAGGAAACACCACCTCTTTGATGAAACCAATTTTCCCCTTGAAGTCTTTTTGAGTGGAACATGTTACCCTAAAATCAGTATGAATATTCTCTATACATTTATTAAGGTGCTGAAAAGGAGAATTAATTTAACAATCAAGAGCTTCTCTTGTTGGTGATCATTTCCCTCATTCTCATGACCATAATATGTGTTTCTGGGGAGATATTGTAAGAAAGAATTAGATGCTAGTCACTCCTAAAGTCAGAGTCTCCTAAAAGTCTTCTAAAAGTCAGAGGGACAAAAGATATCAGCTGTAGTTGAATATTATGAATACTGCTTTTGTTGTCCTTTAGGGAGTAGCAGTTAATGATGTCAGAAGAGAACTCACTTTCTGCCAAAAGACTAAGATCCCAGTCTTGGGTGTGGTGGAGAACATGAGTGGATTTGTCTGTTCTCACTGTAGTGTAAGTGCTAGTGTCTGCCAGGTCTCATAATTTCAAGTCATTTTTCTAACAATATTGGTTATTTCACAACAATTGTCTTGTGTTTTAGGAGTGTACAAATGTGTTTTCAAAAGGAGGAGGAGAAGCATTAGCAGACAGCTGCAAAATACCATTTTTAGGTGATAGTTTATTTTCTAGTATTTTGATAGACTTGGTATAGTTATACTGCCCTCCATGATCACCTCTCAAAATTGAAAACCTTCTATCTTCTCTAGTGAAATTGTATCATGTGGAACACATTGTAAGTAACCACTCTTGCAGGTTTCCATGTGTCTGTTCAGTCATATATCACAGATGATGTCAAAATGTGGTGAGAGCAAAAAGGTGGCATGTGAGGGAAGGCCAAGTGGTTCCTTGATTTTCTCGGCACATTTTGATGTTTTCTATGATCTCCTACTGTATAGACTCACAGCAACATAGAATTTTGTTTGTTTTATATGATAACAAAGCAAAATTTGTTAATGATGACAACATTTATGCAACTGTCCCCCAGAAGATCATGAGAAAGAACCAATCAAAATGTGTGCGTAATTCAGTTTATGATGTAAAACATTGCTTTTCATCATCATTGAGTTGAATTTTATTTCATTAGGTCTCGTGTCATCTGACACTGTAGATGGTTACATTATTTGAAATTCAAACTGTTCCTTCTTCTCTAAGTTTCTGTTTTACTATGAAATGATGTCTCTCTAAATGATGTCAGCTTTCAGGCACACTTCACTTTCAGTTGTGATTAGGCCATTTCTGAATTACCTTTTGCCTCTTTTTCAAAACCAGGCCTGGTGCTCAACCATTCATATGAAAATGAGTTTAATTTGCATGTGAGTGAAAATTTATAATTACATTGAAGGATGAGCACCAGGACTTGCTTTAAAAAAATGAGGCCAAAGGTAAATCAGATATAACTAATTGTGTTTATCGCCATTTTAGGTTCTATTCCACTGGATCCAAGTTTAACGCAATCCTTGGAAGATGGCCAAGCCTTTATAGATTTGTTTCCTAACTCGCCAACACTAAATGCAGTAAATAACATTACAACCAAACTATTGCAGCTGGATATTGATTGAGATCAATGATGCAGAGAAGATTTTCTTACAAACTTGGATAGAAATACAGTCTTTGGACTAGCTCAACAAGATTATTAGATCCAAATTTTTCTGCTCCCAACAGTGTACACTGATCATCCATCAGACAAAAAGTGACAGTGAAGGCATCAACAAAGTGACATTGTCTCTACTAACTCCAGATTCTCATTACAGCTTACCACTTCAAGAGAAATGACCTGCAGAGTAATGAATATAAGTTATGTTGTCAATAGGGATAGGTTGAATTGGTTGTTGATTGTCAGATTTCTCCTGTAAGGTTTTTGCTATGACTCTGTTGTTTGGAAGGACATTCGATATTCTGGAAAGGAATGTTGTATGACATTTTTGTTGTGTTGTGCAACAGTTCTGAGATCAGAAAAAGAATGACAGGGAATAATGACTATATGGTATTAGTTCTTTTTTCTAAGATTTATTGAAAAATTTGAAAGGTCAAAAGTAAGGTATTTATAAATTATTTTTTATCCGGGCGTTTATTGGTATTTAAAACCTACAATGCTTCATTCACAAGTTCAGACATTTCTGGGATTAAAGATGATAGACAATGCAGATTGTGATTTTAAGACTCTCATGGCCTTTATTGTCGTCACTATCAAGGTTGCTTTGACTCGCCATCTCAGGAATGAAAAGGATGGAAAATGAGATGATTGGCCAGACAAGGGGATTCTTCAGGAATTTGTTCTTAACGATTTTTAAAATTAAATTGCGATTCTCATATATCATGACTGTTCTTAAGTGGGCCGACATTGTAATTTTTAGAGTAATATCCCCACCGACGGGTGTGACACGATCGTCACCATTGTGCTTATTTTTTTACGCTCCACAAGCATTCGTTTGACATCTTAATCCTGGGTCTCTTGTGCATTCGCTTAACTTGTCGAGGAATGCCAGGTTAGTCTTGTTTACCGTTTCGCCAATAAATGAGCACAAGAAAAGAAACCACATAACTTCAACTAATTTTCGCTGTCACAATCTTTCAATGTATTGACCTCCAATATTAGTGGTGATTGTTATTGTTATTTCACTTTTGTGAAAATTTCGCTTTTGCGGCCTCGACAAAAGGTGGTAAACCAGTTGAATTTTCGAAAGCGTCAGAAGAGGAGGGCTTGGAAGATATATTTTCATGCACATAGGACAGCTGCTTTTGATATGCGTGACGTATCAAAGACCCCTACGCAAATGATTGCTACAAAAAACTCACTTACTTTGTTGCGAATTATTTGTTTGTCTGCTTGTCTCTTTGTTTTTTTATAGCGTTCAATCGATCATTGACGAAACGGAAGTCAATACGTTCTTTAGATAATCCAACTTTTATAATTTACCTGAAGTAAAAGCTAGTTTTCGTCTTTTATCTTATGAATCATGAACCGAGCATGAAGCGGCTCAGGAGACAAAGATGACCTTATTTCTTAGAGCAATGGTACAACAAACCAAAACAGGAGCACTTTAAGAAATGTCTAAACCACAAAACAAAACACCAGGCAATGTTTGGGAAAAGGACAGCCTTTATTATTGCAAGATTATTAATTTACCAATATTTCACAATAAATTTCATTAATTCAAGAGAACGTCACACGTAAAACCAATGAAAATTACTCGCATCCTGTTTGTCCGTCGTAGTTTCTGGCGATTTCTGCCGTTCTAAGCTTGTTATTCCTGTCAAAAGATGAAGACAACAATAACAACGATGGAAAAGCAAGCTTTAAACGGCAGAAATCGCCAAAAACCACAACGGACACACAAGATGTGAGTAAGTACTATTGATTTTACGTGTAAAATGTTCATATTTCGAAATATTTATCGTTGTAAATCGACCATATCTCGTTCCCCATACTATTCCTTATAATATGTTCAAATTCTTAACGGTTCCTCTGATAATTTAACACCGAGTTACACAACGCGTGACGCTTTCATGATGAATCATTTGTTTTTTCTCGAGACGTGAGCTTAGGCAGCCTGTGCTCTTACATGATATATATCAGCTAACAATAAAATAATACCCATACGTAATATTTAAACAAAAAAACACAAAAGGCTATCTGGAAGAAAATCCGGACAGAGACTAGCAGACCAGCAAAAAGAGTTACTGGGAGAGATGGGAGGGAAGTAAAATAGCTTCTAATAAGGCAAGTACAGTTTATGTATATGTGCAAGCAAGCTGTGCAATAACTGCAGTAATAACTAAAGTACCTAAAAAACTGGTAATATATAAAATAACATGTAAGATTTTACGCCGTTAACTAACGGCGTAATTTATTTCAGTTTTTTATAGATGCTTACTGTAAGATTTTACGATGTTAACTAACGGCGTGAAATCTTGTATGCAAAAAGTTTGCACAGACAAGGTTAGTGGCTTAAAATCCCACAGCAGTCTAGACTACGATAGTCACGTACTACGCCGTCATCTTAATCATCGCTAAAAAGTAACCATAACATCACTGTACTTTTACTGGGGCAAATCTGCTGATGTTAAATTACTTCTACTAAGTAGGCAAGCCTGATGACATCCATCACCTAGTAATGGGTGATATTTCCCGTTTGATGCCTTAGCGGTATTAACGGCTTATTTTAGTTTATTTTAGTTTCTTTATATAATCAAATTTTGGTTTTATCAATGAAATGTCATTCTTAAGTTCCTGTTTAATATTTGCCGGTTTCTGAAGGCAGATCTTTCATGAACATGCCTTCCTTGTTCTGTCATTATCTCATCAGATGGTAGCCACGTCAACAGGTTTTGAAAGATTGCGTGACATATGTGATACTTTTAAAAACGAAGTGATATGTAAATTTCAAATTCTTAGCGTCGTCTCAAGCCGGTGAAACACTCAGCTTTCTCTGCACCTGGCAAGGACAAGGGAACAGTAAGAAACGGTGAGCTGGTTTGTCTCTACCATAGCAATCAGTTTTGCCGCTTCGTTAAATGAAATTCTGTCCTACAAACAGTAATGGATTTTTACAATATAATTGTGCATTAATTGAGCAGGCAGGTCGAACAAAATTGAATTTGGTCAGTCTAGAACACTCCCGCCCTGCTTCACCAAATTTAACTGTTTATCGCTGTGCAAACATTGAACTAGCTGGTAATTAGTTCAACTTTTTTTTTTCGCGTAACCAACTAACTGTGAATGTGCATTTGACCTCGCTATCTATTCCATTCCGATTAAATGTTGCATTCGTGTAAAGGACGACGCGTTCGTATGTATGTTAATTAAGACCACGAGGGCCTTCTAGCAATCCAGATACAGTATTTTGTTATTTTCCTGGGGGGAGGTGATTACACCATCCTTTCACGTGAACCGGGAGTTAATGTTTAACAGATATTAAATTTTTACCTCCTTGGGATTTATAAGACTATGGAGATTTGCTAGCCGTGTAGCAGGTAGTTTATTTACGAATCATGAATATTCTGCGACTTTGAACTGAAAATTATCTAGCTTAGTAAGCCGGACTTTGGTCATGATCGAAGAGAGATGTGCAAATATTATCTTTAAAATAACAATGTTCCATTGAGATAGACAGAATGGCAGCAATATTGATTAGTTCGGCTGTCTGAGTAGGACGCAAGAGCGTGCTTGGGAAGCCTACTTGAGGCGTTGCAAGAACTTTCTATCAGAGAAATCATACAGAGGTTAGAAAATACTGCTTTACAAATGCATTAGCTCTTCTCGTTCCATAGCGACTTAGGTACACGTAAAGTTGTTCCAGCTCAGGGCAATCTCAACTTTCTGCGCGACAACAACGGCAGACGTGGGTTTGAAAACAGAAATTAACCAAATTTTGGATCAAAACCTGTTACTAACCTATTCATCTACAGAGGTCACGGCTTCATGGCCCTGTTCATCCTTTTAAGTGACGTGTCCAGAAATCGGATCTATTTAGATATATTTTAAATGAAATTATTATAATTTAAACACCTTCTTCGAGTGGTTTGCTTTGATTGGAGTGGTTCGATCGCGTGGTTGCGACTTCGAATTCTGATTGGAAATTTTACCGTGCAGTAAGCTGGACTTTGATCGACAACAGGCCTGGATCGACAATGTCTAACAATACGCGAACAAAGAATCATTAAGATGGGAAGAATGACAGTAACATGATTCTTAATTACACATTTTACACTGTCGGCTGACTGAATAGAGCGCAAAGCGTATGTGAGTAGCCAACTTCCAGCTCTTCAGGAACGTTTCGTCGCCGATATCTTGCAGAGGTTAGAATATATTGCTTTACAAACGTATAAGCTGTTCTCGTTCGTTGGGGACCTTCAGTACATGTAAACTTGTACTAGCTCCAAGTAATCCCTACCTTTAGGGTGACAACAAAGGTAGACGTGGCACGAAACAACCAAATTTTGAGTTTTGCGTTTGGGAGCAACGTTTTTCATTCAAAACATGTCACTAATCCATTAATCTAAACACGAGTTTCACGTCTTCATCCATTTCCGGACAACGTGAACTAATGCAGTCGAATGGATTCAGCAAAAGTTACGCAACGCCCTGGAATAGTACATCATATGATATCTAGATATCACACCATGCGAGCAGTCTTTCCTTTTCGGCGAGGTCCGTCGTGCGAGTCAAAAAAAAAAATTAATTAAATTAAAAAATAATTATGTTTGCGCGCCACGTGGAGCACTTAGAGGACGTCGATACGCCGCGGTAGCTCCATAACTGAAGCGTTCGAAAAGTAGTCCCTATTTTTAGAGCGCCTCACTCAAGGAGCTCCCGCGGCGCATCAACGATTTCGACCGACTTCGCCGAAAAGGAGGTACTGCTCGTTGTCTTTGTGATATCCCATGATTTACTTTTATTTTCTCGTCACGAGTTCTATACCGAAGGCTCGTGTGTTATGAAGAAAAAAATAACTGCGAAAGGGAATATTTGCATAATGCTACAGGAGAAAGTATTGCATAATTATTTTTCAATGCAAAGTAGACGCTCAAAACAGCGGTAGACACAATAAAACCTTCTTACGCGCATTGTTAATTTTGATTAGTTTTGAACCGCGGCGTAATGGTCCGTCATGTGCTCATGTCCTCTCCTAACTGCTTAATTTTAAACACTTCTTAAACGTTTCGAGGTTAAAATCGAGGGTACAATAGACAAATTATTCAATTCACTGTTGTTTATTTTAAACCACTTTTTTTTAAGGTCACAAAGTCAATCATAAGCATCGAGATATCGACTGAGCCTGTTTCTAAAGGGGGCTGGGTTGTGCTTTGAGCTTGAGCACTGAGTTCTTCCAGTTTGACACTGTCAGGCGTCAAAAAGCAATTGTTCCCAAGAGTAATCAACAACAAGAAGAGCGCGTCGTTGTAAAAGCCGTTCCTTTTTCCTAACCCGCTCTAGACATTCAGTCGGTAAAACAACGCTAAAACAGCGCCATGGTGGCGAGTGGGAAACCCCTCACTTTTTCACCGCGCCGTGAATATAGCGCCTTTAAAGCTATTTTGTTCCTTTTTACGAACTGAACGCCTGGAAAAGCCGACAGTCACCAGGTGAATTGTTACGTACTGTTGCACTGGCGAATGATGTAGACAATTTTCGCTCCGATCTTTTCCAGTGGGTTTTAGTAAAATTTCAAACTGGCAACGCCAGCGAAGGTGTCGAATGCATCGCTGTTGAGCGATATATTTCAATATGTATTCATCTCTACATCCATCACATGTCAAGAATTCCATTCCTTATTCTCAATTTCTCAGGTTTCGACTTTCGTGTAGTGACGACTCTGATTTTTCTACAAATCAAGCGAGCTATATCCGCGCCCAAAAAAATCTTCGACAATCAGCACTACAAACGTTCCAGAAGCAATAAGAACGATCGAATTTCACTGTCTCACAATCACTCAGCAAAATTCATCAATATAATTAAAAAAAAAGGACCTCCAAATGAGCCCGAAACTGGTATAATCGTTTGGCAACCTCCACTAGTTTTCCACACAAACGTATCATTGGCGACTTTTTGGTCAGAAGTGCACTCCAATGATACGACCAACCATGAACCTTAAAATGAGCGCATACACGACGCAAAACTTGTCCTTTCATTCATAACGTTGAGAAAATATCGAGACGCGTCTGGTTCATTAAGGTTACTGATCATTTTACCAGTACCTCCATCAATGTCATATATTGCATAATATGTACTTTTTACAAAAAGTTTTACATCGGCGAAACAAGAAAGAAGATTAGGCGACCAATTATGAGAACAAATTCGTGATATAAACAAGAATGACCAAGACGCCTCCATTGCTTGAGATCGTATAAAACTCGAATTATTTAAGCTTTTAGCCCCTAAGAGTGATTACTAACCATTAGCATCACCCCTAAAACAAACACTGAGGTCATGAGAAAAAAAGGAAAAGATGATCAACTAAAGACACTTTTGATTGTTAAACAAATTCTCTTTATCAGGACCTTTGGGAATGTATAGAGAACAGTATGGAGAATATGCATAGTGATGTTAGGGTGTAAAGGGTTAAGACCGGATCAAAAAAATTGGGGTAAAAGAACCACAAAGTATGTACAGAAGACTGACAGAAATAGCTTCCTATTGGTTTTCCAACGGACGGTTACGTGGGAACGTGGGGCGTGGGGAGGGGGGGGGAACTCTGATATCATTACAGTCGAACCTTAATGAATGTAATTCTTAAATCTATTAAGCGGTCACCTCTGTTAAGAGGTAGCAGTCACCCTTAATCCTCTAAACCCTAAGAGTGACTGGCATCTTATTTCTCCCTACACTATCATTAAGGTCATGAGAATAAAGGAAATGATCACCAACTAAAGAAACTCTTGATTGTTTGACAAATTCTCCTTGTCAGCACCTTAGTAAATGTACAACGAACAGTATGGAGAATATGAATTCTGATGTTCGGGTGTAAAGGATTAATGGAGTCCCAACGGCCTGTTTGTATTGTCCTCCACCTGTCTTGAACGGTGACTAAAAGCGGACCACTCAATTAAAAACAAAAGAAAACTAAGAATAATCTTTCAATAAAAATTTAAATCATAATTACCTCCCGTCATTTTTGTTCAAACAATCCCCGGTCTGTCATTTTGAATCGATTTTGCTCAACTCTAAATTGTTTTAGAATGCAAGGAAGTACTAGTCGAAAACTCGATTCGGATCAATTTTAATATATGAGTGACTGCGCACCTACCCTTCCCCTAACCCAACATTGACCCTAACATGTTATCAGTTGTCTGTTGTTGGGTAGGGGGAGGGATTGGTACGCAGTTTCTCAGATAGTGACTTTGATCCATCGATTCAATACCCATCATGTCGGGAGGAATACAAGGCTTGAACACTAAATGAAATATTTTAATTTACTTTCGTGTTTAACTTTAACAGTAAAATGGCAGTGAAGTACGCCTCACCCGAAGAGTTCCTGGAATACGTCAAAATGAGAAGCCCAGGAGAGGACGAATTTCATCAAGCAGTGGAAGAAGTAGTCGGCTCATTGTGGGATTTTCTTCAAAAGAATCCCAAGTACGACAAACATAACATCCTGGAAAGGTTGGTTGAGCCAGAGAGAGTGGTAATCTTCCGAGTTCCCTGGAGGGATGACAAAGGTGACATTCATGTAAACCGTGGATACCGAGTGCAGTTCAACTCCGCCATTGGTCCTTACAAAGGTGGTCTTCGATTCCATCCGTCAGTCAATCTAGGAATTTTAAAGTTCTTAGGATTTGAGCAAATCCTGAAGAACAGTCTTACAACTCTTCCTATGGGTGGAGGAAAGGGCGGCTCTGATTTTGATCCCAAGGGAAAAACCGACAACGAAGTGATGAGTTTCTGCCAGTCTTTTATGACCGAGCTCCAAAGGCACGTGGGCCCAAACACGGATGTCCCTGCTGGTGACATTGGTGTAGGGGGGCGTGAGATAGGGTACATGTTTGGGCAGTACAAGCGGATCCGAAACGAGTTCACTGGTGTGCTGACCGGGAAAGGAATTCCGTGGGGTGGAAGCCTACTGAGGCCGGAAGCCACCGGCTATGGTCTGCTGTACTTTGTTCAGGAGATGCTTTTTTCTAAAGGCGACAACATCAAAGGCAAGTCGGTTGCTATCTCTGGCTCTGGAAACGTCGCCCAGTACGCATGCGAGAAAGCAACTGCACTCGGTGCCAAGGTCATAACTCTGTCAGACTCGGCGGGGACCATTCATGATCCAGACGGCATCACACCAGAGAAGTTGGCGTATGTATTGGAGCTGAAGAATGTCAGACGTGGGCGGATTAGCGAGTACGCTAAACATTACAAAGTGGCTTACTTGGAGGGAAAGAAACCCTGGGGTGTCAAATGTGATGTGGCTCTTCCGTGCGCTACGCAGAACGAAGTTGGAAAAGAAGATGCCGAGGAACTGGTTAAGAATGGATGCATATGCGTGGCTGAAGGTGCTAACATGCCAACACAGCCAGAGGCAGTGAGAGTGTTGCAGAAAAACAAGGTGTTGTTTGGTCCAGGGAAGGCATCAAACGCTGGGGGCGTGGCAGTGTCCGGTTTAGAGATGACCCAAAATAGCCTGAGAAGTGCTTGGACGAGAGAGGAGGTGGATGCCAAATTGCAGCACATTATGAAGCAAGTCAACCTACAGTGTGTCAAGTACGGCACAGGGCCGGATGGATCTGTGGATTACGTGAAAGGAGCAAATATTGGTGGATTTGTTAAAGTGGCTCAGGCTATGATCGATGAAGGACTGGTTTGAGAAACCTCATCACCATTCTGGCTTTTCATTCTTCTTTACATTCTCTCGATAAATAGTATATTTCAAACCAAAGAATCTTACAGCTGACAACAACGTCTTAAAGAATTTCGTTAGTAGTTTTTCTCGACATTCATCGATACGGTGATTCATTTTAAAATTTAAGGTTACTTGAATTATGGAATGGACTAAGGATAAGGATAAGGATCAGTCAATGATTACTGTATGGAGCAGTCAATCAAAATTTCAGTTAAGCAGGGTTTTGTCGTTCCAAATTGTTTCAAGGGCGACATTTCAATAGAAGTAGGTATTGTTGTATTTTGATTAGGAAACCGGAAGCGAATAAAACCAGTCGTTCTAAATCTTTCTAGTTTTTCTTTTTTTCACTTTGTGCGCAAGTGTATGACGCCAAATTAAGTAATTTTAATTGCTTCGGCCTTATATGGCCTCATAAGGATTGAAGTCTTCTTCGCCGCCGCAAATTTGATGTTGTTGCTTAGCTAAAGAAGATAGACCCTTATCTTATTGTAAGGGAACATTTCATTTCTCTGTCTCTAGGCTTTGAAGCAATAGAGAGGTGTTATCGAGGAGACATGATGAAAGGAGTTTGAAACAGTGTTATTCTGACTAGTTTGCGTGACACTTCGCTTACGTCTGTCACGCGATCGATTTATTTTGATTTGGGTTTGTGTAACAGGATTCATTAATTTTGAGCTTGATCACTGGGTACAGGAAAGGAGGAAAGAGTTTCTGACTCATTCACGTTCTCTGTTCCTTTACCTCTTCATCGATGTTTGTTTTCTTTAGGTGTAAAGTAGTAAATCCCCACTGGTACCCTTCGTCAGCTTTTGGTCTGCTCTTTTGTCGTTACCTTTTTTAGAATTAGCGAGGTATTTACTGACGTGTCTCCACAGCCAAATGTTATATTTAAATTTTTTTCCCTGTTGCACTCCAGGGCTCCTCGGACCATCGTAAGGCGGAATTCAGTGTTTGAGAAAGCACTTCCGGCTGTCGCATCGTAAACGCGACAGCTGTTCTTCTTATTATGCCTTCGACACAAAAATATCTGCAGAGGAGTCGTAACAGTTTTGCCATATTGGCTTCTTCGCAAAGAGAAATGTTTGTTCAGACCAGTTATAAGTCAATCATTTTCCAAATTGAATTTACTCTTCTCCTATTACTAGAGGAAATTTAACAAAGGAAACGTCACATGCTGTTTCAATGACTCCGTGTCATCCTCTTCGAAAGTGGAGCAGATCGCCATTGGTGCTGTTTGCATAAAAGGGAATAAAATTGTGTCGGAGACTACATGTTGCGTGATAGTAGCCTATCGACTACCCTTTTGACAGATTTTTAGAAGAAGTCTAGCCATCAAGAGACAATGAACACTTGAGCTACACGAATTGATTGACTTTCTGATTATCACATAGCAATAACCAATAATTATCTTATTCACTCGCATAAAATCGAGCGTCCTTTTCCATGTGATAAAAGTAGCTCTTGCATATCTGTTGTACTAAGTGAATACTACAAAAGTGAGCCAAGTGATTGAATAGTTCAGACAAACAACTCTACCGCTTGTTTCTTAAATGTCGTTCAGTAAACCCTAGTGAACGGGGCTAGTTCTCAACTTTTGTGAAAGATTGCATAAATTAAATTCTCGTAACTTTCGAGTATTTTTTTTTTTTTTGGCCAATCTTGCATTGAAAGGTCAGGCTGACCAATTCTGACTACTGGTGAGTGACCCTCAGTTAGTTTCCCCCCTCCCCCTCCCCGTACTATGCTCGGTTTGGCTTAGTCTCGTACCTTCCACGCCCTTTAGTTACAGTTACACGGTAGGATCTGGGTACGAAATTAGATTTGGCGTTCTTTGGGACAAGCAGCTAAACTGTTGAAAAATCTTGCCATGCAATATACCATACTAAGTGGCTCGATTAAACGGTGAAAACCTCATGAAATTCCTATGTTTCTTAGAGAGTAAACCAACATCATGTTTTGTTCTTTTTGTTTATTCTTCATCCACACGAAACTCGCCCTTTCCGAACCGGAAGTAATACCTACCCCATCGATGAGTCACTAAATAAAAATTCTTGTCGCAATTTCCCAGAGAGATATGACCTTCGATAACCGTAAACTGAAGCTTTTTGTCAGCTGACTGGTAATTCAATTGACTCGTACGTGGGATCTAACTCAGCCATTTAAAATTTTTTGCTATAAAAGGAAATCGTATTTTTGGCCGAGTTTTCCTGGTAACGAGTTGTTTGTCCCAAAACCTACTGTTCACTTCCTGCATTAATCATATCGAAGATGAGCAGTTTTCATGTTGCGTTCAATTTTGGTAGTGTTAAACTAGACCCATTATATTCTCGGTGAATCATTTTGCTGGTTGAGGACAGGAAATTTTGTCGATGGAGGCCGTGGCGAAATATAAGTTTACTGCTTCTCAAGATGACGAACTCTCCTTCGAAAAAGGCAGCGTTCTGAATGTAAACAGGGTTTCTTTTAATATGTAAACTCAAATAATTTATTGGCACTCGACTTTCAGGTTTTCAGTCTTTGATTATGCATCATTTTGCAGCCAAATATCATTTATTTTCAGATCTTAGACAAAGATGAGGACAGAAATTGGTATAAAGCAGAACAAAACGATCAAGAAGGTTGGATTCCAAACACCTATATAACGATGAGACCTCACAGGTATGCTCAAATTTTACCCGAAGGTCGATGTGACAGTTTCATTTTTTAAGTTTTTGTTTCGATTCACGAGTGAATTTCAATGTTTTTTATCTTGTGATTTGAAACGTCGAATGTGCTGTTATGAAATGTGGGACAAATTCTTTGGTTGCACCATAGATGATGTTTGAATGAAATGATCTCCTTTCTCAAGTTAATGGGTCAGGAAGTTCCCCTCAGTTGATTTGACTTCCGTCGTTTCAAATCGAGCGACTGATCAATTGATCAATTCTAAGCTCCGTCTGATATTCTGCAATATTGTGCGTGTAATTCTGCATTTTGATTGTGCACTAAGCGGTGCTGAGCCGTTGAGAGATTTACAATTAACAGAAACAATCTAATACGCATATCGCATTGTTATCGATTATATTTGAAGCCTCTTACCTTGATTGTTTTGAAACACGCATTACAGCTCATATTTCCACAACACAATTGCCTCTTCGAATGAACATTGTACTTATGACAGCTTCAGGGTCTCTGCTGAATAATTTGATCGAGAAATTAATGGCACTTTTGGTTTTCTCATTTATTTCTTTTGCAACTTTTGCTTGAAATGCACGCGAACCTCATGTTGTCATCTGTGTGAGGGGAATTTTCAACTTTGCTTTCAAGGGGGAAAAGAAGCAACTAGAACTAATTTGTTTTCACTCCTTGCTGAACTTGAAGTGAGGTCCTCGATCGCCACTACGACAGTTAAACTAAGGTCTCAGGTATAAGACAAACCTTTCACCTATATGGTCAGTCATCAAAGACCATAACCTTTGTGTTGATTGTTGGGAAGGGATGGAATTCCAGATTTTTACAGCTGTTTTGTATACCTACCAATTTTAGAAGACTCGGTCATTTCTGAAATTTTCAAAGATTTAGCATCATGTACTAAAAATATTTGTGGGTGTGGTGAAGAGTTTGCTCTTCTTCTTAAATTGGAGGCTTTTGGGAAAAAAGAATCATTAAAAAACCTGATCTTTTCTTGAAAACATTCATGCTACTCATACTTTAAACGTACTGATAAAAGTGGCAGTAGCACAAATATTTCTATAGGCATAAGAATTTGATCAGCAGGTATGGTTTTGTGTGAGATCAACTTTTGTACCTGTGGCCCTCAAATTGGCACCCAATAAGTGAATGTAGAAAAGGTATAACTTAAGAACATTGTAATATGTATTTGTTGTTGTTGCTGACTGTACTGAAATGTTATTTTAGCTGGTTCCATGGTAAAATAACGAGAAGACAAGCTGAAGAAGCACTTCTGCAGGTCCAACATGAAGGTGCCTTTCTCATCCGAGAGAGTGAGAGCTCACCAGGTATTGGTCAGTGCAGTCATGTCTATGCGATATTTAAATGGCCCCTCTTGGGACCATGGCTATTATATTTTAGATAGAAGAAGTTGTACCCTCTTCCTTCTGTGGCCTTAATCATGTTTTTTGTGAGGGAAGAGCTCACTGTAGTCTCACAGGCTTCTTTGCATCACTCCCTTTGTTTTACAGAGGATTTTCTGTTTATTCTTTATCCTGATATCCTTTCTAGTGAAAGGATATCACTAGCACTGATGTCCTCCATCTGATTTTGGGGAACTGATTACTTTAACAATGGTTCACAATTAACTTATTTTTGCTCAAAAAAAAATATGACAATCAATCATACAATAAAATGCAAAATTCTTATTTCAATGAATTGGTAATTGCATGTTATGGGTTGTCACAAATCTAGGCAGTCTTTTTGCTATTTTGTTGCCTCTTCTCTAAGAGATCACAAATTATCATTACTAGTAACTGTTTTCCATATAGTTCTTGTAAATGTCAATCATGGTTCTGGTTCAGTATGAGTTTCAAATGGTTGGGCATATTTAGCATAGCCAGTAATATGCTTTAATATTCTTTAAACCTGACCATGAACAAGGCAAAACATGCAAACCATTGCTAGTCAAGGAAGAAACTGAGAAAACTTACTGATTTTGCTCTGTCATGCTGTTTGGAATAATATATAATATATATATATATATATATATATATATATATATATAGGAAGTCTGCAAGTCGATTTTCGCATGGAACAGTGCTCAATACGTTGAAGCAGAGCAGAATAAATATTATGAGAGGAAAAAAGGACGCAACTACATTGCTCTGTCATGCTGTTTGGAATAATATATTAAACCCCTGAAGAGTGAAGCGATTCACGAAACAGGCTTGTCAGGAAATGTAGTTGCGTCCTTTTTTCCTCTCATAATATATATATATATATATGTTTGAGGGGGGTGTCTATTGCAGAGTGAGTTTATTAGTGATGGGTCTCTTAAAAGCATAGCAGCAAAGGGGGGGTGTTGTTAGATAAGGGGTGTTTGTTTAACCCTTTAACTCTCAAGATCTCATTAGTAATTCTCCTTACTGTTAGCCAAATGATTCTCATTATGTTAGTTTGGAGAATTTGGTATCGGACCAATTAGTAATCCCATAATTGATATTTTTCTTTATTCTCATCACTTGTCTACATGATATTGTATAAATGTAGTGAGGAGAAATTCTCTCTTGGTCACTCATGGGAGTTAAAGGTTAAGAAGGAGTGTCTATAAGATAATTTAGGATATGGGTGTTCTTTTTGCTCTGTTGTTAATTCTTTTGATGTTATCACTTTTCAGGAGACTTCTCTCTGTCTGTTAGGTAAGGATGATCTTGCAATATTTCTACCTTATCACTGAATTTTTAAAACCTATAAACGAATTAGTAAAACACAGCATATTCTATAGGTCAGTGAATGGTTAGGGATTAATAGAGATAAGGCTCTTTTGTGCCATGACAACTTGACGACACAACTTACCCCTTTAGCACAACACTCCACCTCACTAATCTACAGTTGCTACTGTAAGTTTGGGATTCATCCACCAAACAAAAGTGAATGCCTGCCAATACAGCTGATGTGGGAATATCATAAGAAATGTATGTCAAACTCCTATTTAGGATGAGTGGTAAATAGTTTGCTTCTGTATTTAGATTGAATGTTGTTACATTGCTGTTCGCCCACTACATTAGCTCAGGTTTTGTGAAAAATAACCAGTACCCATCCAGGTACTTGGAATAAAACAAAAAATAAACTCTTGGCTTTGAATGTTGTTTTTGAGTGTTAACAGTATAATTAGGTAACTCAATTCTGGTTACCAGGTCATATACTAAATCTCATTATGAATACTTAATCCATCATTTATTTACTTAAAATAAGCTCAATATGGAATAATTCCTAAATAACTAGATCAGGACTCAGGGACAATGTCCATTGCATCTCTGTTTCTTCCTGTGGTCAACCTAAATAGCTTTGATCACAGGAGAACGCTTAGCACACTGTACATACCATCTTTCTTAAGTTACCACAGTCAAACCTGCATTAAGTGGCTCTTTGTTAACCCTTAAACTTCTGTGAGTGACCAAGACAGAATTTCTCCTTACAATATCAGTGCAATATCAAGCAGACAAGTGATGAGAATAATTAAAGAAAAATCTCAATTAGGGGATTATTAGTTGATCCAATACCAAATTCTCCAAACTAACATCACAAGAACTATTTGCAGACAGTAAGGAGAAATTATAATGGAATCTTGGAAGTTAAAGGATTAAGCAGTCACCTTTATTAAGAGCTAAGTTATCAGTCACAAAATTCTTTTCTCTCAAACACTTTTAGTAATTGTCACCTCTATTAAACTGTGGCAGTCACCCTTTACCCAAGTCCCAAAAGCCTGTTTGTATTGTCTTCCACCTGTGCTGAATGGTCACTCAAGCATATTTAATCCATGTTCATCTCCCGAAATCAATGCTAGTATTATTTTCAAGAGTGTGTTTGTACATTTTATTAAATAAAATATCTTTTATTAATGATACCTCTCTATTGTGGAACCTGTCATAGGTGATCAACCTGTATTTAGTGGTCACCACAGCATTTCCTGTGGGTGCAAGTTTAGTTTATGTCTATATACTTAGTTAGTAGAGTCAGGTGGTCAAAGCTTTCATAACAAATAAAAAATTTCTCTTCATCAGAACTGGTGACCATGTTCAGCACTTCAAAATCTTTAAAACTGAGGAGAGGAAGTACTATTTGTGGATAAGACAGTTTTCATCTCTCAACATGTTGGTAGAGCACCACAAAACAAACACAGTCAGCAACAATCAACAAATATTCCTCAGTGATACAGACTTAAGAGTAAGTTACATTTGTGCCTTTAACGTTATCCATATTGGCCCGACCTAAGAATTTGGTGATCTATCCTGTGAACAATATTCCTTGGTTGGTGATTTTTTAAAATTTCCTTATCATCAGAGTATTCCTTGCAGTGTATTTAATAATGGCAAAAACACAAGTCTGATTGCTTGATTATTTTAGTGTCAGTACTTAAGACAGAACTGGATGACAAAAAGTCCTGTTACTTATTGATTAAAACCATAAGTCTCAAATACCCATTGTTTAATCAGGAAAAAAAAAAGACAGTTGACATATTTTCTGAAAGAAAAATAATCTAGTTGCAGGGGTTTCACTAAATTCTTGTAGCAGCTGCCAATAAAATAATAGAGAGCTGTGTGGCAAATCCCAAACATGTGAACCCTGCCCACAGGCTAAACCAATGGCCCTGAGAGTTCCTACAAGTGGTGTTTGACCACCAGTAACCAGCTTTTACTGAAACATCTATCCAGTAGCCTACACGAAAGCAACTGCAAATGTTGACTTAAACTTTCCAATTACATAAACATGATACATAAATTTGTCAAAATTTAATCGATAAAACTGGTGTATTATTTTACTTCTTACTCTTTGGAATCAAAGGGTCAAATGAATTATTCTTTCCCTTTATAAAATAGGATGAGATGGTGCAGGCCTTGTTTACTTTTGCTGCGCAAGACTCAGATGAGCTGAGTTTCACGGCAGGTCAGTGGATAACAGTGTTGGATAAAAGTAATCCTGATTGGTGGAAGGGACAAGTCAATGGAGCTATTGGGATCTTTCCTTCAAACTATGTAACTGCCCCAACACCTAACCAAACATAAACGAAATAGAAATCAAACATTCAGGGCCAGTTATTTTAACAAAATTAAACTTAGAAAGCGGCTTTAGACAATCAATCAACTGAAAGATTCTTTATAAGTGATAGCTGTTCAAAATCGAAATACAAACATAATGGTCAGCTGAATTGGAGATGATGAAGACTAGTTAAAATAACTGGCCCAAAGTTTTCCAACATTCTTTGTAAATAGAATTCACAGTTTGTAGTTCCTTCAATGAAACACTTTAAAATGTCCTTGTTTAAATTTGTCGTTAGATGGTGATATAGTTTTACTGATATTTCAAATAATCTTACCACCAAACAAATAGAATTCACACCGGATGTACATTAATTTAGCTTGTCACCATTTCCTTGTAAGTATGAAGTTTTATTTGCCGTTTTTATCATTGTTCTTGAGGGTCATTTTGCAAATAAAACAATTTAATTTCCATAGTTAAGATATATTTTTAAGCCTTAGAAATTACCCCATTGATCCATTATTTTTATTTTGCAAAAAGTAATACACTGGAATTCTTTTCATTAATCTACGGTTATTCCTGTGACATAGATTAAGATGTTTATATTTTTTAATGAGTTTTTTTTAACTGTATCTAATAAGTGTTATCTTTACCATGATGTACCTGTTGAAACTCAGATTTAATCCTGATGACAAATTATTATATGTATGCTATGATTGGTCAATTAATCAGACATTCTATGTGGAGCTACAATATATGATTAGCCCTTTAACTCCTAAGATTTCATTTTAGTAATTTTCCTTAATTTTTGCCATACAATTGATGTGATGTTAGTGTGGAGAATTTGGAATTGGATCTATCAATAATCCCCTTATTGATGTTTTTCTTTATTCTCATTAACGTCTGTTTGATATCGTACCGATAATTTAAGGAGAAATTCTGTCAAGGTCACTTGTGGGACTTAAAGGGTTAATGTCTTATTGACCTCGATTTCTAAGTCCATATTGTAAGCTATGGAGACAAGTTTTTCTGCCTTGCAATTGGGCCACAAGTCTGAGCAGGAAAAAACTTGGTCTATAATTTACAGTCAAGACTTTGAACTTGGCTAGTAAGAGGTATAAAAACATTTCTGATATCCAAAACAGGTGTTGCAAACTACTTATTGTAGAAGTAGTAACGGGTAATACATATTAAAACTTGGGAAGTAGGTTATTGAACTGAGGGTGCAGTGAAAGGACTGTGTCTTTCCTGGTAACAGTATTAATTTGTGGTATATCCACCCTAAAAATTACAATAATTATAATTATATTTAACTTTAAAAAGAATTGGTATAAAGTTGTATTTTTTTTTGGTGGCTTCTTAAGCAATCAGTGGATCAATGACTTGGAATTGTAAAGTAATATGTATCATTTTTAATTGTTTGTCATTTTTAATACTGAGAGAAGTGTAAAAAGGATGTTGTTTTCTTAACATCCTTTGGGGATGACAAAGTATGCCATAGTAGTATGTTTAGTCTATCATCAAGCTGCAAGGAAATTCTAAAAATCAGGCTGGTTTGAGGGATTGAGTTGTATTATTTTTTTTATAGGTTATTAAAAAAACACTCTGGCATAAATCATATGCACTTAATAAATAAATGCAATAGAGTAAAAAGTATAAAGAATTGTGTGCAGCAACAAAATAATGAATACTTGTATGCAATAGACCAAGATGTTCCTTTGCAGTTTTTCCATTTAATAAATTGCTTCAAAGGCTCAAAACTTTCTAAGTGCAAGGATTAACCTACATTCATTACACTTTCACAGAAATATTTACACGTTTTTTTGTAAATCTTGACATAAAAAGTGTGTTAACCTTCTCAACAAGAGTAACTTCATTTTGTTATCAATAAAGATCAATTTAAACAAAGTCTATTGTACTCTATGTTAAATAATGCAAAATGGTTTATTTTCTACAAGAGATTAGAAACAGGTATAAGGCTGTGGAGTTGCTTAGAGAATCATTTTGACACTAGGAGTACTTTCCATTTATCAGGTGTCGCAAAACTGAAAGAACTTGTTCTTGCCAGTGAAAATATGATGCCAAAGTCAACTGGATTTGAAAGTTCTTTGGACATTGCTCCAATTTAGATTACCTCCCTCATTTTCCATACCATTTCTTTATGTTTCCCTGATACTTTGCTTGCAGATTTATACCCATTCCATTCCTTCAATAAGAGAAAAACTGAGACTAGCATTTCAATGACCATTGAACCTGCAGAGTGATAAACAGCACCACATTGTCCAAAGTTAAGAATGTGGCTTGCAGAATTAAGGCAGCCATACTATTGTCGAGCATTAATTCCTGTAAATGTGTGTTCAACAACTTTTTCTTGGCAGGAAAGAAGTATGATAGGAAAACCCATTGTGTTCAAAGATGGCTTCTCAATGTCTTTTCCGTGTGGCTTAGGGCTACTAAATTGCAAAATTTTACATCTTTGGATCGTGAAATTGGCCCCAGCCATGAAAGCATCTCGTAAAGTGGTGTGGTTCTTTCCCTCTGAAGGTGCAGCGCAGCTTCCTGATTGGACCACTGTCAAGCTGCATAAGATGCTGAATATAAACCTAACAAAGATATTGCAATAACAGTTTTCCTTCACTTGTAATAATTTCAGTCTTTACTTCTGAAGGATTAATTACAACCATAATCTTTTACTGAGGGATAATTGAAAATATCATTGCACAAAACTCCACACATCATGAAACAAATCAAGATGTTTCCTTGATGCAGAAAGTCACCGTGGCAACACCAAAGCCTCTTAGAAGCACCCCTAATTTAACCTCTATATGCTTGTACTTTGAAAGAAGAGGTCTGTACCTTCCCCCCCCCCCCTTTTTAAACTGCAGTGAGCATAAAAGAGGGGGAGTGATCACTTTTTTAAAACTGCGGTGCTGTGTCAGAGGTGGGTATTACAAGATTAATTGGTTTAATGAACTGAGTTGATAATGTAAGGTGGCCATGCATATGGTAGTTCCATAAAGCTGACATTTCAAGTGCACTGACAGTGTTGTGTTAATAAAAATACCTGTGTACTTTTGATGGCCATCTTCCTTTCAACATCACTGGACTGAGGTCCCATCCAAACATATACCTGAAGAATGAAATGGGTTTACAGTTTGTCTGTTACATGGTTAAAAGTTGACTGCATCTGCTTTGTCGGACAATAGATAAACTTGACACAATTTAACAGTTTGGGCATTTATCAATTAAAATATTACTGGTCTATTAATCATGTCAATACGGCTCTGATCATCAGTTTAAGACAAAAAAAACAGTACTTAACCAATGGAATTTTACACTGTAGAAAACTGTGATTAACATGTAACTTCTCCCTATATTATCCATACATTATCCAGCAAACTCGTAATGAGAATACTCAAACTTATCAGGTCGAAGTTGTTATCTTGATCGAACACCAAATTCTTGTAACTTATTTACAAGGAAATGTGTAGCAGCTAGAGGGGAGAATTAACAATCAGGGCCCAGTTGTTCAAAGGCCGATTAACTCTAACCCAGGGTTAAATTTTAATCCAGCTTTCTTTATTTCTTTGTTCAAAAGTCTTTTTGGGAAAATTTTCACTATTCTTTTTAAAACATCCAATGATCAAATTGCAAGCCAAAAGATTTGAACTGAATTTTCTCTTATAGTTTTCAGACCTGAAATCAAATTTCACACTAACCCTGGGTTACCTTAACCCAGCTTTGAACAACCGGGGCCTGATCTTCAGAGTTAAAGAGTTAAACAACTAAATTTCAAACTGTAAAAAACTGCCAATTATTGCCATCAATACCTCATGTCCAGTGTCAAGAATCATAACATCTTCACTTGCTAGGTCATCCTAAACCAAAGTAAATAAACAAACAAACAAACAAACAAAAACGTGAGGTAAGTACAGGTTTAGAAATGGTAATACCACTGGAAAAGTTAAAATCAGTTCCATTAGTATGGTAAAGATTAATACATTTTTGTGAATTTTTCTCCATAGGATCAAATTTTTGACACAAAAATATTAATTCATATAAAACAAGTAAATACTATTGACACTTCTCCTTAACAAGAATCTAGCTTTAGAGAATTCTATACTTTGTCTTCTTTTTGCAGCCCTAGTTAAGTAAACATACACCTATTAACAGTCTCACCTGACAAAAATCAGAACACTTTTCAGAGACTGAAAAGTACCCCTTTTCATTAGAACAGCGGAACAGACGAGCATAATTGATGTACTCTGCAGACTGCAAAGATACAGGCAAAAAACACATATGAAACATGATCCCTAACAGTAAAATCTGACCCCTATGGGAGGGCAAAGGAAATCTAAAATTAACCTTGGGAAACAGACCAAGTTATCTGCAAATATCAGAAAAAAAATTTATCTTCTGTGATTCTTGGGAAGCTCAAACCAACTGCTTATTATAAGAGCACATTTTGCTACCCTGAAATCCACTTTCCAATGCTTAAATGTAGCGCCCATCCATTCTGTTTCATACAAGTTTTTGTTCCTTCACTTCACTGTGGTCCTACTAAATAACTAAGCTATATTCAAAACTGCCCCAACTCAATGCCAGGGCTTGTTTCATTGTTCTTTGTGGTAAGCCAACTAGCTACCAGGACCTAGTTGTATAAAGGGAGCAGATAAATTGCTATCCAGCAGATAACTGTCAACAAAATGTACTGTGCTATTCACCTGATAGCAATTTATCCAGTGGATAGCCTTATCCAACAATCAAACAAACAGGTCCTGAACCCCAAAGCTTCTTGATAAAGATATAGTCCCTCTGAAACTAAATAAAGTTTTAGGTAGTGAAACACACACCTTATCATAGTCTTTCTTTCCTCCAAGACCCACCCAGAAGAAGTTCTCTGGTTCATCTCCTTCATTGACAATTTGAACTGTGTAGCCACTCTAAGATACACACAAGAAAAAAATAAAATCAGAGAAGACAAATGTAACAAAAAACAAAATTAACATGGGCCACCACAGGTAATCTGTTCATCAAAGGTAAAGATCAGTAACATGGACAAGTCAACATGACAAAAATCTCTCAAAACCAATTTCTTTCTGTGGAGTGGGTCCTAAATAAGATCTAAATTTGAGAAGTTTTCTGACTTACATCCCAAATTTCATTTCCGAGTTCCTTGGCATGATCAGCTTCACTTTCCGAGACTTTGCTGTTTGTTTAAAAGAAACATTCAGGTTAATTTCAAAGAGAGAACAAAACAGTGGAAACAAACCATTCAGCACAAGGTTAGAGAGAAATACCTGCCAATCCATACATATATGATTCCATCTTCAGAGTAATTTTCAAATGGAACTTTCAGGATGTAGCTGGAAAATAGAATATTCATAACTGAGTTGAGAATTTTTTTTGTAACTGCATAATCACTAACTATTAATAGTTTTTAACCATTCTCATATCTGCTACCTTCCGAAATTTAAGTTTGTCTTCACAAGCCTACAGCCAGCATTACTATAATGGTAACCTCTGGAAGAAATAACCCTTCAGTGTTCCAGTAAGCTGTAGTAACTCTATTGACCACAATTTACTACTTCATGCTGAAAAAATTCAAAGATGAGGCTTACCAGAATTCAGAGTTCAGATGTCTAGCATCAGTTTCAATCTGAAGATTAAATAATAAAAGCAACAACCATCATTTTTGATAAGATACACAAAGCTCTGATTTTGTGAGATACCTCAGTGTAAAACTTAAGTCAAACAAGGGCTAAGGAAGCATTTTGATGCTGCATGACTCACAATTGGATCGAAAAAGCAGGGACATAGCTAGGGTAGGGTAAGGGAGAGGAGGGGGCCTGAGGGTGCCTGTCCATCCCCTCAACCCCTCCTCCCTGAGATAAGGTTATTTATTTTTCAATTCAATTCAGCAATTTGCAACTTGATAATTAGGGTGATAAAAAGTATCTACATGGTAAGCAACACTCAATGCTCATGATATACAATAAATAACACATTTACACCAAAGCTCAAACATGTTTTCAAGCTGTTTTGTTTAACATGGGTTAAAAATTGTTTTCTTCATAAAAACTGCTTAAAATGATCTTTGTCATATTCAAATTTAGCACACTGAAAATACAAATTAGAGATGACTTGAATCCTATGGGAAATTCAACTTTTCATTTCTGTTTCTGATTTTCATTCATTTAAACCAAATTTAATTGAACATGTTTCGCTGGTGTGAATGGGGCAAAAGTGTTGCTTGAGAAAACACAGATTGGATATCTAAGTGAAGAGTTATGTAAGTACCCTGAGTTTCAATTCCCCTAAAAATTCCATGCTATACCCCTAAAGAGGCCAAAGGACTGCAGAAAGCAGGAGAAAAACCAGCATAAAATGTACCCACATATACTTGTTACCTACAGTAATGGACATTACTGAACAACAACAAAAATTAGGATTCAAAATACACTTGAAGGAAGCAAGCAAGACAGCAACTGTATAAATGTCTGATTAACATTGATAATAACTTATATTACATCTTTTAAAGAGTTCAGGAGCAATCTAACTTTACAAGTGATGCTATCTCTGACGACTACAATGTAAAATGTCAGGAAGTTCTTAATTTCTTTTTATTGAAAATGCTAACCCATAGCAGTGATCTTCTTTTTGTACCTGAATCACTCTCTTAGCCAGAATGCCGCCACTGGAGCGGATATGGTAGAACTGAGGTTTATTCTTTTCTTCTGGTTTCACTGGCTCTTTGCGTTTTCCCTATTGATAGATCAAGTGAAGCATTAACTGCATTACACATTAAGGTCACAAGAATAGAAGAAATGACAGAGAAGATCTTGACTGCTAAGCAAATTCTCCTTGTCAGTACTTTAGCAATTGTATAGAGAACAGTATGGAGAATATGCATAATGATGTTAGGGTTTAAAGGGTTGAGACCACTTAACTTAAACACTTTATTCCTAGTTTCAATAAAAAATAATCAATGGATGGAATCCTTTCCCCACTTGGGGTATAAATTACACTTTTACCTTGTGAATGATGAACTTTCCTTTGAAATGAGCTAGAAATCTTGGGGCCTCTTGTTGCTGAAAAATAAACAAAAGCACAGATATTGAAGACTGTTGAGCATCCACTTGGTTGATCAGTCATCATAAAATTAAAGATCTGTTCAACACTGCTTATTAACTTTTTGATTCAGAATACATCGTACCTGCTGTGTCTTCACAACCTCTAGTTTTTCACCAAATAACAACTCAAATTTCTTCTGAAGACTGGAAAAGAAAAATTAATCTCTGTTAGATTGGTGTCAAGTTACATTCTATGAATTTAACTGCTCAGGCATCAAATACAAGCAAACTCTGCTGATTTCTCAGACATCACATTCAGGTGAACACTACAGATTAAGGTTTTAAAACTAAATAAAAATTTGGTAAACTGATGTACTGGTAAGTAAATAAATCATTGACATATTCCTTTAAGAAGCATTACCTGAATGTAAATGTCAGCCAACCCATCTGGTTTGCATCTCTTCCCTGTAAAATCAAAATGAAAACAAACAGGCAACTGAATAGTGAATGAGGGAAAATGTTCTACCAAGTAAAGCTTTTAAGATCATTGTAAATTAAACCTCATGATATTAACATACATATTATGGCTGAATCTTAAGCAGTGTACAATTTTTTTGTCCTCTCCATATTTTGATGTCATTTGGAATCAATGCAACATTAAATATTAACGTTAGAATACATAATCAGTAATAACCTGCCAGAAGTACACAACACATTGAAAGTCTTCTTCTTGTTCCACTGGTTCATCATCATCTTCCTCTCCCTCAGGTTGTTCAACTGGCACCCAGTAACGACACAAGAACACATAACAGTCTCCAGTGTGAAAATGTCCTGACAGAATAATGACATCAAAACCAAAACACTGTAAATGCAGCATCAGAGCAAACCAAATGAATTTCTTTTGCAAAATTCTTGTTCCTCAATAGATAGACAAAAACACAGCAACACCATTTGTACAAAACCAGGTGAAATGGTTATCTTATTTGTATCCCAAGATCTGATTGTTAATTCTCCCCTCAACTGAAATAGGATGTAATTTTTTTTTTTATTAAGATTTCTTCCTGGTTTGAGTGTTCTCTCCTTGGTGGCTGGATAATGTATGGAAAAACAAATCAAAGGGGTCAAAACAACAAAGAGGCTCACCAATTTCCTCTTCAGGGAGACGGACAAATTTTCTCCCCTCCAGAACAAAGCACTCCATACCATCTAGATCTTCATTCCATTCCTCCACATATTGTTCCTTCAAGGACACAGAACAGTTTTGAATAAAAGCTATTAATAATAAGGGTTTATGCCATCACTAAGCAATCCCCTGTCAGATAAATCAGGTCAAAAAATTAATTACCTGCTCATTATTAGGGATGGGCTGTTGCCGAGTAGTGAACAAAGCAGATAGATCAACCTGGTGGATGAAAGTAAACAAAGTTAAGCAGCTGAAGCTGATGAGCTGATCACCATCAATTACACCACAGACTTACAGGTAAAGTCAATCTTCAAACATGCACATGATATAATTTCAGTTCCACCATGATGCTTAATAAAGGGAAGCCCTACAACTGGTGCAAACTGTGCTGAGTGAGAGTGCTGTTGCAGTGCAAACAACATGATGTTCACCCCAGAGACAGGGTTGTAACTAAGAAATTCGGCTGTTGGCTGAAATTTCACATGAGGCCACTTAAACATATTGTTTGATATGGAACAATAGTAAGTGCGTAACTTCAGAAATGCTGTCTTAATTTGCCAAGCAATTACTTTACCAGCAATTATGGCTTTTTCATCTGAACTAATTTTGCTCACATGGGGCCTAGCAACAACCCTGCTAAGAGATTGTGAATTTCAATTTGATTGAGACACAGATGAGTGAATGCTTCTTCAACAGCAAGGTAATGTATCCAGTAACATTAGTAATGAAAACTAAATTTATAATCATGCTTCCATCAACATTACCTTTGCAACCTTCTGGAGCTTAGCCTGTGCTTCCTTTGTGGTTATATTCTAGCCAAAGAAGATTAAAAATACTTTCACTATTATTTGTCATCAGTATTAATAGCATTCTAATTATAGGGAAAATGCATTCCCAGAACTTTGTTTATCTTTGTTTTGATGCATCCACCACCAAACATTTTATTTGGAAGTAACTAGCAGATTCATACATTTGAGACACTTCTCAACATAACTAAGTAAATGATTGAGAACAAGAAGACTCTTTGTTTTTCCAGACATTAATGGTACCCTAAAAAATAATTATTTTGTCAATACTCAAGCTTACCTTATATTTGATACCATTATTCCAAGTTTATGAAAATAAAGTGTAATTCAAATTGGTTGTTGAGTTTTTATCTATTGTTACAGAACAGCAAAATTTCCATGATACTCATAGGTGACTTACAGTGACTCCAAGCTGTTTTGAGGCCTTTGCAACATAATCAGCACTGAGAGTGTAATCCACTGCAAGCACGTCATCCCAGCCAATAAATCGAGCTTTAAACATTTGGGATTCAGCCCTAGAATTAAAAACAAATTACTAGTTATCTTTGGAGGAAGTATACTGTCTTATGTGATATCACATAAGACAGTATACACCTTATTCCAAAATGACAATGTATCTATTGACTGACCTGTACAGGGTTCATATCCTTTTTTCAGAAACAAATTTCAAGGACTTTTCCAAGACTTTTCCAGGACTCAGATTTATTTTTCCAGGTCTCCAAATTTCACCTAAATTCCTTTAGTTCCCAAGATGTCAAAATCATTTCTCCCTATGGTATATATACACTTCTTATAATGTAAATTCTGAAAACTTTATTTGTTGAGTGTCAAAATAAAATTCCACACCCTTCTAGGTTCTCCAGGACCCATACAAACCCTGCATGTATCTACAACAATTACCAGTATTTACCAGCTTTGCCTTGATTATATCTTCAGAATTCAAGGGGTTTTAACTTAAACCAAAACAAAGAAGGCCAAATGACATGACAACTCAAAATAATGTACAGGTATATCGCCCAATTTAATTATAAAAATTAAAGGGTGAAACATCTATCATCCGGAGACATGCCAAGATGAAGAACAACACTACAAGTTGGAGTTTTATTAGACATGAATCCAGATCTGATATCAAGCTGCCCAGCCACTACTTACCCCTGGAGGTTACGTATTTGAACAGTGAATTGTGGACGGTCAATCATAGCGTAAAGCTCCTGAGAGAGCTTCATCGCTGCAGCACGTACAAGACGAGCTGATTTGCGACCAATCCTGGAGAATAGAACTATAATTAGTTCGATATATCCATTTCTTGTATTTTGAGGTTAAATTTTATTTTATCAGATGCATTACAAAGGTAATCTTTGGAATATAAAAAAAGGAAGACTATTGAAACCAAGGATAAAAATTGTAAAATATATTAAATAATTGCAAAATATATTTTTTTTCTATCAAGTATTAACAATTTAAAGAATAAACTTTAAAACAAGGATTTTGGTACATTAAGGCCAAGATATAGACACTATTACTTACCAAACAAAAATCTCAGAATGACAATCCAAAATATAGACATGCTTATTTTCTAGCATTTTTGTGCTCAATTTCCCTCCATTAGTATCCACTGATATGTAAGATAAAAATAGACAAAAAAAATTGATACTTGTGGTGCCCTAAATACACACATTAGATATCAATAATAATGAGTTGGCGCTGTTCAACCCTTACCCCTCTCTCTTAAGGTCATGAGAATACAGGAAATGATCACCAATTTAAGAAGCTCCTGATTGTCAATCAATTTCTTCCTCTTAGTACCATAGGTAATATAAAGAGAACAGTGTGGAGAATGTGGATGCCAATGTTAGGATGTAAAGGGTTATCATGTGCAGGTGGGGTGTATACAGGTATGCTATAACTGACTGCCTTGTCAAAAAGTTCCAATAGGATAAAAATCACGATATCATGAAAATACCTTGTGGAAGCTCCAAGTAACCTAGCCCTAGAGCTACTTGGTACAGAATAGGCACAGGAGGTGGTTCATTGTACTCTGGTTTTTCCTACAAAAAATAATCAATATAAAATTGCAGGGGGGCAAGTGGACAATGGTTTTTAAGTAACTATGGATATTTCTTCCACAATTAAAAAAAAATGGGGGGGAAATGATCCTAATACCCTCTTTTAACAATAGTAACTGTCTGGAACAGATAATTTCAAAAAATTTTGAAAGTTCAAATAATAACTTTCAAATGTTTAAAAAAAATTTCTTTGTACAGGTTGCTTAGATTGTTTGTCCATCCCTTGAAGCTAATATCTAAAAACTAAATTCTGACTCTTTCATTTGTAGAACAAACTATTATTAGTCATAATTATAACATTAAAACTGTTATTATTGAGACAGACACTTAATGTGTCACTCACCATAATTTCATCTGTTGGACGACCACCGAGAATTCTCCAAAATTCAGCAGGTTCATCTCCCTAAGATGTGAAATGATAGGATAACATGATACATGATGTACAATATCTCAGTTGGTACAAAATGTTTCCCATGTGACAGAACCAATGAGAACTGACTAGTTCTTAGTGCATTAATGATTAATGTGAAGCTTGAATTTAGTGAATATTTTACAAGTGGAAATAAAAATCATTTTTAGGTATTCTAGATGCAATGTAGCTCAAGAGCAGTGTTCTCCAGAAGCACTAGTGGCCTGCTTTTTCATAAGCTATTCCTTTCTGAAGGGCCAGTTTCCTTAATTACACACATCAACAAAATGCCTTTATTGATATGAAATAATCTTATACTCCTTTATACCCGAACATCAGTATCCATATTCTCTATGCTCTTCTTATTACATTTCCTTTGGTACTGACAAGGAGAATTTGTACCTTAATCATAGCTTCTTAGGTTGGCAATCATTTCTTTTATTCTCATGATCTTACTTACTTACGTAAATTACTTAGCAGTATTACTATGGGGAGAAATTAGTTGCTGATCACTCTGAGGGGTTAAAGGGGTCATCTTTACCACCTGGTTTTTTTTGATCAAAGCTGGGTTAACTCCCAAGATCTCATTAGTAATTTGATTTCTGGTCTGCCAACTTTAAGAGTTCTTGTTCAAATGTTTTTTTGGAGAATTTGATCATTTGATGTTCTAAAAAGAATAGTGAAAAATTTTAAAAACCTTTTCTTTAAAGAAATCAAAGCTTGTTACTGCTTGATATTGTATTGATATTGTAAGGAGAAGTTTTGTCTTGGTCACTCATGGGATTTAAAGGGTTAAGACTTCCTTATAAACAATATCGAAGGAGAACTCTACAAGAGTGGCCAGAAAATAGAGCAGATGTATTTAAAATGTAATATTTGGGACAAACTTGAGGAATTGACAGGATGCTAACCTATCCCAGTATACCTTTGGCTCTATCAACCAACATAAGGTTTACCTAATTATGCTCCAGAGAAAAGAATAGCATCATTAGGTAAAAGAGACCAAAACTGAAATTATCCCAGAAAAAATATTTTATATAATAAGCTCAGTTATGCACGCATTCTGATTGGTTCTCACCTATTGGAGGACAGACAAAAAACTTTTTAAATTATATAAAACAAATAGATTCCAGTTGCTCTGTTCAGTAATAACAAATTTTGAGTGACAGACTTGGCTCAACATATTTTTGACGCCATCTGACAACAGACATGGCAACTAAAAAGACATAATAATACCAATTAACACTTTGTTCCTACCGTTTCACACATTATAATTTCTGCTTTGTTTTTACGATCATTTTTGTTCAGCTTTTCTGCAAACAACCTGTTATGAGACCAAGTTGAGAGACACAACATCCATCAGTTAACTCTGTATTTGCCGCTAATATGAGCTACACAAATTGTAAAATATCCAAAGATTATCTCATCACTTTTAATTACCTTCCTTTTGTTTTCATTGTTCCTTTTGCCTAGAAGATAAAACAGAAGATGAACTCTTTTTGTTAAGTGGCTTTCGTATATTAAGTAAAAGAGAACTGTTCTTAAGTCTGGCAAGTCACCTTCAAAAATGGGAACACAACAGTATCTCCAAGGGATTTTGCAAATAATCATTCAAGGCTGTGATGCATACAACTTAAAGATCAAAAGCAATCAGACACTCACCCTTGCTCCAGACCAAATAAACATCTTAAGTCCAGCATCTAATACAAATGAGAAAGTTGGATCCAGAGATGAAGTGCTCACTTCCACCTGCCAAAAAAAAAAAAAAAAAAAAAAAAAGGTTTGTATATTTATCTATAAATACATGTATTCCAAAAGAGTATTCTTGGAGTGTGCAAATGATAGAATGTGAACTGATAAAACCAAAATGCAAATTTGCAAGAAAGAAGAAGGATGAACACTGTTACAAATTAAAGAACTTACTGGCTCAAGTTGTACTTTGGATTGATTGAGAATCCTGAAGAGCCTTGTAGGGTAGATCTAACAAAAGATTGAAACAATCTTCACAAACAAATCACTGAAAAGGATCACTAGATCATGAACATATAAAGCTAAAATTTTCATAGCTTGGGTAAAGTTTGAGGTAGCCTTGCTACACCACTAGAAAGCTCATTTGTACATACTTACTGGATCTTCAACTGTGTAAAATCCACTAGCTGTACCACCTGTAGTTATACAACATATTAAATAATGTTATTAAATGTTTCATTCCCAGGATCTTAATATTAATTATTCTCTCTAACTGCTACATATTTCCTTATAAATTAGTTATGGGAATTTCGTGTTAGATCAAGATAACAACTTCTACCTGATAAGTTTAAATATTCTCAATACCTGTTAGCTGGACAACTTAATGATATTGTAAGGAGAAGTTATACGTTAAGCACTTCTGAGAGTTTAAGGGTTAACTGCTGTCAGTGCTAAATTAAGTCATTATGTGCCTGGCTAATATTGAAAGAAAGCAAGTTACTCAATTTAACAAACAGTCACATACTGCTAAAATGTTATTCCTTACCCTCAACATAATTGAGGCCATTTTCGAACAGTTCACAGAATTCCTCTGACTCATCTCCCTGTTCCTCACGCTTTAGAGACAAAAGATATCATTACTTAGGAGTCCTACACTATTGCCAACCTTTGCTTTTATTTTTATTTTTCATATTTGACTGACATGTGATCTTGTGACCTATCAATTCAACACTTGTCAAATGAACTAACAGAAGTACAGAAGCAAAAGTAAACAACGAAGAACTAACCACAGTCCGTGTCTCAGCACCAAGGAAATTTCTTAGATTTACAGCATGGATAGCTGAGCAAGCCTTCTTGTCGAGCTAAATAACAAAACAATAAATTCATAGTCATGAGGCTTATCTAACTCAAGATCAAAGTATGGTAGCTTCCAATGGAGATTTCTTCCAGAGATGATTTCCACCGTCATAGTTATTTATTTATTTGCAATATTAAGGACAGTCTGACTAAGCTTTAAAGCTGGTCTAAATGAGTGCTTCTCTAGACAATAACAAGGCATGTCTACAACACCAGGAGCTGCATTTCTGCACTCTTTGCGAGAAGTGTGTGGGTTCTTTAGCATCCCCTGCTAACCAGTACAAAGAAGATGCAGGAGACGGAACCAATAAATTACTGCTTTTATGCAAGAAGACAAGAATGTCTAACTGTTTGTGGATGTCAAAGCAAAGGCAGCTCATTTGCTTCAGTTATTTTAAGACCCTGAGTGTTAGTCCAGTCTAGTGCATGAACCCCTGACCTTCCTCAAGGAAGTCTGGTGCTCAACAACATTCATGAGTGGATAATAAACAATTAATAACTTTCTCAATAGTATTTATAATCAGTGATGAGTTATAAATTATTTATTTTGTACTTAATAAATGGTTGGCACACTTACTGAGGCTTCTTTTCCAATCCAGTAAAATATTTGCCAAAACAACTGGTCTGTGTCATCAAAACTAGTCTGAATGTGTAAAAAGTATCAGTTACCACCGGACAAGCAGAGAAGAAGTGTATGTGTAACTAAAGACAACCCTTTGAAACCAAGACTAAGACCAAAATTACTTTAAAGGAAAGTCACCTTGAGAACAATGTAGCAGTCAGCTTCATAAAACTTTCCATAGAACACTATCAAGAAAAAAATGATAAGAATTAAAAAATCATTCTCTTTACTGCCTTTTTGCCATTTCAAATTAATATTCAAGTTGAAATGATTTCAAATAACTCTCTTACATTCATCAACTGAAACTGGTAGGAAATTTTCAATTTGCCATACTACCAGACCTGCAAAAATGAAAGCAACAATTTTTGGTCTCCTTTAGGTACTGTAATTGTTATTTATATTGAAGTAGAATGAAAGAAAAATATTGACAAGAGTCAGTAAAAAACTTAGTGTACTTTAACAAAAAATTGTTAGTATTATACAACACACAAATCCACTACCATAGTTTTGGGTGACTACATGTAGTAAATGCTTTAAAATAAGTCTTATTTCATTTCATTTTAAAATTAATGCAAGTAAAATGCAATATTGAAGACTGTCATTTATTTTGATGATCTTACCAGGTTCTTGGCCAGTGTCTTCATTAAAGAAATCGTTATAATTCAGATTAGGTTTCACTAATGCCTCATTCCACTTCCTACCCCTATTAAAATTGAATGAGAAGTCAAATAAGAACAGACATTATGCCTCACTATTCTGGTAACAATTAAATTCATTTGGTAAATAATAATTCTCAATAATATCTTAAGCTCCCCTGCTTGACTCCACAGGGTCTTTGACACCCTATATCTACTCATTAAGACATGCCAGCCCCAGCAACAAATCCAAAGAAGGTTTGAATGAACGAGTGTGTTCAGTTTTCAAGGATGTGGGATAAACTTACTTCAAAAGTTTCTCAGGCTCATCTGAGTCTTGCTGAGAAGAAAAAAGAAAATTCAACGAATCAGTGAGTATCATCACTCTTATGGTAGTATTTCCCATTGCTAAGCATTATAAACCTGTTACACCCTAACATCAGTATGCATATTCTCCATACTGTTCTCTAAACATTTCCTAAGGTGCTAACAAGGAAAATTTTGTTAACAATCAAGAGCTTCTTAAGTTGGTGATCATTTCCTTTATTCTCGTTGTACAGGTCGAAATCTACTTGCAAAAATTATGAATGAAATGCCTCTTAAATCCTAGCAGTGCACCATGGGGTGTTAACCACAAGAATTTTGTTAACTAGTCAAGATTCCAACCTCACTTTCAAAGTGCTGTATCCTCCAGAAGACTTCAACTCAAATGGACTCCAGTAAGGAGTCAGTGTCAGTGACTGAAATTTTCCTTTTCACCCCACTCATATCTCTGGTTTGTAACTTACAGATCTATACCTGCTTCACAAGTTATGATAAAAAAAAGAACACTCAGACAAAGTTTTACCAGTGACCTACCTTTTTACCCAATCTCTTGTTTTTTCCTGAGACTTTTTTCTCCTCAGCATCCTCTACCATACCCTACGATGGAGAAAATAACAGAATCAAAAAGGTACCTAGGATGTCATTTCAATTACCTCATAGGATGATAAGCTTTTTCTCTACTGTATCCTCTCTTACCTTGAGTTCCTCTGACTGGCTTTGATAGCGCCTTCCCCTCATTCGCATCTGGAAATCATAAATCACAGAAAAGATTTATCATTTTCAACTTACAGTGCAGACTGCATAGAGATTACCTTTGATTTACCAATTTGACAATTAAATGCATTTTGGACAAAGAGAATGAAAACACAGCCAATTTTTCTCCACCAAAAATGACCTACATCAAGTTTGCCAAGCAATTCTTTTAAATCCATGGTATTCCCAGGGTTAGGCAATTCAGAATTATGAGCATAGAGAACCATTAAAATACTGACCCAGCATAATGACCCATTGAATTACTGCCAGAAGCAGCTTATTCTCCATTTTGCTGCACGAAGCAATTATGAGTATCGTTCCCTTGGCAAGATGAGATTCTAGTCTGTTGTAGATATTTCCATTTAAAAGTTAAAATAATATAAAGAAAGAGTTTTCTCAACTTTTTGGCTTGATTGTGCTTTGTTACTGGAAAAACTTTTTTCCCTAAGATTAGGTCAACAGTTCATAGTGCAGCCTATACACTGGTAAATACGGTACTCAATTCCTAATTAAACCAATTTTCTTGACTAAAAATGTGAATGTTACTCACCTTTCTTGCATAAGAATCTTTGTTGGCTAAAAGGTTAACATAATATTCTGTGAGACCACTACAAAGTTCTTCTTAAAAATTTGTTTAGATTACAAGATAAAATATGGGTGAATTGATTTAATGAGTTAAATAAAATGTTCATGGGATAATTATGAAATAAATATTGTTAACATGTAAATGACTTCTTACATTAACATCATAATACAACCATCAGATTTGAAGTCCACTGTAGCAGTTATTAATACAAGTTACAAAATTGCCTTCAAAATTTTCCTTGTTCCAACAGGGCACTTGTTGATAAGAAAGTGATCTTTGCAGTAATGAACACTGCTTAAGCAGTAGTGAAATTAAGGCTTGAAAAAGATTCAGGCCTGTACCAGATTTGAATCCATGACCTCTGTGATACCTGTGCAGTGCTCTACAAACTGTGCTGACAAGCCATCTGGGATGTGGTCATTATTTAAATTAATGTTGGTTCCAAATAAACCCGTGAAGTGATGAATAAATGCCTGTGAATATTTGAAAATCATATAAGTAAGTGAACTACAGAATAAGAAACACATATTTTATTTTTTCTTACTTTGTAGTTCATGTAATTCATATGATTTTCATATATTCACAGTCAAGACACTTATTCTTGCCATCTACTCTCAACAAACTAAGCCAAAGAGAACTTCATGATGAACAATGCCATACGTTGGGTGGATTGCTATACTTACGTTGTGGTGGTGGTGGGGCCCCTGTGGCCATTCTTAGCTGGGTCTGTAAGGTAAAGTCTACATTATAGAACTCTGGTCCACTCCCTAGTTCATCAGGGACAGGCTTTGGAGGCATCTCCAGTTCTGGATTGTTTCGGACATCAAGTTCCTTACAGAAAACAAAGAAAATTGATCAAAACTAGATCTTTAAAACTAAAAACCTTAAAATTTGTGAATTCATTTTCAGAGATCATTTTTTACTCTATCTGAGATTTTCCGAAAAAGGAAAGACAGAATGTCAGACATTCAAACTGGCTAAAACAAGTTATTAATTACAAACTAGCTTGCATGAAATAAGTGTTAGATCAAGGTAATAACTTCTGCCTGATAAGTGTGAGTATTCTCATTACCAGTTTACAGGATAATGTATAGAATATTATAGGGAGAAGTTACATGTTGATTACTGCTGGAAATTAAACAGTTAAACACTGCTAAGGCCTAGGGGGTAGGTAAGGAAGTTATTATCCTTGCCTCTGACATGACCTGAACCTTTTTTGTTGTTTCCATTATTAATTGTCAGTCAACTCAACAAACCCTAGTTTCCAGTTGCGTGTGTTAATTTCAATGTTAGCATGTTGTGCAGCATTGTGATAGTCAGCTTATCAAAGCTACTGGTGGAAAGAATGTGATGGATCATAGCCCAACAAGAATACTTCTACACCAAAAGTTTTGGTTGTGTTCCCACAGAGGATGGTGATTGGTGATGATGACAATGATAAAAGTACTGAGATAATGTGATCTTACCTCTAAATTTGTCAGAAAATGTATTCCCTCTGGCAGAGTAAACAAACAGTTTGTGTGAAGAATCAGCTTGCGTAACTTCAGACACCTGTTAAAGTAATAAAATTATGATGTATTCAGGGGGTAAGTTTCTAAAGAAACTGTGGTGCTGCATTGGCGGAAGGTATTACAAGATTATTTGGTTGTGTCAACTAAGTTAATTAATAAATATATATTGGCCACCGTTTCTAAAGCTGATATTTTCACTGAGGGTTAGCCCCAACATTCAAAAGGTCAGCTTCAACTGTCAGCTTTAGAAAGTCTTAATGGCAGCCAATTCATATTATTGACTCAGTTGATAAAACAAAATGATTGAATATCAAAGTGCTTAATTATCCACTGGACACAAATTGTTCTTAATCAGAGGTTCTTCTCTCATCATGACATACCTACACAGCCCTTCTGGGATGCACTCCAATTTATTGCATGCTGCCATGAAAACTTCCTGTAAAAACAAACATAAATGATATGGGTAAAAAATATTGCAGAAATCACATTAAAGAAATGATTAATATGACTTATTACCAGTCCTAACTACCAGTAAGATGTTAGGTATAAGATTCCCAGAGATGATTTTGTTGTTTCTCAGAACTGCCATACCAGATCGGTAGTTTGCAAGTAAACGACATTCAGTACAAGATTTTTCAATTATGTATAGTCAGTCTTATGTTGAAGATCTTGTCAGTCTCTCCAATGAAAGAGGCTACGCAACCAGAGCACCTCATCTTGTTGACTGCTCCTTGTCTTTTTTTTGGTTCATCCAAGTCTTTTACTTTAGTTTGGACATTACAAAGCATAGCAATCAGTATCTAACATTGTGGTGGAATTTTTTTTAACCATTAAGGATAAACTAATCGCAAGTCTTATTCATTATGAGATTGACTGAAATCAGGTGCCATGAGTCCAGACCTCTGGAAGGCACCTTCAGCTAAAATTACCAGGTTGTACAGCTTTCCTATTCCAGTAGGCAGTCCTTCAAAGTTGATATTGTTTCCTATTACAAAAAGCAACACCTGAGTTTTTATGACACATTTTGATCAGCTTATAAACTAACCAACAACAAAAACCAAAAAAGATAGAAAGATGTCAAATTTCCATAATATATAATTTGTCTACAAAGCTAACCTTCATCATTATCATTATCAAAAACCTTCTTTGATTTGCAGTAAGTACTATTGCTGATGATGCTTACCATTGATAAAAAATCTCTTGAGGGCCACCAGTTTGCAAAGTGCAGCCTGAAAGAAACAGAGCAAAAGAATTACTTTCAATTGATGGAAAATCCAAAAAGTATATAATATTACATATGTACATACAGAAAGTGCTTATTAGCATTTTTTGTGTTTTATATAGAAATTTCTCTGATCATTGGTAGTATGGAGAAAGATTCCAAATAACTTTAATTTACCTTAAATTATCTATTGAATCAAATGCCCTTGGTGCTCAATAGATTTTTGGACCTTGAGAGTTTGAGCTGTTGAAATTTCATTTTGGTTACAAATTTGTAGAAAAGCAAGGAATTTCATTGAATTTCGTCAACAGGTGCTTGCATTGCTTTTGCACAATACTGTATTTGAGGTGGGAGCTTATTTAAAAGAGGATGGTTCTTACTGGAATTCCTGTAAGTTGATTCCTTGATAAGTTCAATGTCTCTACTTGTGTCCATGTATCTGTAAGACAATACCACATGGGTGAACAAGAACTAAACAATACAGTGGTGCGAATCACTTGAAAGTCTGTTCTGAACCTTTTTCACACAAAAACATTTTACCCATGAGTGTAGACACTTCAGTGATCTGGTTGTGTGACAAATTTACTCTTTTCAGGCTAGCAATCAGGTACACTGGCTCAGGAACTGCAAAAGTGACAAACAGCTCAATAAGATTTAAAACACGCATATTGTGATATTGTCAAAGAAATTGCTACATGTTAACTATCTGTCATGTGAGCAGCAGTGCTTCTTGCAGTTATAATCAAGGGAATATTCTGCGTAAAAGGAAAATGTAACATTATCTAATTATTAATAGAAAATCAATCCTCAAACATGTTCCCAAGGAATGAGTTTGCATTAATTCAATCAATTTCTTACCTCTTGGTAGATCATTAAATGATAGATCCAAATCTGAAATAAGAAGAGTGAGGAGTTTAATTTGAGATCTGAATCCCAAACTTACCTTAACCTCTTACAAATAAAGCCAAAAATATATATAAAATCAACCTCAGCTCTTTAAACTGCAGCAAATCATGACAACAAATAGTAATTTTTTTAAGTGTTGCAACTGCTCACTACCTGTTAGATTGACAAGGCCCTCCAATTTGTTTGGCATGTTTGTTATTGTTCTCTGTAAAGGCAATGAGATTTCCATTATTAGCTGACCAATGCATAGCACCATTGAATTAAATATAGTTCAGTGTAATGTAGCATCAGATAATAAGCGGATCTATACGTTATCACTAACAATATGTTATCAAATCAAGGCACATAATCATCATCTGCTACATTTACAGTAACTCAGCACTTTAACAATTTTCATAGTCAGCCATCCAGAAACAATATTTTGGAATGGACTGGAATGTTTCCAAAGGTAGGAGATAATTCCACTTTTTTGTAGAGAGGTAAAGACAAAAGAAGGCAAGGGTGACTGAAACTTAGAGAAATTTACCAACAAAAGAATCTAATTTTATGTGGAGCTCAGGTAGCCTTGAATGCACTAATTTGATTCCAACAGGCCAAATTTGCACTGATCAATAACAAAAGAGATCATGACACATCATCAAACCTCACAACTATAAATTGATTTGTGCAATGGCCCACAAGAATACAATTTCAATATGTTACCTTCATATTTATTACCTGCGTGTTCCTCAAGTGTAGAGTATGGAGCTGGGTTAATGAAGGAAGTTGTCTGTTTGATAGATAGCAAGTTAAAATGACAGTTATGGAAAGAATACATGTATATTTTGATTGCCTGACACATTAACCCTTTAACCACCAAGATCTTAATGTTAATTCTCCCCTCTAGCTGCTACACATGTCCATGCAAATCAGGTACAAGAATTTGGTGTTAGATCAAGAAAGCAACTTTTACCTGAGAAATTTGAATATTCTCATTATTCAGGATCTATGGATATTTTAGGAAAGATAATTACTTGGCAATTATATAAGAGACAAATTACTGATAAAAATTGAGAATCTCTTCTCAAACTAACATGGCCTGAGATAAATTCAGGATCTATTGATGAAAATAATTTGGCATTTATATTACTAAGTTACAAAATGAACTCTTCATAACATGGCCTGATGAACTATTGGTTAATCAACATTTTACTGAGGAACATACCAAGGTTTGCAAGTTTACAAGTCTTCTAAGTTGAGGAGGAATTGACTCTGGAAGACAATGACAAGATTGTTAAACCTGATACCATTTTCTTGCTGCGCACACAATACTTGTGGTGCTTAGATTACGATGCATAACTTGCAACATACTAGTTTATATAATAATGTCTAGATCACAAAAGAATACTCATTGATGCTGATTGCCTTTGACCTGATTTGCATGGCACTATTTTTGTTTGCATGTGTGTCAGCAAAGAAAGATGTCACATCTTAAAGTGAACTGCTATCTCATTAACACTTGACACCCTAACATCAGTATGCAAGTTCTCCATACTGTTCTCTATACATTTCCTAGAGAGCTGACAAGGAGAATTTGTGTGACAATCAAGACATTCTTTCAGAGGTGATCATATCCTTTATTCTTGTGACAATCATTTAGACATTCTTTCAGAGGTGATCATTGGTATCCCCCTTTATTCTTGGTAAATTAGACCTTATTGTTAACTTATCTACCATTTTGAATATTCTCATTAACTGGATGATAATTGGATATTATTGGGAGAAATTTCATATTATCACCCTACTGGGTCAAAAGATAAAGAAGTCTGTTTTAAATATCAGACTGTCAAGAGACATACCAATAAGATTATTGCCAAGATCCAGGTAGATTAGATCTGTTAAGTTGATAAACAACTGATTGGAAAGGGTGGAAATTCTGTGAAAGTAAAAAAGTACAATTGTAAATTCTCATCATTTTTAAGAAACAGAAAAACACAAGACAATGTCATTCCATTACTTACTTGTTGTGACTTAAGGAGAGAACAATCAGTGCTTTGGCATTTTCCAGCTCAGGTGGCACCTGGTCAGGATACAAAATAGTTTTAAACAACTTTTTATCAACTTTACTGCAATCCCTTTTCAGTTAGTACTTCCTGTTACAATGACTTTATAAGAAAGAACAGTATAATAAGTAACACTTTTGCAGCCATTTGGCTTTCACAGCAACTAAGGATCTTTTCACTTTTTTTCACAGCTTTAAAGTAGATTTTTTTAATAGCTAATGGTAAGGGTTATTGGGAAATATGATCTGCCACAAGATGTTGCTTTCAACATGTGACATTCATCTTTCAATCTAAATAGAACAGAGTTCAAATTCTTGAGAGATATCATTCATCTTCATGGTGACTGAAACTTCAAAGAAATGCAAACTATGCTCTAAAAAGTATATCTGTAAACTTTTCAACTTGTCTTGTTGGGTAGTATTTCTGTTCTGCACCAAAAAAAAATTAATCACTAACCTCTTTGAGCTGGTTATGACTAAAATCCTGCACAAAAGGACAAGAAAACATACAGTTAAAATTAGAGAATTTTAATAAGATTTCTAACAATGGTACATTGTAACCAGGGTCCAGTTGTTTGAAGGCTGATTGGCACTAACCAAGGGTTACATTTTAATCCATTTTTCTTTATTCCTTTATTCAAAAGCTTTTTTCAGAACATTTTCTCTGTTCTCTGATTGGTATCCAGTCATCAAATAGTAGACAAAAGGAATGGTACTAAATTTTATTTTAAAGCTTTCAGATCTTTAATCAGATTTTACACTTAACCTGGTTATCTTAACCCAGCTTTGAACAACCTGGTGCTGCAGAGTTCCAATTTTAATCACAAACAGTTGTTCAAGAAATTTTAAAACAAGAGATATTACTAACATTACTCTACTTTAAAAAATAAAAAAAGAACAGAAACTTAGCAACATCATTAAGTCTGTTTACGAAAGAGTTCCCAAATACACCTGACACCTATTTTCTGAAAGTACCTCCTATCTTATGTCCATATGGCAGGCAAAATTGTTTTAGAAAATCACACAGTCTCATAACCTTGACTTACAATGGTAAGAAGATCATCAAGGCCAAAGATATCTCCAGGAATTCCAGAATTCTTGAGCTGGTTTTTACGTGCATTAATTACCTGTTAAAAAATGGCAATACCCGTAAAGAAGGTTCCATAAGCTCAAGTGGAACAATGAGTCCACAACTAGAGGGGGTTCTTTACAGGAACATAAACTACTGGATTTTGTTAAGGGTGGCTCAAGTATTATAAAGTAATTACTTTTGGTTCTATTAATGCAGATCTAAGCTGACATCTTGCCTGAAACACCTTCATTGGCAAAAAGCATCTGGAAGAACCTATGCTTCATCTGGATGTAATGCTAGTCCATTGCAGGTTACATCCAAGAATTATCTCAATATTCCATGACAGTTGAACAGCACCATCCTTCCTCTCCAGGCTAGAGAAGGGCACTATGGAAGTCATGTTTCTTGCCCAAGAACCCCAACAAAATGACCCAATTGGGGCTTCAACCTAGACCATATCATCTGGAATCTGATTCATTTAGCAACTTGAGCTGTTCACAGACAGTATACTTATGGTTGTATCCCAAGGATCAAGACATAACTGGTTGGCTCAAGAGTAAGCCAGTTGTTGGTGATAAGTCTGGACAGTACAATTTATGTCAACCATGTGACACTCCTTCCCAAACTATAGTAAAGTCACTCCTACTATAACTCTTTTTTTTTTACTTAATTTACTTACTAATTTTACCATAAAAGTAACTTAGATTTCTTTGGTCAGTCAAACAGTGAATCCTTACCCTTAAGTGAGAGAGAGTTGACAAGTCTCCATGGATACTTGCCAAATTGTTTTCCTTAAGAGATAAATGCTCCTAAAATAAAAAAAGAGAAAAATGTGATAGAGGGAAGCAAGGGTGGGTCCTGATCCTGTTTTATGTATAAATTTTATTTTTTATTTCAGTTGAATCCTTTGCGGTGTTGGTGGTGTGTTGACTAAAGCATATGATACATGTCAGTAATGAGTTAACTGACATCCTTAACCCTTTGACCCCTAAGAGTGACTAAAATATAATTTCTCCTTACACTATCATCCCTGAATCACACATTAAGGTCATGAGAACAAAGAAAATGATCACCAACTAAAGAAGCGTTGGATTGTTAAATAAATTCTCCTTGTCAACAACTCAGGAAATGTATGGAGAACAGTGTGGAGAATATGCATACTGATGCTAGGGTGTAAAGAGTTAAGTTGGTGGTTTCTTTTCATATTATCATCATCTGATTGCTTCCAATATAACATCATCTCAATAATGAAATAGGAAGTCAAATGCTAATCTCACACCCTAATAGCAATTGAGCGTCGAAGGGAAAAAGGGGTTAATGCTGAGATTCAGCGGGAACGTGTTATTTCAAGACCACTTTTAAGAGAAAGTTTGTTTACATTATGCTAGTAAACTGCATTTCCGGTCAACGTCAAACTAGTTTCAGCGTGTGCATTCCTTATTTCTTTTGACTTTAACACAGAATTTCTGTTCCTCATACCAAGTTATAAGTGTGAGATGAAGTTAAATTACTATTAGAAGTTTTATTCTGTTAGTATTGTCAATTTAATAATTTGAAGTTGCATAAACATTTTATGATCATACTGCAGAAAGTGTTTTTTACGTTCACGATTCGCACAATTTCGGTGGCCTATAGAAGAGAAGTCAGAAACGTAACTGAAACTTTCAAGATTATACCAAATAACAAGATTACTCATCAATGCTCTTACCAGCTTCATTAGGTGAGATAACTCGTCTGGAAGACATTCCAATCCAGTTTGGTTCAATTTCAACCACCGTAAATTTGGCATGTCTGCTACCCGCTTGGGAAAATCCAGCTTCTACAAGAGGCACAGAAACAGTTGCGTAAGGATTAAGGAGGCTAATGAATAAAATAAAATACGTGGAGGTCCATACCTTGAAGTCATTTTTGGTCAAATCGAGGCCACGAACGAACGGCAGCACACCTTCCGCCATTTTGCTAGCCGTTGTTTCTAGTTTACACTTAGTCCTCTCTCAGGGGTAGGCTAAGGTTCGTACAGTTGCGTGATGGTTTTTCCATTTTTTCAAACTATGCAAGGAAAAATAAAAAGTTCTCCACAATTTTTTCTGATCTTAACTTGAAAGATATATCAGTTGTAAAACTCTCAACTTAAAAAATTCCATAGGTTGACTTTTTTCATCGATTATTTTCAAAAACTAGGAGCTTCCTCACCCCTCCCTACAGTCTCTCAGTTGTCATTCGAGGCCTCCTTACTCGAAGGACCACGCGCGAAATGGCTGGAATCGAGAGGAGGAAAACCTGGACGGAATTGTTGCTTTCGTTGTTTAATTTGCTCGTAGACAACGCCGATGGAGTGATAGATGACACAAGCTTAGAAAGAATACTTGAATGGTTAAAACGTGTGTGCCAAAATGAACACCAACTTCAAAATCTCATGCAATGTGGAACGGTTGAGTTCATGTCAAAAGATCATGTTTTCACCAATCCTGAATCAACAGCATTCTTTCTCAGATTATTGGGATTTCTTGTTTCCAGAACGGAGATCTTTCATTCTCTAAAATGTAGCAAAGACGGAGACATTGTTTCACGGCTTTTAATGAGGCCCAGGGATGAACCTCACTTGTGGAATGAGGGAATTGTGAGAAATGGCTATTTCCAGGCATTGATTTCTCTCACAGAGCACACAGATGGAATGTTCTGGCTTAAAGATTCAGGTGAAAATATGATTACAATTGATAGCAAGGAGGCGTCACACCCAAACAGTGAATTTGCTCCTGGGGAAGTACTTCCAAGTGATAGCTAGGCTAATATAATAATGGATGGGGTGGCATTTTCACAGCTGGACAGACTATATAATGGGATTATATTTTTAATACAGTGACTAGAATAGGGTCGCGCATTTTTAGGATTTGGGGGATAAGAAAATTCTAATTAGTAAAAATTTAAAAATGGAAAGATTTGCAGTTAAAAAGCTACCATATTACCAAAAGTGAGTAAGATGGGGTCTATAATTGGCCAAAGAATAATGGGTTAAGGGTTCTTGCCTGGCTTGTATCTTGAGGATTTGCCTCTCTTGCTACAGGGCCATATGAGAACCTGCTTTCAGGCTGTATATAAATGTTTGGTAACCAAAGATTAAGGAAGAGGATAAATTGAGGTTTACTAATAATATATCAAGTTCTCTTGACCTTTCTGGTAAGAGTTTTTTTTTTTTTTTTTGAGGGAAAAAAAAAGAATTAACCCTTTGACCCCTAAGAGTGACTAGCTGTAGCATCTTATTTCTCCCAACAATAAAGGAAATGACCACCAAGTAAAGAAGTTCTTGATTGTTAAACAAATTCTCCTTGTCAGCAGCTTGGGAAATGTGAAGAGAACAGTATGAAGAATATGCATACTGATCTTAGGGTGTAAAGGATGATGGGAATCAATGAAAATAAAAATATTCTGCAATGTGAACAAAGTCTTAGAGTTTGAATAGAGAAATAAGGACAGTTATAAGATGGATATGAGATTTAGATACCTCTGGTATGGGATTTCTATTTGTCAATAATTGTCTGTCAGATGATAACTGTCAGTTGTTTGTTGGATTTATTTAGGTTCTGTGATACATGCATTAGACTGTATTTCTGACAGAAGCATGTTTGTGGCAAGTTCAGCCAGAAAATTCTTAGTAAAGTTTATTACTAAGGAGAGTGAGTGGATAGCAGACCAACAGCCTCACACACAAGACAGCTTCATAGACTGCAGTGATCAACTTAAAATTATCATCGAAAAGATTAAATTGATGCTTATTCCAGGCATTTCACCTTCAACAACCTCAGAAATTGCTGCTATTGAAGTTACAAGAATCTTGTTATATGAGAACTCTGTCCATGGACAAAAGGTTCTTCAACAAAGCAAACTGTTTATGGATTGTTTGAATTTATTACAAGTGGGAGATTTGGGGGTTTGCCAGAAACTTGTTGATATGATATGTGAGATAACAAAAAACAGGTAAACAATCATGGTGAAATATGTAACAGTTATGTTAATTGCCTCTTTGAAATATGCTTGCATCTATCTATGCGATGGACTAGCATCTCATCCAGGGGGAGAGTTAATTAGCTCTTTGAAATATGCTAGCATGTATCTATGTGATAGACTAACATTCCATTCAGGGGGAAGTAAATATAATCCTAGCTCTGGCAGGGTGGGCCAATAGGCTTGAGTACAGACTCCACCTTTACACTTATCTATCCATTAACTAGGGAATAAGTGAATTATGCCTCTGAATTATGCCTCTGAGCTCCTAAACCAGCCAGAAGTAGCCAAGAGCATAGATTATGACAATTTTTACTTTTCCATCGCCTCCTAGAAGATATTTTTATTGTCCTGCATCACTCTCCTTTTGACCAACTAAATCCACCCAACAGCACATATCAGTATTATCATACTCCTCATCATTGAAGAACTGGCAATTGCTTTGTTTGGCTTTTGGAGTTCAAAGTGGGTTCTGTTTTGCTTGTTTAGGCTTAATTTCCATCCTGTCCCTAACATGTCCATATGTTTTTAGCACATGTCCAGTGGATTGGCATAAGCTTACCACCATGGAAAATACAGTCACAACAGCATCAGAAGTCCTTCTTGGGTCATGTGTGGATCTTTTTAAGAAAGGCCTCATAACTACAGGGCTTGAGCTGATAGCTGGTTTAGGCCCTTGTCAAGAATGTTCCAGGTACACACTGGAAGTCATATTCTTATGTATGTTCTTCAGTATTTAATCTGTGAAGTAACCTTGTGTGAGTTGCTCAACTTATAATTCTCTCCTCTTACTTATCTTGATGGGTTTTGTCTTAGAGATTTTCCACTTCACTGGTTGGAAGTACTGTTTGGTTTGGTAGAGTTACCTCTTGATCTTGTCCTTACTCAGACATCTTGGAACATTGATGAATCACAGAATGGCTGTTTTGCCAATGAAAAAGATCACACCAACACTGATCTTGTTGATGGACTGCTGTCCTTAGACCACCAGAAGAGATCCTTTGCTAAGGTTTGAAAATGGTCACACTGTTGGATAGCACTTATTATATCTTAAATGCATTTCCAAATAGACTACACTTTTTTGTTACTCCATGTTGTTTTCTCAGGGCCTAGGAATGACTCTCTCAGGAGGTACCATTTAAAAAAAGAGCATTTCACCTTGTGACATGAAGCTGAGCTCTTCAGTTGTAAGCAGGGTTTCTCCTGGCTAGCTTTAACCCCTTTATGCCCTAACATCAGTATGCATATTCTCCATTCTGTTTCCCATACATTTCCTAAGGTGCTGATGAGGAGAATTTGTTCATCAATCAAGAGCTTCTTAAGTTGCTCATCATTGCCTTTATTCTCTTGACCTTTATGTGTGATTCAGGGTGATATTGTGAAGAGAAATTAGATGCGTGTCACTCTCAGTGGATCAAATGAGTTAATCCACTGTTTTGGGAAGAAATTGATTTTTCTCTGACTTATAACCACAAATCATCTAGTGACAATCTTATATCTACTATTCTTTACTTAAAACAGCAACAGTTACAACATACAGTGCTTCCTTGGATCAAAGGGAGTTCTTCCACCACTCAAGTTGTTTGTCAAGGCCTAGCTGCAGCCCAACAGCTGATGCAGCAGGTAACTATTCTACAGGGGTTGTAATGGAGTGCGTTTTTGTACTGTACTTATAAATTTCAATTATGCTGCCTAATTTAACCATTTGCGCATAAACAAAGGCTTGTTTTTTTTAATTAGAATTTGAACCTTAAAAAGAGGAACCTTTTCCATTTCATACCACGGGTATTTGATCATATTTGTTAGTTTCAGAGTAATAACTGTCTTATTTTGTCTCGTAACTTTTCTATGCATTTGATTTTATTCTTTGTTTAATCTTTTTACTTATGAAAGGCCTCCTCAAGACATATTTCCCAAGTGTTACACTGGCTAAAGCTCAGTATAAACCTCCTTCACAACTGCATCAGTCCGAGCGACCATTCAGCTGTGAAGTTTCATGGCAATCAGAGAGTTCTCAAAGCCTTACTGGAGTTCATTGTAAGCTTTGCTGAAGTGCAAAAATCAAAAGGTAATCAACACATGTAAGGTTTAAGTGTACCGTGATTAAGGTTTAAGGCGGATTTGGGTGCTGGAAGAACGATCAACAGCTTGCAAATTACTTGCTTTTGGCCTGTTTCTTTATGAAGCTTTATTGAAGGTAGCAAGGAGGGGCGGGGCGGTCTTGATCCCGTTTCACACACGAGTTTTAGAAAAATTAATGCGTCACGTGCACTTTAGATAAATCTTTTAGGAGTCACGAATTCAAAAGGGAAACTTTCAAATCTCACCTTCCCTCGCCTTTCTGTAAAATTCCCGCTTTCCGTATTAATTCTGGGCCTAATCACGCGTCATGTATGAGCCCTTCGCCACCCTCTCTATCGAGTTCTACAAAGGTCGCGCTTGGGTTTTTACGCCGGTAAACTGATGAAAAGTGCAGTCTACAGTCCAAAGTAGTGATGTGTTCTCACTTTTTTTTTTTTTTCGTGTTTGGCTGAAAACTTACCACTATCTGTCCATTCTACTGTTTTTTAGACATTCTTGAAGGCACAGAATTCTTCATTGTTTATCAGCTGTTTGACGATGTTGTTGAGGCGTTGTTACAACTTATCGAAAGTTCCGAAACAAGTGAAGCTGTAAGTAGATGATTTGTTTTATCATCTGAGTTTATGGTGCAAATTGGCCACCGTAAAGAGTTTTAAATACTGTCGTTTCGAGCGTTAGCCCTTCGTCAGAGCCAAGCTGTAAATACTTTGTTTCTGCTAATCGATTGGTACGTTTTCTACGGAGAGCTCCAGAGAACAAATGCTGCTTTTGGGTCGACCTTTCGGTCGCTGTATTGCTTGTATGAGACATAAGGCCGTTGAATTATCATATGACACGTTCGGCCCTGCGCGCGCAATCCTATAGAAAACTACATTGAAGTAGACGTGTGTAGAGCCGGACGGATTGACATTAGCTTCTCTGGAAAAAGGCGTCTGGACTTTACTCGCACGGCTTTGTTGCAAAAAGAAGATCATTGAAATGATAAAAAGAAGTTGAACTTTTCTATGAATTTCGAGTTTCTTGTTCTGACTTGAAAAAATAAAGAAAAATTTTTTTTATTGTGGAATCTTTTTTGTAGTCTTCCCGCGTGCATCCGACACGTCTCTCTCATCCTATCTAATTTGAAACAGAGTTTTCGAAATTTTCAACTCCTGGTGGTCGTATGATAAGTTCTTGATTGACTCAGTTTGGTCGAGCTAGACGGGAAATTATTTGGCTCTCGGTCAAAACGTATGGACTAAGCGCATTGGGCCCACTCGGTCATCAAGAACATAGTATGATGTCTCCTTGGAAATCCTAATGAGTCATTATTTGTTTGTTGATTTTTAAGGTGACATCTACTTCCTTGAAAACACTCGGAAAGGTGTTTGGCGCCGCCAAGCCAACATACATAACCAAGCTTTTCAACAACAGCGACATACAAACAGACAGCGAGATCCTTGGTGAGAAACGAGCAAGGCTTGACCATCATCTGCAGAATTCTAACACCAAAACATCAAACCGTGAAAAGCTTGCTTTCATGCTTTATCGGAGATTGCGAGACTCGAGTTGGGAAGTAAGAGATTCTACGTTGGAGTTTGTTGCTGATCTAGTGCAGTTAGACCAAGGTAAGTCCTGCATGTACTGGAGTGAGGCAAGACACCGCGGCATCGGTAATATGGAAGTAGAATAAAAAAAGGCACAAAAACTTTGTAAATGCCCTGGCCTTCATTCTTTAAAGAGAACGTAAATTCCAAAACTTTTTTTTCTCATCGGCGAGTGTTTCTTGTTTTCTTTGACGTACAACGTTGTTTTATCTCTCAAGGAAGTTGCAGTATCAATCTCACAAAATGGGAGAAGACTGGGACGAAGACTAAGACGAGCTAGTTTGTGAGGGTGGACCTAAGGGTGGCAAATCTCTTCTATGAACAACCCCCCCCCCTTTCGTGCAAAAAGGAAACCTGCACTTGTTCAAAGAACCGATTGTTTTTTTTCCTCAGATTTAATTGAGGAGTTCCTCTGTTTTCACAATATCCCTGCGATAGTGTGGAATACTGTAAATGACAGTGACAGCTACGCCCGTGCCTCTGCTCTCCTTGTCACTGGTTCCCTGGCCTGTCGATCAAAGTTGTGGACATCTCTTCTTCAAAATAGTCAACTATCAGAGGTATTTTCCGGCTTCAATACCTAGCGTTACTTATCTGGGGAAATTGATGGTATCTGTAAGTGTCAGTAGTAAATTTTTGTCGATGACATATCCTGCCGTTCTTGAACACCCATCAAGCGTTGATTGAAAAAACCAACACTCTTGTGATCTCTTTAAGTCAATTTATCGCCTTTGGGGGGATCGGATGAGTTTTGTTGTGTCACATTAAATTTACCTGATTCCCACCTAAGGCTCTGTAGTATTCTAGTGACCCCCCTTACTGGTAGTCAATTTTCTATATTACCCCCTTAATACTCTGTTGGCGACTGACTCCCTCCCCTCCCTCCGTATTCCCTGAGAATCGTGTGATCTTCCCAAAATACTCTGATCCCCTCCCTCTCTCCCCACCCTCCCTCCGGGCGATAAATAATTAATTCAAAAATTTTGTGGCTACTTCCGTTCTCAACAGGAACTCATCTTAGAGAAGCTCTCCACGGTTCTGGTAGAAGACGAAGAGGCCTTCCCACGTCGTAGAGCTATGGAATGCTTAACTTTGTGGACAAGAAAACGTCATCCCATTGCTGTCCGAATCATTCGCTCCAGCAAGGGAGTGAAAGACCAATCACCGACCAAGGGAAGTCCGACATGTGATGATATTCAGGACTTACAGCTCGGGAACCAATCGGAACAGGTCGGAAAACAATTGGTAGCTGCAGAGACAACATCGAGGTATGGAATAACGACACAAAGAATCTGCCGCGCTTGTCAGGATTTTGACTGGGAAGTCAAATTACGAGGGTTTGAGTTCTGGGAAGCAGTTATCTGTCACATTACTGGTTTAAAACCTAACAAGGAAAGCACGAATACACGTAATACGTGTGATGGTGAACGTTTGAATAAACAAGATGTTGATGAATGCCTACAGGTTCTTTTCGAAATGGGAGCGTTGAAGATTTTTAGCGAAGCCGTTAGCGATTGCGACCACATGGTTTGCGAGAAATCTCTTGAAGTGTTAGGTATTATACAACACATTACAAATCAAGATAACTCCATCGTCGAACAATGGATCATGACATCGGGAGATTTTCAGGAAGCTCTGGGGAATGGGTTCGGTTTGGAGAAGTTCAAGGAAGTTTTACTGGAAACTGATCTAGCATCAGTGGCTCTGTCGTGTGAAGCCGCTGACAACGCGCTCAGATCTGATCCGGTTTCTTTGCTAGAGGACGTTCTCTTAGCAGCTAGACATCACGAGGAAAATCTTCTGGACTGTTACTGATGTGATAGCTATCTTTCTGAACTCGACGTCTTTTCCAGGCTCTCTATTCTTTCCACAAGGAGACAAGAAGAAGAGAGAGCCTAGGGACTAGGTTCCAAATTTACCCAAATGAGTTTTTAATTTAAGTCTTTCACTCTCAGGATCTAAAGAGTTCTCCTCACTGTCCATTATGCATATCCTATAATTGTAGCTTTGAGAAATTGGTGTTAATTGCAACCAAATCCCTTAACCTTCCTGATAGAAATTGTTTGACATTGTAAGCATAAATTCCTTGTTGGTCTTTCCAGGGAGTTTAAGGGTTAAATAAAATCAAATAGAAGTTTGTTTCTGACCTTTTTATTCACCCACTAGCCTGAAGCACAACTGAAATTTCTGAATAAGACTACGCGCAGTCCTTGCTTTTCGGGGAGGTCCGTTGCTCAAGTCGAAAAAAAAAAAATCAGAGAAAATAACAAACTTATGATAGTACGCCGCGCGGAACTTTGCGTTAACACCTTTTTCACAGATGTTTTACCCGCGCGACTGACTCCGCCGAAAAACAGGGACAACTCGTATTCTAGCTCCGAATTGACGGCTAATTCACTTGTGCATTAATCGAAACAGAAAACATAACTTCATACTTCTAAACATACCGTGGGTTTCATTTCACCGAAAACCGCAAGGCAAAAGTTTGAAGTACTAATATTCTTTATTCTTACATATTTACACGAACATTTGTTGTTTATGAATAAATAACTCCTATCATGAAGTGAGAAGAAACGCACGTGACTTAAATCGGCAGCTAAGTAAAGAAAAATTTTTTTTTTATGAGTATTTTAACTAAATTGCGTTAAAGTTAACGCAGTTGCCATATCATATATTATTTTTTTAAGAAAGAAAATCAACAATTAGAAGGTACTTATGTTGTCCAAACAGTCCTAGTAATCGAAAAAAACAAGGTTGGTAACTCAATTTGCAAAACCAGAGGTTCTGACCTAGTTCCTTGTCTGACTAAGTTACAATTATGTACATCTATCGGTCTAAATATCTACATAAAAAATCGTCGTTGTTGGGCGCTTTCTCCTTAAATCAGTGAACTGAAGACTGACTTTAGTAAAGTTGGCTTTGTTCTTAGCTCCCAAAACTTTGAAATTTCCTACCGCACCATTATTTGACACCAAAGAATTATTTAACTTGGGTAACTCACATTCCGACTGCTCTCTTCACAAGGACTTCAAAGGCTTGCAGTGATATCTTTTCTTTATCGCTTACTTTAACGCATCCTAAGCCATTCGGATGAGATCGGGTTGTCCGTGTTACAATAACTTCCAGCAGCCATTCTATAAAGCAGTTATTCACCCGTTCTGTTACTCCTTTCTTCAGACCCTCTTATCCATCAGCATTGTCGTATCGGCGTCTTCCTACCCGGCTACATCACAGCGCAGAAAATGTTGTCGTTCCTCCTTTCAAAACATATTATCTGACGGCGACAACCACTGTTACTTTCAAGCTCATTCCAGACCCTATCTTCTCTACTCGTTCCAGCCTAGTACCTAGTAATCATCATGTCCATTCATAAGATCCTCTTCTACTTCTTCTTCAACCTCCTCTCCTTCATCTTCGCCCATTTCCCCGCGGATGTCTCGTTCCGCGCCCATTCCTCGCATCAAAGGAGCTCCAACTGCCTTGTGGGTCGCCTCTATAGTCTTCATGTTTAACGTAGTAAGCCATGTTCACGTTGGGAACACGGCGTCTCATCTCCTCCATCACAGAGAAAGCCTAAGGAGAAAGAACGCGAGAAATTGGTTGACGTAATGAAACCCTTTACACCCTAACATCAGTATGCATATTCTCCATACTGTTCTCTATACATTTCCAAACATTCTGATAAAGAGGATTTGTTTAACAATCTACATCTTCTTTCGTAGGTGATCTCTTCTTTTATTCTAATGATCCCAATGTTTGATTCAGGGGTGATATTGAAAGGAGAAATTAGATGCTATTGTCACCCCTAAGAGTTGTAGGCTTAAAACACGCTTTTTCTCATAGTCACCTATAAGCGACTTTAACACATAATTTGGTCGTCATAAAGAAAAATTCAGTTCCACAGAAAAAAAGGCTAGAAATTGTTTATGGAGGTTCAAGAGATATCTCATGGCTTGATACTCGACGACCAAGAGGAAGAAGTCTGTTTACCAACTAAAACGACAGAGCATTCAATAATGTTTTATGCAAATGTTTATCTCAGTTTAACCTAAGATCGCAAACATTACTTTACAGCTTGCATCACGACCGTCAAACACAGGTCGCCAAATTTGCAACTTAAGCTGCTAACGCAGTCACCAAAATATTTCTTTATACGCCAAGATGACCAAAACAGACGCAACTTGTAGCGCTGAAGAGATTTAAAGTGGAATATGAGGTAATGTTCACTCCAGTTTCGTTTGAAAACAGACCTGTCTTCATTCCTGACTTGGTCTTTCGTCCACAACTGTCCGGTGAAAACAATCACCGAAAACGCACCTCACTTTTCAAAGACGCTCTTCAAAGTGGTACTTACTTTAGTGTAGTTTTGCTGTCTTGCGTAGTGTTCTATAATTATCCCATATACGTCTCCTACACGTACAGCTGATTCCAGATCCGGCTCCTCAAGTAGAATGTGACACTGTTTAATTGCCTCTTCTGGGTCCTCGTCGTATGATCTACAACATCACAATTTGAAACCAGAATCATACAACGATAAATTAATCAAAACGATTGTCGATGTGTTGTGATTGAATATCTAAACATAGAAAGCCGTCAGCAAGAATAAACACTACAATGCTCTGATGAGCTTTACAAGACTTCAAGAGGAAAATCTTCCATGTATCCCAATTTTGAAAACAAGGCCTGACTACAACACCGATAACTACGTTCCCTCCTAGACTTTGCAAAGTGCGTTGGCTCTTAATCGTCCCCTGCTAACCAGTACAAAGAAGAGACAGGAGACGGTGCCTACAGTTTATTGTCCTTATCTGAGAAGACAAAGAGAACAAAGTAGGCACACTGATCGAGAGTGAGAGGGGAGAAGGGTGATTATCCCCAGCCCGCCACGCCGCTACGTTCAATTTTAAAGAACTTAAAATAACTTTTCAATGCGTCTCTTTGAAAGACGTATCGTAAGAGGAAAACAAACCAGACGATGGTAGAAAAGGTCAAAATGAGGAGTGTTTTACACCTTATAGGATATGACACGACGTTCTCACCTTCTTGCCTGTACAAATTTCTTTAGAAAACCTATTCTTTGTTTCAGGACAGCCACCTTCTCTTCTTGATCCGTAGGGTTTTTCGTTTTGGCTTTCGCCATACATTTATACGCTTCTGTAAGTGCCCCGAGAGCTTTATCGTAGTTTTGATACTCATCAATTTCCACCTAAAGCAAAACAAAGTAAAACAACAGTCCTTCATTATACTTTTATTTCTGAATTATCTACAATTTTTTTAATGGCCCGTGGATAGCCAATACTAGTCTACGCGGGCCAGTTTATAGCCAACGTGTACCCATACCCTTCCCCCCAGGGAGAAACGGGGGCGGGGGAGGGTACCGCTACAAGTACGCTAGCCAGTCTATAAATATCTAATTACAAACAATACGATACAACAAGAAAAAAAATTAAAAAATTAAAAATTATTTAAGAATTGAAAAAGGAGGGAAAGAATGAGGGGATGTACTGTAAAATGATCATCTTAATAATAATCTTACATTACACATTTTTTTTCTTTTTACCTCTTACTTTTCATTTATGTCCATCAATAAATAAATCTACATCAAAAACAGTGTTTTGTATTTTGACTTTGAATGTTCCTTTTTTGGGGGTACATGGGATCTCATTCCACAGTAGCGATACCACAGCACCAATTCTCGATCTTGTTTCAAGTTTTGAGGGCTTTACGTAAAAACTATTGAAGGTAACAGAGCGTATGTTGTAAGAATGAACATTTTTGTACAGCGACTGACAGAGTCAAAAGGAAAAAAAATTAAGGCGAGTACCGAGGCAATGACAACAAAAGAGAACAACACGATAAACATACCTGCGCACAGGCGTCGTAAAAACTTGCCAGCGAATCGAGCGCTCGGCCTTTGGTGTAGAAAGCTATAATGTTCTTCATGATCTCGGGATCTTTGCGCCAGTCTAGAGACTGGAGATAGTTGGCAGCCATTACGTAAATTTCCTTCTGTCTGGAGACACCAGCGAAGAAGATGATTTTCTCTGTGTCGCCGGATTTTAAGAGAGATTTCATCGCCTAGGACGAAAGAAAAGTCATTGTAAGTTTCAAGCTACTCATATTCAGTGATAATCTTGCACAGTGTCCTATGACAAATTTTCTGTGTTACTCTAACGATCTTTCTTCACGACGACATGAAAATTCCGTTATGAAAAAAAAAACAACACCCCCACCTGGACCCCCTTCTTTCCCCCCACCCCCCCCCCCAAAAAAAAAAACCACTCCAGTTCAGCCACCCAACCTAACTAATTGCGATAATAAGAATGGTTGTAAAATACATTAAGGGCATATTAAAGACCTCCGAAGCAAACGGGGCCGGGGAAAGGGCAAGTCCAATTCTTCCAACTTCGCTTGGTGGGACAACCAGCTAGTTCGTTCTAAATTCACACAGCATTTCCCTATCGATTCAGGCGGCGAAAATTCAAGACCTTAGCTTTGTCTCCGAAAAGGTGTTGCTTTAACAAGTCAAGTCCCTTTTGTTTGTGCCCACTGACCTTGATTTTGTTGCCAGCTTGAGTGTACTTCTTGGTGGCTAAGTGGTATGATCTCTGATGCATGCAGCAGTCAGCGATCCTCTCTAAGAGTTTGTTTCTGATCTCCGGATCGGAGCCCTTAGGAAGCGTCATCTTCTCTGCCAGCTCCTCTGTGATTGTAACGTTATGATTCATGCACAGATCTAATGCCTCTGAGAACTGACAAAAAGAGACCAATATCAATTCTTTCCTTTTTTAAAGCGAAAATGCCTTTTTTTCTTACGATACGAAAAGACGAGTGTTTAGGGCCATTTTGACGGTAAATTTTTCTCATTGTAACTTTAGAGCAGTTTTCAGTTGTCGAAGGTATTGTAGGATTGCTTTGTTCTTGCTTTACTCGGTATGTGATTGGTCCAGAAAACTTGCGCCACTTTCCTAACCAATCAGATTAAAAACTAGAACCAATAGCGATCTGGTCACTCGCGTTTTCCCGCGCTTCAGTTAGTTTGTTTTTCCTGCGAGTCCTCATTGGCTCCTGGTGATATTTTCCTTGCTATGATTGGCTGTTATCATCGCTTTGGTTTTGGTTTAACGACACTCAATCAGAAAGCGCTTTAATATAACGTATCACGCAACGCGATAAAAGACTGACACACCGAATATCGAAGGCTGTGCTGCATTACCTGTTTGCCAACAACCAACAATTCAACAGCTTTGTCGTACTGTTCATGTTCCAAAAAGAACTTGGAGCATTTGTCAAGCATCTGAGGGTCCGTAGTCTCGTCAAGGTCCTCAGCTATCACTTGTAGCGCCGCAAACTGCTGAGTTGCAAAGCACAGATCCAACGCTTTGGTGACATTTCCGCCCTAAAAAAAAAAGCGATCGAAAGTCGTGACATCAAGAAACTATATTGCTACGACCGACCAATTTTGCGAAAAGCACGCGTGTCAATCACAATAGATATCAAAGCATTTCTGATATACAGTAAGTATGGGAAAACTTTCGTCCAATACAACAAAAGTTGTGAGAAAATTATACTCAAACTAAGGGCCGTAAAGAACGCAAAAAGAACAAAAATTATACCTTTATCTTTATTCTTGCAAAAAAGAGGAAATACACAGTTTCCTACAACAATATTCCTATAACTTAGATTGTTTTGAAAAAGCCGTTTTATCTCAAGCCTGAAAGATTTTCCCCAAAACGTTGGTAAATGTTTATCCTGGGTTAAATGCTTTGAGAGGCAACATTTTTTAGATAAACAATACCTTGTGATATAGCATAACTGCCTTATCTTGCATGTTGGGATGGTTCTCATAGTATCTGTAAATAGAGAAAAAATTCAGAACAAAATTTCAGCTAAAAAAAATGTAGGCCCCAGACCTTTCTCGAAAGAATTAAACGCGTCAACAGCAAACCACTGTAGAAAACTTAACTATAATGATTCCGCAACGCGAATTATAATTTTTTTAATCTTAAACTCTTTCACTCACAAGGAACTTTAATTAATATGCAAAACAGTATTACTCTTAATTTATTTCCTTCCACTGACAATTCACGTGATAATAGCATTACCGCATAAAATATGCAAACAGAGGATGATGCAACATTACGATCTCTTTCATCACAACGTCACATTAAATAAACAAAATTTGCTGTAATTTCGCGACCGCAGCAGAGTGGCGCAGTGGAAGCGTGCTGGGCCCATAACCCAGAGGTCCGAGGATCAAAACCTCGCTCTGCTAGTAGTTTTGTCCAAAACACATAATAATTTTTTCCTTTTACAAGTACATGTTCCATGTCGTTGTTAGCTTTCTGAGAGTCGCGGTAAAAACCAAAACAAGACAGAATTTGAATAATCCTACACCTAGAAAACGATTATTCGAGGCCTCTACTGATGAATCTGTAACATTTAACAGCGTGAAGCAGGAACTAAGCGGCACTTTGCAATATAAAAAGCTTTGGAATGATTCACTCATCAAAACTCCCATTTTTGTCGTTTAAAAAAACATAGACAAAATTGGATGACATTAAAATGTTAACCGTCAGTGCGTCGTAGACCAAGAAAGTGAAACGAACTTGACGGAAGAGGAAAAAACTGAGCTCCATGGAGACATAGTAAGCTTCCGCGAGAATCAGCGACAGAAAGTGCGCTGTTGTCTATCCTAGTAACCCTAAGAGCTCGATTTTGCCCATGCCAATATAAAGCTTTTCTTCACCATGAAAAATATTTATATCACAGTAAATCTACATAACAAAATTGTCATAACCGCAGAACGACCTTGTGATCTCTCCATAACCTTTCATATTCTTTTTGTCCCGAAATGCACTGAAATGGAACGAAAGCTGGGCACACTTATAAGAAAGCGGGCAAACCACTGACAGATACTGTGGTTAACGTGTGAAATAATTTCATTCACGTTCTTAGAAATTGCGGGTGGCAAAACAGGAAGCATTTTTACGTCAGACACGCAATTGTAAATATGTTTAGCAGAGCGGCGCAGTGGAAGCGTGCAGGGCCTATAACCTAAAGGTTCGAGTATCAAAACTTCGCTTTGCTACAATTTTACGAACAGTAATTTTTTCCGCTCTCAACTATTCTTCGGGACAACTGGCGTTTCGAAAAAAATTTATATTTTAACCCGGCAGTAAAAGGATAATTTTAATTAAAATTCTTCTTAATGCTCCGTCAAAGTTGTCAATGGATATTCCGCCGCTGGATATTCAACCAGGAAACCGTGTGCAAGCGTGGAATTACTTTAAGCTACTTCCGTGAACATTCTAGTATGTGCTGTCATAGAAGGAGAATTTGCGAAAGTGAAATTCGTCGAGATTCGAACCAAATAGCTAGTGCATGCAGATTTGGCATCACCAATCTGTGACAAAATCCTTGTTTCAGTTTTAGAACCTTGCGAAAATCGAGGTTATAGGTTCGCTATAGAACTGAAGAAGGGACTTCTGATAACAAACAGCATCCTTTGCCGTCACGCAACACGGGAGGGAGAGAGAGAGGGAGCTTATTGCGTGAAAAGACCAATCAAGGCTCGGAGGAGACTGGGGGCGAACAGCACAAAAAGCGCCTGCTAAAGAAGCTGTTACAGTTCAAGGTTCTGAGATGTATCTCTGATAAAACTATATATCTAACCTTGCTACATCCAGCATGTCTTGCGGAGAGCTAAGTAGCGCCAGATTCATCAGTTCATTATCCATTCCATGTTCCTGAAAAATTAAATGAGCATGAGTCAACCGTTCGCCATTACAACTGGTCATCTCTCTTTGTTGCGGAGTCACTGAGGCATTAACAGAATAGTTGCCTCTTGGGGACCGGTCATTGTTCATCGTCTGGGATTGGGGGGTGGGGGGGGAGCGGAGAATTTGGTTGTGTCACGATAAAATTTACCCCCCTCACGAACAGTTAATTTTCTATAGTCCCCCCCTTGATATTATGTTGGCGACGACTCATCCCCCTCCGTTCCTCCTAAACCCCCCCCTCAAAAAAAAAAAATCTACCGACCCCTCCCCCTAGCGAATAATATGACTCGTCCCTAAGTGTTCAAAAATGTCGTGGTCCATTTATTTCAATCCCTTTTTTTTGTCATTTACAAGACGTTTTAAAAGTGTCACCTTCGCAAGTCGTATCGCGTTGCTATAGCACTGAGCACGCGTGTAGAAGTGGATAGCCTCCTTAATTTTCTCCTGAAAAGAAAATAATAAATCAGATATTACAACTCTAAATATCTTTTTCTTGGTGATTAAGATACTTTTTTCAGTTAAGATATTTTGACTCTTATCAGCTTCCACTAACCTGGTTTTCAAATTGTCTTGCAAGGTGATACGAAGCCGCTCTGTCGCCTGTTTCGTTGCAGATTTCCGCAGCCTGGGGAGAGGTGTCTTGGTGTTAGTGTTAAATACTTGTGATTAATGATGCTTTGACACATGGTTGCACACCTATAAGACCCATCCTAAAATGAAACATCGACCCTTCCAAAAACTGCAGGAAAAGTTGCCAACACCGAACGACGATTGGTTACGCTTTAAACCACTTAGCCAATCAAAATCCCAAACCTATCATGTAACCAGCGTTAACGCGGGAAAACATACGTACAGAGAGTGACGGCTCCGGCAATTCTTTCCACCGGTCAAAGGAGTCACATCACAATATTTGCTTAGAAATCTGCGTCAATATTCTCCATCCTTAATGATCTTAGTTTCCTATTGGTTTATTCTTGCCTCTGTGGCGCTCGTCTTCTCTAACAAACTACTAATTAAATACTAAACGATAGTTTTTAAGGACGGAAAACAAATAAAAAATCGGTCACAGTTTCCCTTAAGAAAAAAATTTTTGTTTACCAGAATTGGTCATTTGGAGCAGTTTTCAAATGAGTGTGGAGAAACCAAACCACAGTGATCCCAACTAGCAATCAATAATAATAATAGTAATCTTTAATGAGGATGCCAACGTCACGAAGTGGTTTACAGAAGGGTCCTCAAAACAAGAGTTGACATCATCATTAACTAATGGGAACTCAAAGCGAAAACAGGCAACCTGCTTGAAGCGCGGAAAAACGCGAGTGACTAAGACGTGATTGGTTTCAGTTTTGCATTTCATTGGTTAAGAAGCTGGCTCCAGTTTCCTGGACCAAACGAAAATTGCTCCGAAATTCGTAAGACACTCTTACTTCACAACAAGTGTTTCTGTACCTTTTCTAGGTTGCCGCAGTAACAGTAGACTCTAACCAGTGACAAGTTGTCACGTGCAGCTTCATAGAACTGAAGCGCTGTTTCCATTTCACTTGTGCTCTCCATGTACTGCGCCCACCATTTACGCAACTCCCTGAAAGAAAGGTTTGGTGAACACAACAAGTGAACGCCTTCGTTTGGTGCAAAGTCATTGAGCCAACAACGGGAAAATTGCCTCTAAAGTCGATCCTGCTCGAAACAGGTTAGCCTGCAGTGCAGGCGTCTTAGTCGGGCAAGTTTCTAACGTTACAAACTCGCAACCGTTTTCTCGTCCGTTTGCTCGATCCGCACCCCTTCCCTCTCCTTCATTTTGACCGTCCCAACCTTAATACAAATTTCTATCTCTCCCCAGCCTTCTGCAGCCGTAAAAATCAACGATGGTAGCTATAGTTTTCACCAAGAAAATTCTGAGCGCTCGCTCGCCAAAACTACGCCTGTTCTACAGGCTAGAAGCACGTTTTCACAAATTCTGTTTGTGAGGTAAATTTGCTTTAATTGAAAACAAAAATGACTTTCTCCATCAAACTCAAAAAAAAAAAAAAAAAAACAAAATCACATACTTGTCCTTCGTCTTCAGGATATAGGCTTCTAATTGTTGAGGTTCCTCCAAAAGCATTCTAGGTACTTCAAACCGGTGTGTGTCTGCTTTTTCAAAACTAAAAGGCAGAGTCAAAAACACGAAAATAAGAAAACCGATTTGTGGCTAATGTGGTAAATAGGTTGGGAGACAGGAGGCTACCATAACCCTTCGACTCCAAGAATTGATTCATATGTAACTTCTCCCTATAATATCCTTAAATTATCCAGCAAACAGGTAAAGAGAATACCCAAACTTATCAGGTGGAAGTTTTATCTTGATCTAACGCCTAATTCTCGTAGCTGATTTACATGGAAGTGTGGAGTAGCTGGAGGGGAGAATTAGCAATTAGATCTTAGGAGTTAGAGGGTTAAACTCGAGGCGTTAAATCTGGACCGTTGCTTTTGAGATTAACATCTTTGTCATGTAACAAAGCTAAAACGAAAAACTACGAAACAAAATCAGGTTTGTTTGCACTTGCAGAGAAATTTTGTTCTCCTTGAGATCAACTCACTTGACAATAGCCGCTGATATATTCCCTGTAGATTCTAGGTGTTTGGCGTAGTTGTAGTAAGTCGTTCTGAGGTGAATGCGATCGTGAAGCTCAGCAACTTCGATTGCCTAACGAAACAAGTTTTTACATTTTATAACGAGAGTAAAACAAGGAAGCGGAGCAAACATCTTAAACTTGGTCGAAAGAAACAAATTTTATAAATCCACGACTTCGGTTTTTCAACCTCGTTTCCAGAGAGAGGGAAGAAGAGTCACCTTTGGGAAAGAGGTTGTCAAGTTTTCTAACCTTTGTCCACTGATTTGATGCTTGGTAAAACTTGTTTAGCAAGTCGTAACGTGAAGAGTTCTTCAAAAGTTTCTCTGCTTCTTCCTGTTTTAGAGAAGAGATAAGTAGGGATTATGTTTAGACCATGTAATGAGCACCGAGATAAGCAGTGTTGTAGCTCTACCAAGTTCGTTCGGTGTACTTTTTGCTCGAGGAAACTACACCTGGCGGGAAAAGCTTAAAATGACTGTCAGCATTCAACTTACGCTCATGCTGAGTTGTATGGCCAAACATGCAACTCTAGCGTCCAATTCAGGTTCTTGCTGTGCCTCCCTCAGCGCTCTAGCGGCTCTAGCGTTTCCCATGTTGCCTAAACACACAGTGGCCACGTCCAACCGCTTCGTCTTCACACACATGCGAGCCATGTTTTCCCAAACTGATTCGCTGTAACAAAAAAGAAATATCCATTCTTGGAGCAATTCCTTCATTTCTGGCTCTGTAAAAAACTGTACCCTTCGCCTCACACTTGCTGCAAACGTGCAGGATGATGAAAATTTTTGCGTAAACTGTATGTGATCATTGCATGAGTATTTTCAGCAAGGGAACTTTTAAGTAATCCTTCGCGAAGAAGCATCTCCGCCATCTTCGACTCCTAGCATCAGGGGTGATTGGGGATAGAAACAAACCTCCACTAGAGGGTTGGCGGTTAGGCAAGAAGGGGGGAAAGGGTGTGGTGGGGTAGAAAGTTGGACCCGTAGTCTTGTACTTGGTGTTTTCACGTATAGTTTCGTGAATATGCCATCAAAAATATTACTCCAACCTTTTGATTAATTTGATCGCTTTGAACGCTTCATCCATGTTTCCAATGGCGGAAAGGTAGCTAAAATTCATCATAGCCTGTCTAGCCTCAGCATCAGCCTTCTCCAGTCCGATGAAATCTCTCATGGTGTGTTTGATCACCATGTGGTGTTTATCAGGGAGAGGAATGTTCGTCGCTCCATACGACGGTGGGTCTGGGGGTGGGGCACTTTCCAACTCGCTGCTCTGTTGGTTCAACAAATGATCAAAAAACTGAGTACTGACAGCAGAATCTTATTTCATTGAACGCAAAATAGAACAGAAGATAAAAAGTATAATTGACGTTAAAAGGCGTCAGATTTGACTCAGCGCATTGTCAGCGCAAAAAGAAAGCGTTTATCATTCTTTATTACAATGGGGAAATAACTGGTGGGTATTAAAAATCTTGTTGCAAGGTACCTAAAAGATTACTTTGTCCCAAGAAAAACTTCCCTCAATTAGTAGCGCAGTTTTCAGTCCAGTTCTGAAAGTCATCCGCCGAGGGTTTAGCATTACTAAGTTCTATGATTGGTATAGAAAACCCACGCTAGCCTCTTAACCAATCAGAAGCAACTAAAACGATTAGTAGAAGACGTTGAAAAACAGCTACAGGCGTTCTCAGAGAATCATTTTCAGAACAATTATATAGCAAAAGTTTGACGACTCAAGAAAACTGTTCCAAGAAAAATCGTCGAAACCAACCTTAACTAGGTAGAAGTAGGGCACTTGTACTCCTAGTAAACCTGGAAAAAGAATTTAACCTCAGAATCCATGAATTTGCAAATACTGAGAAACAAACAAATAAGCAAAAAGATTTTAAAACCTTTGAATGGCAATGGAGCAGAACTTACTGAAGTAGGCTGAGTCAATAGGGAAGAAGTCCTGTAGCAAGATGCCGTTCTCTGGAGTACTGAACAGTGATATCACCAATACATCACTCTGTTGAGAGGAAAGTAAAAACATCATCATCATCTTTGTTTCATTAGAGCCAATTCTGAGGGACCAGTCGGGGAGGAGGGGGTGGGGGAGGGAGGGTTGCAGGATTTAGGGGAGGGATCACATGGTTATCAGGGGGAACGAGGGGGGATTGGTCGTCGTTGACAGAACACAAAAGGGGGACTGTAGAATGTTGACTGCCAATCAGGAGGGATCATTAGAATACGAGCGAACTATCTCATTGTTTAAGTATATTTCTACAAGTCGTTCAAAACTCAGCAACAAGAAAGGCTCGTACTTTTACTACATAAGGATACCAGTCGCCCTCATCGCCTGAAGAGGACTAGCAGTATGCAGTAGTAGAAACGTCGTGAGACAAACGATTATACTTCTCTTTTGAAAACAACGATATCAATAGGTCACACCGAGTGCTACTCTCTTTATTCGCTATCCATCACGGACTAATATAAATTTACTCGCGTTTTAACACAAAAGCTGAAATCTGATTGACTACGCAGCTGTAATTTATTCCATGATACATGTAGATACTGAGTAAAGTAAGAGGCCTAACAGAGTACGGCTGTAAACAAAGTAAGATAAAAACATGAGCCTGTCTCGTTAAATTTTGAACGACTAATAGATTTGTACTGAGACAATTTGATTATACGCCCTCGATTTCTATGCGTGATAGAAATCCCGAACTAATAATCTAATTGTTAAATATATAGCGAGTACCGAAGCCAATCAGACTGCAGCATTTGGGAAAGCTTTCTAGTGGATTTATAGTAATTGTTTTTTATTTTTCTGTCTTTCAGCCAAAAAGAGAAGCTCTGGATGAATAATGTACCAACCTCTCTACTGGCATCGGCAGCTGTCGCATTTACAGGCTTCTTTGAGGACGATTTGTTACTTGTTGCTTCGTGTACCATTCCTGGAATGTGCGCAGCCTCACAGACTAACAACTTGGGTTCTGAGGGATCCCAGAACATAGACGCCGGTCTCCTTCCTGCAATTTCCGCAGCCAGCTGCTCCCTATTCGTGAGATCAGTGCTTTCTTTATCACCTTCGTCCGCTCCAGTTCCTTGGCCCGTGGCGAAGTCAAATGATTGAAAAGCATCGAGTTCTATGTCCCACACATAAATTCTACTATCAGGAGAGTTATTTGCCTGGAACAAGCAAGCCAAGATGCATTAATTGAATAATAAGAACAGATTTTTTTGTTTACAAACTTCCACCAAAAGGAAGATCTTTCAGGTCATTAACGATGTCCACGACAATGTTCAGATAATTTTGCTTATGAATATTAATCAAAGGTGCCGTGAACTCATTGGTCTTGTATGAGGTCAAGTTGTAAGTCCAAACAGTGTAGACAAGAAGACTGTAAATCCTTTTATTGCTCAGGGAGCAAAAAGACAAATTATCAAAGTAAGAAAATTTGGGTCATCTCACCTTATCACACATGATGCTGACTTTTGTGCCATTACAGTTACATCTGATGGATTTCAGTTTGCCAATCCCAGCTATACTTTCTTCAAGAGACTTGGGATTGCAGTGCTGTTTGGCTTCCCTACAGATTTTTTTTTTTTTAAAAATAGTCTTTCAATATATTTTACCCACATGTAGATGATGCAGATAAATTTTAGGCAAAATACAATTAACCCTCTGAATGAACTGAATAAATTTTGTTAGGGCTTGACTGGGGAGCTCATAAAAATGAGGGGGGAAAGGATGTGATGGCCTGGACACTAACAATCGAACATGACAATGAGGACTGGAACCTAGAATGAACTCTGAAGAGGAATACCTCCCACTTGTTTTAATTTGCAAGTATACACTTGTAGCATGAATGGGGTGTCTAAGAACTGTGATTCTTACAAAAGAACCCTATGTGGTACATGTAACTAAGATGGGCTGGCCATTTGGAAGAAGAAACTACCATACAAGTCACATTACAAATCAATCATGTAGTGCCAGTTTTGTTTGAAATTCATACCTTCTTGACAAATCCCAGACCTTGACATAACCCAATGAAGTGCCAGCCACAAGAAAATTTCCACACACATCTAAAAGAATGGGGTCACCTTCTGCTTCAGGAAACTGCAGAATCTGTTTGACTGTTCCCTGCCAACACATAGAACAATAGTCAAGACAAAATGCAATGGGAGCACATCATATTGATCATAGCCATTGTTGCAAAGTAAAAAAAAACGGACAAGCACACATGATACAGGAATCCAGGAAATACTGAAAAGAGCACATTTTGATCAAGTGTCTCAAATCTTAACCATTTACACCCTAACATATGTATGCATCTTAAGTCAAGACACTTGTCTGTACTGAAACTACTAGTAGGGTCATTGTTTCACCAAGACACTATCAATTGGGCTTTGGTTGTTGGAAGGTTGGATAGTGCTATCCACTAGATAAAACTCTATCTGGTGGATAACCCTTTACATTTTGTTATCTCTTGTCCACTGGATAGTGTTATCTGCCCTTTATACACCTGAGCCCAGATTTACATGTCATACCTGAAAAGTCCTAACATGAATCTTCCCTGGTTCTATTGTATAAACACTCTGTTCATGAACCACAACAACAGCAGAATCTGAGTTAAAAGAACCTAGAAAGAAAAGAACGAGTTCAGTGATGTTTTATAAAAGCATCGCTGTTCAGATAAAAATGTCAAACTTTGAGAAGCTTTCTTATATTGAAACAAAAGTGTTAAGTGAAACAAAAGAGGGCAAAAGAAACACCACTATACCTTCTGCTCTGACCAAACTCTTGTCACTTGCCACCTCATAAACTACAACTTTTTTACCATTCCATATCGCTGTGTGACTCTAATTTAACAAACATTCAATAGCTCATGTCAGCACCATCATTATTTCAATTACTACAATTACATTCTTTGGAATTTAATGAGGTTTACATTTAACTATCATCAGCATCTCAGAATTCATCAGGACTAAGGCTAAAGATGTTAGCTTTAAAAACTCTTTACAACGGCCAATATACATTTATCACCTCAGTTGATAAAACTAAAACCAATAATCACACTTTTTTTTAAAAAAACATGAAAACTCAGTTACTGATACTTAAAATAAAACCCTAAGATTATGTTGGCAAAATTTTGGCATTAACATTCACTGCCCTTTAATACCTTTCAAATTTGATACAAACAATGAAAATCTTATAATCAAAGAGATTGCGTGGGGTAGATTAAAATTTAAGCACATTTTACCTGTTAGTTATTTAACATCCATGATAACTCACCTTTGTCACAAATACCCCCTTGATGTGAATGTCTGTCTTAAGGTCTTGACAGTAACCAGTTGTAAAATTTTCAATAGCCAGCTGACTTGGTGAAACTTGAACTGCTGCAAGCTACAACAGGAATGAACAAATCAGGAATAGTGACGTATTTGCCAAATGAAAACATTTACAATCTTTGCCATGTAGTGATATTTGAAAGAACAGCACGGTAACACACACAGAGAAATTAACATAGTATCATAATTGCAAAATTCCATCATGTACTTGAGTTAGGAGTTCACTTCAACTGTGATTCAAATTCATATTTACAAAGGACACAATAAACATGTGTATATGAAATGCTTACAATTGCAGAGCTTAGAGAATCACTCACCTCAAGATTATAATGAGCATTCATAACTTGTTCATTCAAAATAATGACAGTTTCCCCTGTATTTACTGCAAGAAGACTCTTGTTACCACCCCACTGAAAAACAAAAAAATGACAACATGAAATATTGTGGTCATCTTGTATTTTACATGCACTCTGACATGGAGATTAGTGCATGAAGGGAGGTAAAATTCTAAAGATACTGTGTTGCTGCATTTGTGGAGGGTATTGCAAAATTGATCTAACAAAGGGCTAATGCTTGAAATATCACCTTTAGAAACTCTCTATAATGGCCAATTCACATTAACAACTCAGTTTATAAAACTGAATCATCTTAATTAGGACATATTTCCTGGAAATGTCCACACAGGAAAGATCAAGTAAAATTCAATCCACAATAGAGTAATGTGTATGAAAAATTTATGTAGTATTTCAAAGGTATTTCAGAAACAAGAAAAGTTAAACTGGTGAGGGCAGTTACAACCACCCAAACAAACTTTGCAAGGGCAGCCCACAGAAAAATTGCAGAGCTGGACATTTTTATAATACAGTGCAACCAAAGTATCAATAGCAAAAACCTGTCTCTGATCTAAGGTTGTATTTTTCTCACCTGTATCTGGGACAACTGTGTTTCTCCCTCTAAAACAGCTGGCGATTGAAGCTCCCATTTTTCCTGTCCTTCAAGCTTTTTCTTTTGAGGTTTAGTAACCACATGTTTCCACATTGCTACCTTTCCTTTGTTTGTTCCACCAGCCAGAATACCTAATTAAATAAAACATACAGTGGTCTCCCTTATTTTAAGCAAGACAGGTAAAATTAAAACTGGTAATGCAATCCTTTAACTGGTTGAATTTTCAAGTAATCCAAGTGATTTTATATAGTAACGAGTAAGTTGTACTATTGGTGGTAAATTTTACTAGTTACTGCCTGAGGTAAGAGAATACTGACGGAAGTAAAGGTGGACATGATATTGGTATGACTTACTCCTTTGACTCCACTGAGAGACAAAGACACACTTTCTCCTTACAATATGAATACAAGCAGACAAGTGATGAGAATAAAAAAAAATATCAATTAGGGGATTATTAGTTGATTCAATAAAAAATTCTCCAAACTCACATAATAAGAGTTATATGATAGAAAGTAAGGAGAATTACTATGGAGATCTTGTAAGTGAAAGGATTAAATTCTTCATCCTGTACAGTTTTGATGTTTGACAACACCAGTAGATGTTTTACGAGTCTTACCTTTAACCTTGTTAAATGATATGCAGTTGACCACCTCACCAGGTTCAAAGCCACTACCATCAACTGAAAGGACATAGTTGTCATTCTGCTCGAGATTCCACATTCTACATGAAAGAACCACACAATTAGTACAGTTTCCCACTTTCAGGAGAATGTTAAATTACTTGATTACAAATGTTAGATGCTAAAAATGTGTATTCAGTGTTTGTTACTGAAACACATGCACACATAAAGAGCACCCCTTTAATATGAATATTGAAGGTTCAAACAAGTTAATATTAAGCAATATTTTACTGGTAATAATATATGATAATGCAAGCAATATTTTATTATACAATTTTACCTGACAACATTTTCTCCTGATGCTGTCGCCAACACCTGTCTTCCTGCCCAGATTATTTGGCTTTTACCAGATTGTCCACTAAGTTTTACCTAATAAAAGTAAAAAATGCATCTGATGAATATGATAAAAGATATATCTAAACTTTATTGAATAACAGGAGTATCACAAAACAGACCACCTACCAGTAAGTACTAAGCAACTGTTTTGGTCGTCATAGTGAGACAAAAAATATTTTGGGAACTAAATTTGCAGCAAAGTTGCCAATTTGACAATCAATGTTTGGCACTTATGCTGCAAGTTGTAAAGTTTTAAATCTTTTACACCCTCACATCAGTATACATATTCTCAATACTGTTTTTTATACATTTTCCATGGTGCTGACAAGGAGAATTTGTTTAATAATTAAGAGCTGCTTTTGTTGGTGATCATTTCTTTTATTCTTGTAACCTTAATGGTTGATCTAGGGGTGACATAGTGGGGAGAAATTAGATTCTAACCACTTTTAGGGTTTAAAAGAGTAACACAATAATGCTTAGGGTCTAAAGTTAAATTGCAGAAAATTTCCTTCTCCCCTTTTTTCCATATTCTCATTTTGTACCAAATCATTTGTTTCAAGGGACCATGTCAGGATTTTAGGTTTCCAGATGAGATAGCACCATGGAAAAATTTGAGCTTGTAGTCCTGTTTTAGGGAAAGTATTGAGAAATATGCACTGATAGGATTTGGATAAGAAGGCTTATGTATATGCATTCCTTTGAATTCATGACTCTAACCTTAGCAACTTCTGATGTGGTACCATCATGAGCCACTCTGTGTTGTGAAAGAATCAAACCCTCAGTAACCACCACAATCATGTCTCTTCCCTCACTGTACAACAAGAACTTTACAGCACCCTCTGCTGTGAAGCACCGTGTGCAACGACCCTTGTCATCAACAAAATACACTGAACCTGCAATCAGAATGTACAACAAAATAAATACATGGCTGACAAACAAGCACTCCCTTGTCATAAGTGTTTGCTCGAAAGAGTTTCCAGCTTAACAGGAGTATGTGTATGCCAATTAAGAGCTGTTGAGACACACATCAAAGCCTAAACACAGCATTAACAGTTCTATCCCATATTTTTCAACCATTTAACCCTTTAACTCCCATGACTGACCAAGACAGAATTTCTCATTACAATATCAATACAATATCAACCACATGAGGGATGAGAATGAAGAAAAATATCAATTTGGGGATAATTAGTTGATCCAATGCTAAATTCTCAGAACTAACATCATGAGAATTGTATGTTTGTCTGTAAGGAGAATTACAAATTTGATCTGGGATTTACAGGGTTAAATAACTAGCTGCTATACATTTTTTTGTAAATTAGTTATGAGAACTTGGAGTTGGATCAAGATAACAGCTTCTTCTCGATGAATTTCAGTATGCTTGTTACCTGTTTGCTGAATAGTGTATGGATATTAAAGGGAGAAGTTACTTGTTAATCACTTCTGAAAGTTAAAGAGTTAAACATCTAACCACTTGCCATTTTTAACCTCAATGTATAGCAAAGTCAAAAGAGTACTCACCATCCACCACACCAAAAAAGAAGGAATAATCAGTTGAGGCTGTATTTGTTATGTTTTTGTTACCCTTCCTCCAACTTAACATGTCCAAAGCAGACTCGTCTCCCGCAACTGCTGCTTTTGCCAAACTAGATATGTCACTGTAAAAAATACTTTGCTTTCAGTGACTAAATACCATTAACAACAGCAATAAATTTTATCAAAAGAGAGACCTGTTGTTCAATCTAGTCAAAAGAAAAAGGCAAAAACTAGTATATTATGATAACTCTTCACCAAAACCATCTAAAGTAAGTTTAAAGCACTGATGAGAGAAAATATTATTAATAGCATATGTAATGGAGTTTAAAAGGAATTTGGGCCAAAACATTGTAAAATTTATTTCATAATTTGTATTTCCTTTAGTCCCATGTAAAGCATGGCAATTCTTCAAAGAAAATTACAAATCAAGCTAGAATTATCCCTTTAACTCCTATGAGTGATCAAGAATTTCTCCTTACAATATCAATACAATATCAACCAGATAAGTGATGAGAATAAAGAAAAATATCAGTTTGGGGATAATTAGTTGATCCAATACTAAATTCTCTGTACTAACATTACAAGAATTGTATGGTTGACAGTAAGGAGAAGTACAAATTTGATCTGGGAGTTAAAGGGTTAAATTATTTCAACCTGGACTCCTTTTTTCCTGGGAAATTCATCATTCATCAAAACAAGCCTGTGACTGAAAAAATTCTGCAGGCTACTTGATAACAAGTCCTTGAATACTCTGGTAAAAAAAATCACCTTTTAGCCCTAAAAGAACTTTTCACAGTCACCTACTTTGCAAAGTCTGATGCCTACTTCCTAACCCCTGAAATCCCTTAACATGATGGGTTTCAAAAGTTCAAAATCAAATTCTTTTTATACTCACTAGTCAGATGCTAGTGGTGGCTTGAAGACGCAAGCTGTAATAGGCGAGGAGGCATCATGTTGATATAATGGTGATTGCTGTAGTCTCCCCCTTTGATCTGCTTTCCACACAGCCAAAATCCCATTCTTCAATGAAATATTTAAAAATTACACATTTGAATCATTTCTTTTAATACACTGTGTTTCAGGTGTTCTAGTCTACAGAAATACCATACAGCTTGTGAAAAGAGATGTGAAATATCATGCATGATCAAGAAAATTCTAGGCTAATACAAGACAATATATTAAATTCTCAATAAAAGGTAACCTCATCAGTAGTAACAAGTCTGTTTCCATTATTACTCCACTGAATAACTCGAACTGCTGACTGATGAATGGATGAAGCCTCGTGTAATTCACGATCATGTTCATTCCACATCAGCACATCCCCACTCTGCCAGCCAATTGCTAGTATCTTTCTAACAGGATGCCACACAATAGCTGTTACTACACTGGACCGTTGAATTGAGGATTCTTCAACTAGCTCTCCCTGTAGGCAATTATAGATATGAAAACAGAAGACAACATCACAGTCAAAACTACAAATTCACCTTAACCAAGTCAGATGAAGTCCATTTCAAGCGCTCAGGTTTTGGAGACAATTAAAAAAGAGGATGGGCAGGGTTGCCAATATGTTTAATAGTGAAGTGAGAAGAAACCTTTAAGCAAATTCTGAACCCAGAATTGATTTTTATATCTAAACCTTTAAGTGCTAGACTATACATTAACTTCTGCTAAAAAGTGGGAACTAGCTGTTGAACAAATATTCTCAGTGGAATTTCAACAAGATGGCAGATTAGCCAGAAGTATGACAGTTACCAACTCTTAGCGACAGCCCTGGTGAAGGCAGAAATAACAAGGTCCTAAATTCACCCCCCTCCCCCCTTCCCCCCAATTCTTTTTTCTCTCTTGACCACCTTTTAGCCCTCATGTCTCCAAATATGAGTGGGTTTTCTACAAAAATGATGCTATTCTGAGGACAAATATCTCACACCATCGTCTCTAAGACAGTTGGCAGGCTATGACTGAGATCAAAGCATAGTAAGACGAGTCGAAGGTGACTCAATCTCTATTATTTACACAAAGGGATTAATTTCATCATGATCGAGTTATTAACTGAACTGTGTCATTCAGCTACGTACCTCATCAAGATAGAAGTTAACAGAGCCTCCCATATCTGGTTCATTTTTCGAAGCAACTGCCAAAAGAGAATAATTGTTGTGCCATGCTATATCAGTCTGTATTGCCACTGAAGGGGCCTGAATTTTATGATCAAAGTATACTGCCATGCTTGAGGACGCTTATACCAAGTGAACACGACTCAGCTGAAATAAAATCCCATCAAGTGGTATTCTTCTCCTTATAAAATCAGATGTCAAATGTTGAATCCGTGACTGTGTGTGTAGCTAGCACAAATGGTATGACATCTACAGAGAAATCTAAAAATTCCAGGTCGATCAATTCCAGTTGGGAAATTGACGATTGGTCAATCCTAATATCGAGTTTCTGTCGCGGCAAATGCAATAAAATGCTGCTTCGAAGCCAACAATGGTGTGCTTTGTTTCTCCTTGTACAATCCAAGGGTGTCCCGTTAAATTCCAGGTGAAGAACCAACGGAAAATTAAGGCAAACCAATATGGACCACTCACGTCAATAGCAACCACACTGTTGCCACGTAAATTTATCCTTTGTTTGTCAGAAGAAACCTTCCGAGAATTACAAATGTTTTTAGACTGTTACAAAAAATTATCCCAAGGCAATGATCGTGTACAATAAAAACGTCCAACTTATTCCAAATTCACAAGTTTCAAGCCATTTTTAAACACTACTCTCTGATCACACAAGCAATAAACCTTCATAAAAGCCCGGATATGCTATTTTTGTTTGTGCCGCCGCTGACTAGTGCTTAGCAACGACCACCTGCGCAAAATGCAAAATGGCGGGAGGAGGGCTTCATAGTTCTGTATTTCTTGTAATGGTCTCTGGGCAGATAGAATCCGCAAGGGTAAGAAAAAAACTAATTGAAAGATTGATTTTATTTCCTTCAATATAAACTTGGTCCTTTTTATTTTTGTGGCTTCCAGTTTCCTGAGTTTGACGATTTGTACTGCAAGTACAGTTTTGTTTATGGCCAAGACTGGGTAGTGACGTCGGTAAGTAATCTACATGTTTTGGTGTTAAAACTTTGTATTGTTTTTTCTTTGAAGTATTTCCTTCATTATTTTTGTGATCATCCATTCCTTACAGCTTTTCTTTGGTTTCTAGATTTCTATATTTTTGCTTCTTTTCGGAGTAAGTCGAAAAGCATGCTGAGTTGCTAATCGACTTCTAATATGCTAAGATCATGACAATTTTCACTGAGTATTGTCACTGCCATGATGCACGCGAGATTTTGTGATTGCGTGAAATTCAGTCAAATCTGACATTTTTGTTCGATTAATTTTCCTTTTTATGAATTTTTGCAGGGTTGGGAAGAAGGAATTTCCCAAACTACTAAAAAGAGTTTGGATAGACGACAAGTCTTTGTTTTTAATTTTCCTCTGGACATTACCTTCAAAAGTACAAGTCCTTACGGATGTGAGTTGATACAGTTTTTTTTTCTTTTGATTGCAAAGAGTAGGGTGATTAAATTTATGTGATTAAAGAACTAAAGCTTGGATTTAGCCCCAAATGATATTTAAACAGATGAAAAAAAAAAATATGGAAAACAGGGGTCGATCTGCAGAGTATGGCAGAACTTGACAAGATTTGGTGCATGCAAAGGCAATTCTGCCATGTGAAATCTATAATAAGGAGAGAAAAAATTTTGTGTGCAACTGTCATACTCTGTAGACAGACCTAGACAAGGACAAAGGTAACCAAATGCATGTTGTTTTTAAAAATCACAAACCAATCTATATTTTGAAAATAAACTGAATTTAACTCAAAGAACCCCATCATTTTAGGGCCTCAATTAGTGATCAGTTGCTATGGCTTGGATGCCTTTGGCCATGACGTAGTGCGAGGATATGGAGCTGTTCATGTTCCCATCTCTCCTGGGAGGTAAGAGAATGTTTGTGTTTGTGATATGATCACAAAGTGCTTAATCTGAAAAGTAATGCCAATTGCCAGGATTTCATAGTAAAATTTTCTGACCTCCCTATTCTTAAATCAGGCCTTTTTCTTGGGAAATGATCACAAAGCCTTTTTCTTGGGATATGATCACAAAGTGCTTAATCTGAAAAGTAATGCTAATTGCCAGGATTTCATAGTAAAATTTTCTTACCTCCCTATTCTTAAACCAGGCCTTTTCTTGGGATGACTCCCTACAATTTGTTTATTTGCTTCGTTTGGTTTTGTTTATTTTGTTATTGTTTTTCTTATAAATTTGTTTGTATTTTTTTATTGTCAATTGTGTCCTGTGAGCCAGTCACTGTAGTACTTTCTTAATGATTTTTGCTATATTTTCAGTCATACAAGAGAGTTGCCAATGTTTGTTCCGGAGTCCTCATCAAAATTTCAAAAATTTACAAGGTGAGCACATTTTTGCTTCTCCTTAAGAAGTTATGGTTATCAATCTTTTTCATTTTACTTTACTTGTGGGACTAGTTTAATTTTTGTTTAAGTGTACCATAGTTTTTTCATGAAAGGCTAGCATCTCTACAGAGAGAATAATCATAGCAAAGTACCAGAACCATTTCAGGCTCTATAGTTGGTCGCTCCTGCTTGTGAAATTTTTGGAGAAAAAGGAAGATGATTATGCAAAAAGCCAGACCACAAATAGTGTCTCTTTTTTTGACAAAGTTGGTTGTACGAGTTTGAAAAAACTTTGTTAAAAAAATTAATGTACATGTGCCACAGAGTTTCTTTTTTTGACTCATGCAATCTCATGCAATGGACTTTTCCCAAATCAGGAGAGACTGTTCATGTTTTAGCAAAAAGCCTCTGTGCTTGTGAAAGGAAAAATAGAAAGAAAAGAAACAACACTCTTCTCCAAAGCAATATTATTTTATTTTGTTAATTGGATGCTTATTGGTTATCACAGTTGGTTCCTTGGCAGAAGGCCAGAGTTTGTAGATCCTAAAGTTGTGGCACAAGGTGAAGGAAGAGAAGTGACACGAGTAAGATCACAGGGGAGTGTGAAAGTAACATTTAGTGTTGTGACTCGTGACATGAAGAAGTTAGGCTATGACACAGAAGCTGCTACTGTTGCTATTCCACATCTAGCTCCTGGAAACACAGGAATCACTACAATACGACCAGAATCTCAAGCTCATGGAACAGAGAGTCATTCATAGTGAATGATGATACCTTTGAAGTGTCGCAAATGCCCAGCATATGCTAAAGGCTGGTTTTCTTGAACCCAACATAGCATTCAAAAGAGAGGAGATGGAAAGACAAAATAACAGTTGATTACATATGTGGAAGCTTGCTCCTTCCCATTCATGAGGGACCTTAAGCGGTCAGGAGAGCAATGCTAAGGAAATCATTGACTAGAAAATGAAGTTATATTTTCTTTTAGAATTTTGTGAAGGGCTGAATGTGTGAACTGAATCTAACCATGTCCTAAGTTTCAGCTCTTTCATAGCATATACGAGTAGCATTGAGCTCTAAGAAGAAATTGCAATAAGTTGCTATCAGGGATTCCATTCTCAGACCTTGTAATTCTTGGGAATTTCCCAATGTTATGTTGCAGAAGTTGGCTTGGAAATGTGCAAAGTTTTAAAAGGCACCTGCTCTGCTGTTGTTCTGCTCATTAAATCTCCTGTTTTGCCAAGTTCTTGTTGCAATCACTGTTGTGGTTTGCTAAAGGTCCCTATTCTTTGGGTGTCACGTAAAGCTAACACATTGAAAAAGATGCAGAGGAGACCACTTGTCTGTCAGTTAAACAAACGTTCTGAAGAGATTGACAAAGGGTTTATACGTGACACGCGACGAAGACCAAAATTTGCATTTGACGCGTGAATTGTACAGAGAGATGTACGCTATTCGTAAATTTATGAACCAACGCGAAGCGTGATATGTGTGATCCGCACATTTTTCTTTCAGTTCGTGAAAATCTCAAGATTTCCCCTAAACATCATAAACAGGAGGGGAGATTTGAAGTTTCACCTTCTATATACGTGACGCGTGTATTTTCCTTAACCCCTAAGATTGACCAGCTTCTAATTTCTTAAAATATCACCCCTGAATCAAACATTAAGGTCACGAGAATCAAGGAAATGATTACCAACTTATAAGCTCTTGATTTTAAAACAAATTCTCCTTGTCAGCGCTTCATGAAATGTATAGAGAATGGTATGGAGAATATGCATATTGACGGTAGGGTATAAATGGTTAATTTTCCATGAAATGGAAAGCGGGTCAGGACTCCACTCCACCCACCCACCCCTCCCCCCTTCACCCCCTCTTGTTACCCTCTCTGAGGGTGCTATATGCTACTTCATTGTTAGAATATTCTGAGATGAAAGAATCAACATGTAACTTCTCCCCATAATATCCAGACATTAATCGGTAAACAGGTACCAAGAATACTCAAACTTTCCAGGTCGAAGTTGTTATCTTGATCTAGCACCAAACTCTTACAACTAATTTACAAGGAAATGTTTAGCAGCTAGAGGGGAGAATCAACAATCAGATCTTGGGAGTTCAAGGGTTAAGTAGTTGTTTTCCAGGGTATACAAGTACCAAAGAGACAAGAATAAAACCAAAGTGAACAAGGAAAGTGAACTGATAAAAGAGATCGAAATTGATGGGAAATGAGATACTTGAAAATTCACTTTCTACTGCATAATAAAGATGATGAAAGAATCTTTATTATGCAGTAACTAATACTTTGCTCACTGATACTTCAATAACTATCGGTCGGTCTCCGTTACGCTGTCAGCCTTTGCTAATTTTAATTACAACAAGTAGTGAGCTTTTGTTCCACCACGTTCCCTTGTGTCTGATGTCAGACTCTTCTCCTCGGTTATGGACCGTTCCAAATGATTTCGGACGCTTCCGTCCGTTTCCGACATTCGTTCGTATAATCTCGTTCCGCTGTTCGACACTTCTGTTTGGTTTCAGACCCTTCCGTCCGATTTCGGCCACTTCCGTCTGTTTTCCGATATTCTGTCGTATCATCTCGGTCCGATGTCGAACATTTCTGTCCGGTCTCAGACCCTTCCGTCCAATTTTAGAAACTTCCATAGAATTCAGCAAAATGAATGTTAACAATCGCAAAGCTCGTCTTCATGGTTATTTTTTTATTACTATTTGTTTGTACAAACCCGGAAAGTTGCTAGGATGGACACAAAAAATTAACGTCACGGTATCTGACACCCTTATTAATCCTCACCTGTTTTGTCTGGTCAGGTTAATCTTCTTTTAGTGGGCATCATCCGCGTCTGGCTGATTTTGTAACGCGCGGCCATCCGGTCTCGTGTTCTCTCAAGCTTGAAACATTTTTCTGTTCGTAAATATGACTTTTCATGTTTTGTCTTCTCTCAGACAACTAAATTCGTTATGACTTTCTGTGAACCATTCTTAGGAAGTTTGATTAGTGTTATAGGAAAGTACTTATCCACGATGGTCGAAAAGAAGCTCACTAGAGTATGAGGAAATGAAAGCCGGTGCCAAACATTTATCACGAACCACGTTATTTTAAATTAGTTATTTTAAATTATTTTTCCTCATAGGAAATTCGCCAATAACATTATATTGTACCCTAACTCTACAGAGTAGTATACCACGCACAAATAATTCTAAAAACTCTTTTGATCCTGAAAAAGGTCGATTCCGAGCAGCTTGTTTTACACCTGGAGTTCCACTGTTATAATTCTTATGGCGTCTAGTTAGGAGAGCCAGAAACAAGATAAAGGGTGTGATTGTGTTTATTTATCCCATTTCTTGCCAAGAACTAAAAGACAGTACCCCTAGAGATTTAACTGTTGAATATTTATCTACTTCAGTTCCGTCAAAAGTTCGGTTTGGTCGGTATAATTTTCACAGACCATTTTAATCCTAAGCTCTTTTGTTTAAAGCCTGAACTCTTTTATTGCGCATCTGAACGTCTATTTCTATTTTATTGACGTTTTTCCGAGGTAGCTTTTTTTGGCTTTGAATAAGAGGTTCTTTATTATTGACGTACACCTTAGGGTGTAGTCAAGAGAAAAGTAATTAGTTATAGAAATTAACATGCGTATCCCATCCTGGGGGAATCACCACTGCGTCTGACATCACGATAGAGCCGAACGAGTTCCGGGTTGTGAGGTTGTAAGCTTTCTCAGAAGAAAAAAAATTAATCGAAATCCTGAGCAACCAATATGATGTTAGACTTGCTGGATATGCGTTGTTTCTCCATACAGTTTATTTTCTTCAAAAACAGTATTTCACTGAACAATATTCACCGGAAGCTGTCAAAGGAAGGGCTTGAACGACGCGATTTAGCCGGCTGAATTGTTATGATTTGGTTTTCAGTTTTTCAGTTTCTTTTTCGTAATTTCATTGGAGCAGGCTTTATGGTGTAGAATGACGGAACCGTTGAGTAGTAAGAAAAACAAGCGTTGACGATCGATTTACGTGTGTGCGTAGGTTACGGGTGAATTTTTAGACAGAATCGGAGCATTTGGCACAATGTTGCACCGCTGTCTCCACCTTCACCAAACGTTAATTTTGAGGCAGAGATATTCGACCTGCTGTTATTTTTAAGTATAATTATTGCTTCAAATTTAGATTATATTGTCTTATTAAACTTCGAGAATGATCGGAAGCTACACGGACACGACCGAAACAAAACTAAGATTGGAAAATACAAGAATAACTTGATATTGCCGACACGCTTGTTTTTTCAACTTGGCAAAATAAACAGACCTTAAATATAGACCAGAATTGTGCGTAGTTTTGTGCTTTAATCCATTCATATCCATAGGATTATCTTGGCGAAACTTTATTTTTTCAATCCCTCTAAGCCCAGACACGGTAAAGGCAAAAAAAAAAAGTGTTGGCTGGCGTGACAGAGTGACAGAGTGGTCCCACCGGAAGTGTAAAATATTGTTATAAAGCCATATTGAAAACCAACACCTCATGCTATTCCTGACAAGTATCGAAACAACTTGAGGTTCGCTTCAGTTTTTAGAAGAACGATATTCCACCCAAACAAGAGTTCTATTCAACACCGATAACGGATCACAGAAGAAGAAGAGGAATATTACGTGACGTTTGTTTTTTCTCCTCTCTTTGTTATCTTAACGCTTTTGGAGCAATCTGAGAAACACGATTACGGTGGGCTGACCTGGATTAACGGATGGTGTGATGATTAATCATTGACTCTTTCACACGATTATGTTACTGATTGTACTTTAGTTGCCCTCATGGTAGAGTAAACTTCAGTGAAACTCAAAATCAGCTCAACTTGAAGGTCTGAAGGATAAATTTCATCAACATGCATGTTCAAAAAGGTAGGTTGACTAGTTCTTAACTCTAATAATGAGGCAGATGGTTCGATGGGTCATCGTACCGTGATTCAATGGTTCAAATCGAAATGTGATAAATCGGAATTATTTGATTGAAAATTATTATAATCCTTTTTTCGAGCAACACCGATGATAAAGCTTGTACCTCACTCGCGGTTTAGATTGAAATAAATAAAGTAAACTAGGTTCGAGTCAGATGGTAAAACCCACGGAAGTCACATGAAACTCAACAGATCAGAATTCATTGTGTTTCAAGGAACTTGATTCTAGAGGTGTGTCCGCCTGGCGGAGTAAATCCAATCCTTTAACCTTATATGACTAAGTTTATTCCTATTTTATCTTTTCTGGGGGGGTCAGGACTTTTTGAGAACAAGGAAAATGAATAAATCAGAGATCGCAGCTCTATTGTTCACAGTATTGTTATTCAAATGAAAGAGGAGAGTAAACTAAATTGCCTCGACGATTCATAAAGAGTGGAAGGAAATGATGAAATTTCCTGCAAGAACGCTGACTAACAACGCTTTACAGATAGGAAATGGTAAAGAGAGATTCTAATTTTCTCATTACAAAACTAAACTTGTTTCATTATATGATTATTGGGAAACCAAAAGTAATGCTTGTAAATTTCGAAGCTCGTATGTCGCGGCCATAAGTAACGCAATCAAGAATTTTGACCAATCACAGCGTGGAAAATTAGAAATGCAGACAGACTATTGTTGATGCTCCAAATTTGTCTCTGACGTCACCTGTACATCCGGGTTCTGTTGATACGTAATGTCATGCCGTGCCCCTGCTTTCCAAGGGTTCTCCAAAAGAGTTTTTATGAGGAAACGGAATACACAAGTGGAAGTTGGGGACACTTAGGGTTTTGCTCTTTAAAACTCCTGCTTTAGTATGTCGTGGAATGTTCAAAGACCCGACGGTGTCCCCGAAATGGCGCCTTTAGAAGGCCAACCATCTATGAGCCATTCACAACTTCTGAGTAACAGAGATGGTAGGACAGATTCGATATCAGTAGGCCTTTAGTTAATTTGCTTTCTCCGACCTTTTCCTCCCTCTGTAAATGAAATTGCGGATTTTGGGTATTTTTTTGGAAGTTTTTATTTTATATTGATCGTTTGGGGCTCTAAATGGTAAATTTTTCATTGCAGCTTTGGAGCGAAAGCTCTCTCAAAGAGAACCCCGTCAGGAACTTGTGAGCAGAGGGATTATGCCTGGTTCGTAATTTTATTGCTTGTCATTCGACTTTATCTCTCTAGCTATCGTTGAGGCTAACTCTCTGATTCATCCTTCTAGCCGTTAGTGCAGCACCAGCAATTCTTTCTCAGAGGACGAAGCTCGAACGAGCGAAGGTTAGTTTAGAAACTTTAGAATGTGTGTCTGTGTGTGTTCTTATCCTCGAACTGTCTTAAACTAAGAGAGATATGTAAATAAAATGTAGGGGAACTGAAAACACTGACCACTCGGTGTGTTGTGGCTTTTAGACTGGTGATTTACTGCAGAAGAAAATACGAACAAGGCCAAATCGTGCCCAACTGATTCAGAGACACATTTTAAAAGGTGAGCTATATTTTTTTTTGGCGAGCAGATTTCAGCTGTAGTAGTGTCTCCAACCTTATTTGACAGTTTGAAGCTGTTTTGACTTATTGATTCAGTTCATAGAAGCTCTATGGAAGTATCCCGACATTTAGTTCGATCAATGAAATTCATTTGAGAACCCTGGAAAATGGAGAAGTTTTCCTTAGAGATTAATGCCATTACGTAGGTTATTTTCGTCACGTTTACAATTTTTGACGCTTGGGTTGAGAAGGACAATGTTTGTGTTTCACGACAGATTCCTTCATAATAAATTTTTTTGTTCTCTATTAGTTATTGGATACTAAGTGAAGTAATCATGATGATTTTTTACATAGCTTACCTGCGTGGCATTTCAATTCAGACGGTGCTAATTCAGTTTCATATGTTGGTTTTATGTTTCCTTCACTTTTATCTTTTTCGTCTCCAGTAAACCTACTTTCATTTTCTTCTTTAAATTCGCGAATCACGATATCCATTTACAACGGAATGAAAACATAATTAGACTTCACACTCTCTTATGTGCAGCTGGTCTCTGTGGTACTGTCAAGAAAATCGAAGGAAACATTGAGAAAATCCACTATAACGTGTGCGTGCTCTGTGCAAGCCATGTTTATTACTATGCATTTTGATTCAAACAAAGAATTTCTTTACTCATAACGCATTCGAAAAGTTGTTTATTTTCTCGGGCGAAAAATGGGTTGTTCTTACAAATCAACAAGCACGCTTTCGGTGATTTTTCGTGCAACGGCGGTTCAATTCACCAAATCCCAGTTTATACCAATTTAATCATTCAGAATATTTTGGGATTAACAATTTTATTGTTGCAACCTCATCAAGACCTGTGGCGTATGCCTATTTGACAGCCTTGTGTGATCCCTCTTAGATTTGATTTGATGTGGTAAATTTTTAAGATGTTCTATGGCAATTGTATTTTCAAGAAACAAGTGAAGAAGATCCATCTTTCTCTTTCTTTTTTTTAATTAATTCTCCCAATGGTTTGCTTAGCTGATGTTATTTTCAAGTATTGATTATCTCAGAGTTTTTCTAATCCCTGTGGTTGCTTAAGATATTCCTCTTCCCAGGCCAGTGTTTGCTGTGATTTTTTTCTGTATTCTGTGGAATGGAGGGAGCTTATTACTGGTCATAATTTCATTTTTTTTTTTTTGTCAATGTTATGTGACACTAATTAAATTTGGGAGCATGTGAGAAGTGTGAAACTTGATAAATTAATAAGAGGAAAAAACTGCAACCAAAAAAAAAGAAAATGCATGGGGGGAAGGTTCTGATTGGTTTCTTAGCCCTTTCCTCCCACAATTTAATCTGAAATTCTCCTTTCAGTGGATGTACTTGATTGTAGAAAAAAAAAAAGTTATCATCATTTTAGGAGATTGTGTTGAAATTGGAAGGATAAAAAGGGTTACTTTTTTTGTAGATTTTAGAGCTCTTTCAGTTTTGGAAATGATGGTTGTCTTTGGTTTCCTTAGAAACTCCTGGTGCGGTGGATCCTTCACTGATCGACAAGCAAATGCAACTGAAAAGGAAGAAACTGGAAGATAATCTCAATGACAAACTATCATACAGACCTGGTCCCTTGGAGCTAGTGAAGGAGAATATCTTGGAAGCTGGTACTCCAATGAGCCAGGCAGTGCAAGAGGGAACTGTGCCTTTTACTGAAACCACAGATTACTTGCAGTCCCTCTCTCCTGATAGTGTTGACTCTCCAGATGCATCTCCGTCACCAGATTTGAGCCATGTGTCTTCCCCTTCAAGTGTGGGTTCACCTCCAGCATCAACAAGCATAACATCTTCAGTGCAAGCTCTTGCTTCTCTGCAAGCACAGACTAAAAAACACACTCAGCAACAACAAGCAAAACAGCAGCAACAACATCAGTTGTTTTTACAACAGCAAAATGGCCTGAATCTAATAGCACCTACACAACTTCCAGTACAGGTGTCATCAACAGCACCAAAGAAGGAAACTGGAAAGTCTCGAAAGAAAGCAGCTAAGCCAAAGGTTAAAAAATACAAGTATCATGAGTATCGGCCACCTAATGGTGAGGTGCAGAAATGTGATTTGCCATCAGACTCACCATATGGTTTGTTATTACAGCAACAACAACTTTACCTCCAGCTGCAAGTGTTATACCAGAACTACCCCCATCATTGTATGTTACCTTCCATTCCAGAAAATGTTAAACTTGGGGCAAATGGCTCCAAGAATGGCAGTGGTAGTGATTCTGAAAAAACTGTCAAAATTGAAGACATGCGAGTCATTGACATGAGGAGAGCTCTGAAGGAACGTGGGCTTCCAGTGTTTGGCTCTAAAACAGACTTAATTAAGCGCCTGAAGGAGGCTGGGCCTCTTCCAACAGAGGTTGCACCAAACTCAAATAGTGCAGCCTCTGTTGTGGTGTCAACGCAAGAGCAGATAACAACCTCTGCACCAAGTGTGTCTCAAGCTTTTCCGAGAACAACAACCCATCCACCAGTGCAGCGCTCAAACTCCTTGCCCATGCAAAATGCGCAAAATTCAAGTTTAGAAGCTGTAGAGCAGTTGAAGATGCAGATATTAGCAAATAACCAAAGCCTTCAACAGCTTAGTGTGCCACCAGAAGTTCAGCAACAACTCCAGCAGCTTCAATATTTGAACCTTCAGTTACAACTGAAGCACCTAAACATTCAACAGCAACAGAACATCCAGCCAAAACCTCAAAATACACCCGTCACCAATCAGAATGTAGCAATGAAAAAGGAATCTCTAACAGACACAAATTGTTCTTTCAGCCCGCCACCTGATCACAAACAAATGAAGGAGCAAAAACCATTATTTGTAATCCAACAACAGGGCCAACATGTGCAATTGTCACCTGGAAATCATTCTCCTCAGCAACAGCTTCTTCATCAGCCACAACAGGTTGATAATGCTTTGGCTCATTTACAGGAACAGGCTCAATCATTGGACCTAAGCCCTAGCAATTTTGACTCAAACCCCAGCAGTGTGGAAAGCCATGTTCTTCCTTGGGATCAACAACATCCCCTATTTGATGGAGAGAGCGAATCATTTCCATCACCTGGTTCACAGCACTCAGACTTGTCAAACTTATCACCCTTGCAAATGGATCAGCTTTCTCACAGTATGGATACTTTACCAAATGGTAGCCTTTTCCAGGCCAACGTGAAGCCAGAAAGTCACCAAATGCAAAGGTCCTATTCAGAGAGATCTTCATCTGATTGCCCAGATGATTACTTCTTGATGCTGCCACAGACAAAGCCACGGTCATTGTCTGAACCACAGTTCCCTGTATCAACACACAAACGATCATCATCATTTCCATCAAACCCTTTTGCTGCCCCTCCACCAAGTTACGAGGCTCACATGGCTGCTCAGTCACAAAAGCAGAACAGAAACCTTTCAGTTGGGGGGCAGATTGGTGGGGGCCTTGCCATGCCAAGTACCAGTCCTAAGCAAGAAGATATGGAATTGCCTTTAGAGTCTGTTATCCAAGACAAGGAATTATCTCAAGAACTACAAAAGGTTTGTGCATCTTCTCTGATCTTGGTTGTTGCCCTCATTCTTTCTTTGGTAGTCCTCTGTTATTTAACAATGTTTAGATACTCCACCAAAGGGAGCCATGTAATATTTTACAGTATTTCTCTAGTTTTAGGTTGAATTTTTCAAAATTCATTATTGATAATTTTGGCTGGTCTTGTCCATCCTGAACCATTCAGGTTCTTTTTTTGTTTTCTCTTGCTTCTCTGGTGTTTCTTTTCTCTAGTGAGCTATTATATTTAATTTCACTCTTCAATAGCAAAAAAAATTTTCTTTAAGTATAAAACATCATTGCATTGCACATTGTTGACCAATGTACATCTCTGTTAGTGACCCTTGTTGAGTGGGTGATATTTGAATCTGCAAGTAATATTTGTGTGTTTACGAGGATTTACCCTTTATAAAGGAACTAGCACTGTAATATTTTCAGATTTTTATTGGCCTCATAGTATAGTCTCGTATATTTTTTTGATATCTGTTAATACTCCTGCATAAAAGAGCCAACTAAGTAGCCAAGGTTATTTCTGTCATTACACTTGCAACTGGAACTGCAAATTCTTTCAAGCCTGGGAGATGACAAGCTCAGGTATTCACATTTTTCTGTGATGCACTTTTGAGGCATTGTATGCTGCTGGGTTTAAGCCAGTATGGTCATGACACATTGGTCCTTATTTCTTCCATCTTTGCAGGCAATGATGAAGAATTTCAGTTCACTGGATCATGATGACATACTTGAAATCTTAGGAGGTTGGTGCATGAACTTTTTACATGTTAGTGGTATTTGGGTACTGAATTTTCCCACTTTATTCCAGTTTTACTCTCATGAAAGGCCAGTGGTTTGTTAGCTCCACTGTCATTGCATAAAGGTGGTCATTTTTATGAAATTTTTATTTTTCTAGTTTCTAATTTTGTGAACAGGGACTCCCGACTCCCTTGTGAAATATTACAATATTTATTATTATTACAAAAAGTAACATTTAGTATAGTTGTAATTGATTTATTGTAATTATTTTATCATTATTATTGTTATAGTTACCCTTGTGAGTTTGAAGCCAATGTCTTTGTAATTTATTTACAGAACCTCGCAGTCAATTGCCAACAAGTAGTAGTTCTTTTGCTGGGATATTGTCAACATCGCAGTCATCACCTGCACAATCTTTTACAGGGAGTAAGTCACCAAGTCTGGGATACCTTCGCACTCTACCAACACATAGCTCTGTGGGAAGAATTTCAAAAAGCTGCGAGGATGTGAGCCAAATGCCTGTTGGCAACAATTCTTTGTCTAATTTTGACTATATGCTAATGAGCCCTATGTCTCCTATGAGAGTGGACTCTTGTGATACAGATGAAAGTTCGACCTTAATGGATCACACTTCTAATGCCATACCTATTCCAATGGCAAACAATGGAGCAGGGAGGACAGATAATCTAGGCTGGCTTGATTTAAGCCTGTCACCATCTGCACACAATGTTATACAACAAGGAAGTGCTGAACTTTCTCACAATAACAATTTCGGCAAAGGAACACCCCCTGCATTTTTGTATGACCCTATGACAACATTCAAGGGCGATGAGGCTTTGCCTTATCTATCTCTGTTTGACCTAGAGACTCCAACAGCACTTCAACCACCCACAGACTTTGCAGAAACAATGGATTACTGTATTTAGGTTGTGTTCTGGTTGACTATTGGTAGTTATTTGGTAACATAATATGATGATTAACTGTAGTAATAATCTAAAATGATAGTCGCCATCAATGGCAAAGTAAGAAAATGTAGATTAGTTGTTTAGGTTTATGTACACTTCCTCCTTTTTGTGTTCTGACAAGTAAGCCTTTTTTTCATAGTTAAAAATTATGAAACTAACTCTGGCTAATGGGAAAATCTCTTCATTCATTCCTTTTTTTTACCCAATCAAAACTAAATATTGTTTCTGTTTTTCTATCATAATGTTGGTAAGACTCCTGAAACTATGTATTAATTGTTCATTAAACTTTCTAAATTCAGAAATAAATCAAAACATATACAGATGTGTTAGGAGATACATTCAATATTTCTAAATTTAAGTAAGGTTATAAATATATTTGAGTTTATTGTTCTAAACAAATGAACTGCGGTGTGCTTTTGTGCTCTAATGCTGTAACCATTCTTTTAAGTAGGTTAAACCCAATCACTCTGCCGTTGCTCTTAAAGTAGCCTGCAAAGTTGATCAGGGGTTTTACTAGTATGGCATGTAATGGAATATGAAAGTCATAAATCTGTGTTCACTGCCACAACTGATAGTAAAGGCAATAGCCACTCATTTTTAAAAAAACAAAACAGTTCTCAAGCTTCTGTTAATTAATTCATTGGTATAAGGTCCAAAAACTGGCATTTGAACTCTGGTTAAAAGACTTCTCTGTAAAGATAGATGCTTTTTTTTTTGCTAAGTGAAGTTGGCTGAGCATCAGCAATATGGCAAAATAATATTGCAATTAATCAACCCTGTTCTAGGGGAGTTTATCCATCACATAAATTTCATCAAGCTACATTTTTATACTTTTGACAATCATCAAACCTTACATTGTAGTGATAAATGCTTCTCTTAGACAAGCACAGACTTAAATCACATAAAATTTATTGTTGCTTTCCCTTGCATCCCTCTCAGTTATTGTTTTTAAATGCTATCTGTTTTAGTTTATTAATTTTAAGATCTACTAAGAGCCCCATAGCATTAAACTGATTCTAGAATTTTCCATGGCATCCACAAGATAAAGGCAACTAAAATAATAAATATCACCACCTCCCACTAAAGGAAAATTGTCTGAATGAGTAGTGTTTTGTTGCTCAGAAATACTTGTGAAGGTGTCCTATGTAGAAATATTTTTCAAATGGTATTATTAAGTGAGGCCTATTCTAAAGAGAGAGGAGGTTTTGCTGCATAAAGAACCAAGTCTAAGTTGCCATGGTTCAGGTTTAGTTCAAGTCTGTAAGCAGATATTTAACTAAGAAAACAGGATAAACCATCATTGATCAGTGAAGATTAAGTAAACTGCTCTTGTCATCAGACTGCTTTAAATTTCATTTCACGAACTTGTAAATTACCAGATTCATTTGAAAAAAAAGACAGTCACAACAATTGTACATTTGCATTCATCTTAAACTTAGTATCTTTCAGTTTTCTTGGAGGAGATAGAGAAGAGCAGTGAAATTTTCCCCTCAAATCTAGGGACATTTTACTGCACTTCTCACAAAGAAAATAGCTATTACATCAGGAACAACTAATGCATGATATTAACTTTGAGTCAAAGGAAAGACAAATCTTATAGTCAGCTTTTTTAAAGAAAGTCAGGAGTGGTTCACATATCTTTTGGATTTTTAGACAAGAAGTCTTGTTTATCATTTTTGGAAAGCAATGTTGCATTGCATTTAACTGCATTTCAGATTTCTACTTATGTGTACTTGCACAATTCCCTTGCTAGTTGCAGAGACCAGTTGATGTTGTAAGTCATTTAATGAAGTGAGTTTGATTGTTAGGTCCACTTTCAGTCATTATTTTAATGACATTGAATTTCCATAGAATGTTTGTGGATTAAATTTCATCCAGAATTTTGTTTGTTTGTTAGTTTTTTATTGTTTATGCATTGATTAATTTGAAGCTTTCCCTCCCCCCCTTCCCCTTTTTCTTCTGAGGAAATTGGTTTGTTCAAAGTCCTACCCTCAGGACAAAATTTGTGTTCAAATGCCCAACTCAAGTGCTGGATTTGATGGTTATATTTTTTGAAAAAGGAAAATTCAGCAACCATGATGGCTTTCTACAAATTGACTAAGCTAGACCGTGTAGACCTTTTCTTCTAAGCCATTCCCTCGCATTTACCTTAAAACAGATGTAACACTTGTATACTGCTGGAGAGACTTGACACTTCAAGTTCAAATTACCCATCGCGGCCAGGGACAATAGTCAAATGCCCATAGGTGGCCTGGAGAGGGGGTATTGAAGCTTTGAGTGATCTGTGCAGATGTGTAGATGTGAAAGAGGGTAGCTGGCATTGATGAATTTGAAAATATTTTGATTCATTCAGGGGTGGATCAGTTTATGCAGATTGTCTCTCAGCAAACATTTTTATTCTAAAAATAGCATTCCTTTATAAAAAGAAAAAGTAAAATGAGATACTAGTAAATGTAAGTAAATAAACCAGACTAAGCCTGCATATTGGGGGAGTTGTGTATGGAGTAGTAGGAGGTATTAATTACCCAGCATGTCAGTTGGAGAATATTGTGTGATATCTAATTAACACCCACAAGGTTTTAAGTTTCTCTGGTTTAATCACCTCATGGATCATGAATTGATATCTTATGGAGAAGTTTATATGTAAATGTCTAGAAGTAATGTACAAGCTAGAAAGATCACTCAATCCACTGGGCATGTGCTGCTGGCCTCTCAGAACTCCCATTCCATTATAACCTTCTGTGGCAAATTATGGACCCCATCTTACTCATTTTTGGGCAACCGTAACAACTTTATAACTGCAAATCTTCCCATTTTTAAATCCCTATATACTGGAATTTTCTCACCCACAAAATTGCAAAAATGTGAGACTCCATTCTAATAACTCTACAGAAAAGGAAACCACATCTATTAATCCAGTTGTGAAAATGTCAGTCAGCATATCCCCACTAGGTTATTATTAGGACATACTCCCCACACATCCCCTGTTCATAGTTAACATGAATACTTGACCACCTCGCTCAGTGTCCCAGCTGGCCCATGTGGATTTAAAGTATGAATTGTTTGAATGTCCTTGATTCCCAATCTCATGATCAATCTAGTTAGTTAATATTATATTTAGTAAAGGTTTTCATGAACATTTGGTTCAATATAATATCCAATGGTAATATCCATGGTAAATATCCAAAGAAATGTAGCATTTTTGAGACCTGTATGTTTACTGGTGATTGTCTTTTAATTGAAAAGAACTCTGTAAACACTCCAACCATAAATTAAATTAATGTTAATAGTATTGTAATACATGTATCGTAATGTAGTGTATGCATAATTAGTGTAAGTATAAGTATCAGTAGTGTAAGTAGCAAGTACAATGTAAGTGTAATTAATACTGTAAGTAGTGTAAGTGATCGTCTTGTAAATAAAAGTGTTTAAAAAAAAACAAACAAAAAAAAAAACAAAAACAAAAACAAAATGAACATTTGGTTTTAAGACTAATTTCAGAGACATTTTCCAAGCACAAAACTGAAACATAAGGGGTGTTTCATTGACTTACATCAAAATGATAGGGACTGAAACATTATGTAATAATGTTACTTTTCAAACTTAAATTCTCTTACAGCCCAGCAGAATGTTGTTTCAAGTTCCTAAATATTATTTGCTTGAGAAATCTTGCATAATTTCCAGACATGTGGCACAAATAAGAAGTAGTTGGGTTCTAGATTAGGTCCCCTTACATTGGGTTCCTCTGAATGAGAAACAATTAATTTCCCCTGGCACAAAATACTGAAAATCTGAAAAACTGTTAACCCTTAAACTCCCAAGATCAGATTGTTTATTCTCCCCTCTAGCTGCAGCACATTTCCTTGTAAATTGGTTATGAGAACTTGATGCTAGATCAAGATAACAGCTTCTGCTTGATAAGTTCAAATATTCTCACTACCTGTTTGCTGAATGATGTTCGGATATTATAGGGAGAAGTTTCATATTAATCACTTCTGGGTGTTTAAGAGTTAACCTGGTAAGGGTTATTCAGTCTCCAACATTTACTGTCAGATACCATATTTAGGCTTGTAAAGTAGTGCTTTGTCACTGATAATTTTTTTGTTGATGTGAAAAGTGTGAGAGAATGTTTTTATATTTTCCAAGGTTTATGCTGTCATAAATATAGTGTAACCAACTAATAAGAAGAGGCAACTTCAGCAACTGTGAAAAAATTTGGAGTAATTCCTAGTAACTGCTGTCAAGTATTACTACTTTCTTGTTGTCACTTTCGTCATTTTATTCTCTCCCACAATTAGTAGTGAACTTTAAAAGGTGACCTCCATCAAATTTTTCAAATGCTTCAAAAGAAGATAGAAATCAATGGAAGACATTATCATTTGATGTAGTTATCACCTTGTTTATTACATCAACCCAACTAAACAAAAATCCCATTTGTAATAATCTTTGGATGTTAATCCTTCAGTATAATCTTCAAACAATTTTTTTTAAGTGCAGTAAAGGACTTAATCCACTGCTTCTTGTCTTTTTAAATCAAATATATTAATTATACACTTTTGCAAGCCCCAGATGCCATGGAATTTTAATTATTCATTCCCATAGAGAAGAGACAGTGATTAAGGGCCTCTGTTAAACCTACAATTCACCATTTGACCCCCAAGAGTGGGTAGCATTAAACTACTCCTTACTATATGACCCTGGAATCAAACATTAAGGTCATGAGAATACAGGAAATGATCACCAACTACAGAGGCTCTTAAGCAAAGAGGTTCTTAAACAAACTCTCCCTGTCGGCATCTCAAGGAATGTATAGGGAAAAGTATGGAGGATAAGCATACTGATGTTCAGGTGTTCCTAACCTTAAGCATAAGTTCTTAATCTTTTGACCTTATCAGTGATCAGTTTTCACAGTCTCCTAACAATTTCCAAACACTTTAAACTAAGCATGTGATAAAAAAGAAGAAAATATATGAAAAATGTGATACATCACTAAAAATTTTCTGGAGTTGGCAGCAAAGAAATGTGTGAAATGTGAAGCTCTTCTTTGATGAAGAAGTCTTCACTCATTGCCACTACTTTCAACTCAATAGAATAAGAATTTAGTAATTTTGAAACAATATGAAGACAAAAGCAGTTCTAGGTTCAATCTATTTTGCAATTATGAAAATATCCTTGAAAATTTAGCTTGAAAACATAATGTTTTAATGTGTAGTACTTCACAGTACAAGAATTACATTACAGTCCCAGACAAAATAAAGTTAATTTTACCTCTTTGTGGAAATGCTTTTAAAATTTTACAGACAGGTTCATTCACCATCCTTCATTCCTTTAATGATACCTATGAGCTTAAAATAGTTAAATGTCGGTGGTTGCTATGGGCTTGTTGACATAAATGAAGAGAATTTAGCACACCAGCAACACGATATCTTTTTTAGACGATCTCTGATTGTCTAGTCCTCTGATTAATGACAAAGACTTGATATTTGTTTTGTGTGGTAGGTATATTGTAGTTTATCAATTTGTCACTAGCACAAAGAATTGAATACGATTGCATAGTAACAAAAATCGGCATTTTAAATGCATACATACTAATTTCAAAATAGACTTATTGCAGAACGACATACAGCTGTTTTATTGACGTTACTTCGCAACTGTATTTCCCTCCAACAAGATTGTTTTAAGCGAAATTTCAATGATCTGTCGGTGGAATGTTAAACGACGTAGGGTATAAAACTTCACATTAAGCTAATAAATTTAAAAAATAATAATTTAAGAATTGGTTAACCTCTCCTTTCACAACTTTGACAATTGTTTTGTAATCAGGACCAATGGAATACCTAAGTTCGAAAACCCGTTGATCCGTCGCACATGATGTCTGATCTAAAATTTAAAACCCCTTCCCGATGAAAATGAAATTAGCAAGATTTAATCTATTGGCAGCGCTTCCTAAACAAAGCGATTTTTCTTATTATCATCGATTCCGCGGTGTATGATCGGGGAAGTTGTTTCACCCTTTTCATGTAATGAAGTAGGACCTTAATACACTGCCTGTGGATTGGATCGTAGCTTAATTGCGGGAGGCAGGCCGCACGAATAAAATTATTTTTTGTGCTTTCTACAAGTGTGATGGCGAAGTCTTCGATAGCGATAAGATCAAACATGTTTAAGTTCAATTCTAGGCTAAGCTACCAAAATATTATGAAATTTCAGAACGAAGTCAAAGTCTAAAAGGAGTACGTGCTTTCTTCTTTGATAATTCCGTTCTCCTGTTTCTCCTCGTGTATAGCTGCAGCGTCATCTTTTGGTAGTTGTTTGATCAATTCTCTTTCCGATTCTACAAAATCGTCAAAAAGACTTGGCCATGCCTCCGAGTCATCGTAATTCTCGAAATCCGGCTCAATTGCCTCTGTGAAATTTAAAAACATATACCAAGTATCTCGTGAAATTCCCCGCAGTTGTCTGTTTTCTAAATAGGCAAACCATCGATCTAGAACAGCTGGCACGTTCCTTGAAAAGACAAGTTTCCAAAGTGGAAGAGCGATGTTCTTTGGAAGGGCTCTCTGGCCCTCATCTACATCAAGTCCAAACTTGAAAGTGAATCGATACAAATCCTTGAACTTCTCGACGTCATTTGTTACCTCTGCTTCTAGTTCGGGAAATTTATTTTGTAGGCTTCTTATGGAGTCTACTCTGAGAGCTTTGCATCCTTCGAAAAATTCATTTCTCGTAAAGCGACACATTTGCGAGGCATTAAATTTCCAGGCCAGAACAAGCACGATGAACTCTGTCGGATCAACACCTAAGTCTTGACAAAACTTCTCCATGCCATCCGCAAGGATAGCGTCTTCGGTATCGTCCTTGTATTTACCAAACAGCGAAGCGATCTTTGACTCGTCAACTTCTTGCTTTGGCAAGGGGAATGTTCTTGGTATATCATTTGAACTAGTTTTCGCTGGCACACTCTTCTCTGCTGGTTTACTCTTGAACGATTCGTTCATAATACTTGGTGCGTGTTGGGTATACGAATTATTGAACGTCCTAGTTGTTACTGATGTGGTTGTGGTTTGCTGTGAAGGCTTTCGCTGAGTTGTATCTGTAGATGAGTCCCCCACACAAACTGAAAAACACTTACCCATAACCTCAAATTACTATTCTTGTGTTCCAACGTTTTGTTACAGCCAAACAACCACAAAAGTTTACCAAAGAGAGGAAAGTTAAATGTCGTGTTGCAACGAAAAGATGTCAACTTTTTCTTACGCTAAAGACCACGTGACCGGATGTTGAATAATCAGAAAGACTTCCGGTTTAGAAATTTAATTTTTGTGCCATAGTGAAGTAATTTAATTTTCACACATTTTTTTCGTATTTTTACTTCTGCTCTGTTGCCTAATTCGTTAAAGGGTGTTGCCTGAATACACTTCATTAAAATGAGATACGTTTGATATTCGGTTCTGTCCATGGGTCTGTTTCATAATTTTTATTAATTATTAAGAGACGAATGTTCCACAAAGTTAAAGAAAACAAACAAAAGTAGCAATGTTTGTAAAAAGAATATGAAAGATAAAAAATACTTCAGCTCGATTAAGAAATAACGAATTATGTTTTTTTGTCCTGTCACGATTAGTAACACGAGCTTGGGATACAGAAAAATTCTGAATCCCTGATTCTCCACGAGGAATCGAATCATAGACTTAAGAATATTCCATGTCCCACGTTCGTGACAACTGACAAGACAAAAACATATTGCGAAAACATTTTCAATGTTTTAAAAATAATGACAGTGCATTATTTGGTCGCTAAAGAACGGAATGTCAAAAATTTAATCAGAACTGATGGAATAGTTTTAGTTTCCTCGTACAAAAGCAGATATTTTTTGTTTCATATAATTGTATTTAAAAATATATATTTATATAATAATTTATTCGTTTCCCTCAGACTGATAATTTTGACTTTTCTACATGAATTTTATCTTTTATCGTGATCACGCCCACGAACGAATGCTATGTTGTTTTTTCGCATTAAGAAATACCATGGGGTTCAGATGCAGTTATTGTTTTATTGTTTAGTCTACCAACTGTGAAAATTTATCGTTCGTTGGATTCGTCAAGTCCTGTTTAAAATTTGCATATCAGACGAAAGAAATAGCATAAGAATTTCATGGATTGTTCATGTCTGGTTTTGATATTCCATTCGTTTGATTCTATTTTAACCATGGCTTAGATTTGTGTTTGGTCGGATTATGCTAGGATCGTGCTAGGATCGCTAAGATACCCTTTGTTATGTTCCCACCCCCGATTATTCCTAACTCCTTCTCACTTTCGTCCAGTCCGCTCCTTATTTTTACCAAGTAGTTGGTCGAAGGAGACTAAGACTAGCTCTCCCAATTTTCCCAAACCTCCATCTTTGTTTATTGGATGGCGGAAGGAGAGAGGCCTTCGAATGACGTCGAAAGTAATGATAACTTAGTGAATTCATGGCTAGTAAACGGAGCTCTACCGTGGTAAGTACTTAGCTCAAACCTTTTTTCGAATTTCTGTCTCGTTGTTTCTTCGTGATTGTCTTCGTGAAGCACAATAAATATAGAGCAATATGACAACAATTAGCAAACAGCTGGAACCGTATCAAGAATCACGTATCGTCTCTTGATCACCCTGGTATTCTAGGGTTGCATAATTTCAGCCAGAAACTTCAACTGTAAGCCAAGGATTGCATATCCTTTTAAATGTACTCCTGTGATTTTAATAGTTGCTTTAAATGTTAACTTGAAATCATGTTTTCCACCTGAAATACTTCACTTCCTTCACACTTGTCATAAATTTTCGATTGCTCAACTGTATCTGATAATTATTCATCAAGGACGAAGTGACTATTGTTTAATAACTGCGAGACAAAGTTGAGGGGATTACGCAACCATTTTCATATAGCCTGAGTTGAGGTGAATAATTATTAATTGTCAGAGCTAAACCGTTTGTTTTGTTTTTCTCTGCCTCCAACTTTTTGCCCATCAATGAAGGGAAGCAGAGTTTGGCATGAGGATCACATTGTTAATATGTAAACTGAATGAAACATGACAATGTGTAGTGGTCTTGTCAAAATTTTTTGCAAGAACTTGTTTGATATAATTGCTCTGCTGGTGATTATCAAGATGTGAAGGCTCTGATTTGTCGAGGATTGAATCATATCTTGCTATAATTACCTCATGCAAGGTGATTATTGCAGGAATGTGTTTCGTTAGTGTAACCTAGGAAGTGATGACAAAAATTTAATTCCTAAGACCTCAAAAGATGCTTTGTAGTTTGGAGTAACACTTTTCAAAAGAAGATATGAAATTTTTGCTGGTTGAATTAGTGAACCCATGAAATTCAAGTAGAAACTGGTTCTTTAATCAAAACAATTGAAACAGAATGGTTTCCACATCAAAACAAATATTTGGAAATTAATTCCAAAAGCACCTAGTAAGGAATTATTTATCAAATATTGTTAAATAATCCCCCTGACTTTTTGTTAGAATTATTCAACAATTTTCACTTCACCTTCAGGGAATTATTGTTAATGACAATGTCTCATAGTTTGTTAATTGCAGTCATTCCAATAAGATAAAAATAGCTTCCCAGCTATAATCACCTTGTTTTGGGTGATTATAGCAAGATATGACATAATCCTCAACCCATCAGAGTACAAAAATATCCACAGTCATCTGAGCAATTACAAAAATCTAACATCTATGTCAAGTCTCTTGAATACAGAGTGAACATAGTTCCCCTGTAACTATGTTATTCCTTGTAACTATGCCTTATCTCCTTAATAAAATCAAATTTGGATACTTTTTCAATAAAAATGGGAAATCTCAGATTTCTCAGAGTATAGCTTGTTATCATAATAATGGAGTTTTCTAAAAAAAACATACCCCCTGGAAATGGTTTGTCTCAGAGTATGGCCATTTCAACGGAAAGTCCTAACAGAGATAGCTTTTTTTCTGATTGATTGCTTTAAATTTTGTTTTAAGTCCCAAAGTCCTACTGAGAATTGGACAGATGACCTTCCAGTCTGCAAATTGTCTGGGGTTGGTTTCCTTACAAATCAAAGGTACAGAGAGGATGGTGGAAGAAGGGAGGAACATGAATTAGAGGACAGGAGTTTCCATTTCAATGTAGATGACACATATCTCTATGGAGTCTTTGATGGTCATGATGGAACAAGGGCTTCAGATTTTACTGTTCAGAGACTCCCTGCTGAGCTATTACTTGGTCAGCTAACTGGTTAGTACGAAACTTGGTAAAATTATTTTTTTAAATAAATTATTGTTATCTTTATTATTATTACAGAGGGCTATAACTTACTCAAAAATAGGCCTTTTGTAGACAAGGACCATCACATGAATTCTTGCATACATTTAGTTGTGATCATATATAAATTGTTTTGATTTATGGGTAAAACAAGAGAGCCTTGTGTTATGACTGATGTCTCTTTTCTCTCATTGTATATTTCTACTTGAAAATATAGTGATAATGCAAAGATTAAATTTCTTTAGTTCACTTGGGATTGGTTATATGGCAGCATTTGAACCTCAGACTCACTTTCAGTTTGTAGTTTGGAGAGCTAACAAGTCCTGAATGATAATATGTTTTTAACTCCCATGAGTGACCAAGACAGAATTTCTCCTTACATTATTAATACAATATCAAGCAGACAAGTCATGAGAATAAAGGAAAATATTAATTAGGGGATTATTAGTTGATCCAACACTAAATTCTCTAAACTAACATCACAAGAATTATATGACGAGCAGTAAGGAGAATTAATAATGAGATCTTGGGAGTTAAAGGGTTAGGTGACTTCAATGAATGATTTCAGATTTATACCTTATAAAAGTGGATGAATGATCGCATACTGGTATTGTTAAATTGCATTACTGATCAAGATGTTGTGATGTTGTGACATTGTATCTATTAATTGCTCTGAAACACTTGGTAATATTCTTATCAATAATCTAATCTCTGATTGTCAACAGCTGATATGAATGATGAGCAGATCAAGGGAGCCATCAGGCAGGCCTTTATTGTAGTTGAAAAAGGATTCTTCCAATCATTAGATGATGCTTTGGCTGAGAAGACAGAAATTCAATTATCAATGCCTGAGGTACATTTTGTGTTCTTTCTTGTACTTTAATCTTTTAATGTTAGGAGGATTCCAATTGGAGTTATTGTTTCAATTTAAAAAAAAATCCCCAACTACTGAAAATTTTTAGATTTTTATTTTAGGAAAGTTTTAAATTGGGTTATTAAAAGGCCTGTGGCTGGATGCATCTGAATCTATTTTTTTTTTTTTGCCCTCAAGTAAAGGCATTAAGTAATGAATATCAAAATTTAACAAACTTGTATAGACCAAATGAAAATATGGCAGCTTACTTGGAGGGCACATGTCAATTTGCATGAAAGTTAGCTTGTCTAGGTAGGCCTCAGGGCTTGTTTAAAAATGCAGCTCTTGAATGGCAATGGGTTGTTGGCAAAATATTCTATTACACTATGCCTAAGAATTCTTTTGTTCCTGGATGTTAAGGAAAGATGGGTAAAGGAACTCCCTGTTGGAAAATGGTTGTATGTCCCATCCATATTGAAGGCCTTTTCCCCTTTGCACTCTTTTTGCAAATTCTATTTTTGATTTTTTGTGTGCAAATTAGCCTACCCTATGTTTCATCCCCAACTCCTGTTAGTAAGGATAGGCAGTCACCAATACTAAATATTCGATTCTGGTGATTTTTTACTGCCTTATTGATACTGCTATAGAGAACTGAACACTTCATAACTTTAACAGTGCAAGATAGTCAACTTGATAAATGAATGAAGATAAAGGGATCGAAAATCCCTGAATAAAAATCATAAACGGCGTTGGCGCCAAGGCTCAAAATGAAACAATTTGTTGAAACAATACAAAAACAATCTATGGGCGTAATTTTCAATGTGCAAAATTCTCAGTTATTATATGGTCCTTACCGACAGAAGAAATCTTTTAGGTACACGGGCAAAATCGGCCAGTGACAAATCTTCCAGTTCTCGATTTTCGCTCTCAGCCGCGAGAAATGCTAATACCAAAGCCACCGAATACGTAGCTTTGGTTTTTCTTTCAGTATTTTGGTTTTCTTCCCCTTATAGGAAAGTTTTAACGTCACTGTCTGTACGCGATACGGAATTTTTAGTGTTTTTTTAGCAGCCATAACCCAAAACAAATTCCGACAAACGACCTTAGATTGAGAATGGCGAAGGCTTCGCCGTTCATTCATCAACCTGACCGAGTGGCGCGAAAGGCGAGTGACGTGTCAGCGGCTGATTGGCGATATCAAACACACGTGAAAAAATACGATATTTTTTCACGTGTGTTATTACGGCTTTTGTCAGAGCTGGAAATCCTTGCATAACTCCTTAGTTTATATGATAAACCGTATATTTCACGAATTAAGATACATGACTAATCATTAAACTTACTGACGCCACAGTATCAATATCAAAGAAAAACGTCAGTTTAACAGATAGATTCCAAGTTGCCGTGCGTCTGTTCAGTAATAGATCACAGATGATGTTAAAATGTGGTAAGAACAAAAAAGTGGCACACAAGGCGCAGCCGAGTGTGTCACTGATGTTCTTACCACATTTTGACGTCCTCTGTGATCTATTACTGAACAGACGTATGGCAACTTGGAATCTATTTGTTTTATATAATAAAGAATTTAAAAAAGTTTTAATGATGACGTCATCTATCCTCCAATAGATCATAAGTGAGAACCAATCAGAATGCGTGCATAACTGAGCTTATTATATAAACTATACTTGAAAACCATATCAGTTCTTCCTTACCCCTTAGTATTTCTTCACCCTCTTCTGGTATCCATACTGTATGCGTTTAGTTTCAATAGTTCCCATCCACATGTGGCCATTTTCTTTAATTTTCTTGCATTTTATTTTCTTAGGGTCTGAGCTCATATGAAGCTTACCAACAGTTCCCAGATGAGGTTGCCAGAATGCAGGCCTTGCAAGATGAGATCAGTGGTGGTACTACTGCTGTAGTAGCTCTGATTTTCCAAAATAAACTCTTTGTGGCTAATGTTGGTGACTCTAGAGCACTCTTATGTAGAGAGACTCCTGAAGGAAGTATTTCTGTGACGCAGGTAACAACAGTACATATTTTTAACTCTTTGACTCCTTAGAGTGTCTAGCATTTAATTTTTCCTTACCACGTCTTTTCGCCCCCCCCCCCCCTTGAATCACACTTTAAGGTCAGAGGAATAAAGGAAAAGCTTGCTAACTCAAGAGGCTCTGGCCTGTTCAACAAATTCTCTCTTGTTAGCACCTTGGGAAACGTATAGAGAACAGTGTGGAGAATATGCATACCGATGTTAGGGTAAAGGGTTAACTCCTAGTTACAGCGGCAATACCCACGAGCACCATAGCAGAGCAGAGAAGGCATACATTCAGTAAATCTTTTACATAGGTTGGTGATCTCTAGGGTTTATTTCCATCCTATGCTTGTTAACGGCGGAATGTAAAATAACAACTGCCTTCTGTAGTTAGCTGTAATCACTTATTTTGGAGCTTCTCCTTAGAATTTAAAGTGACCTAGTCAAGCCAGGAAACTTAAATTGCCATTAACATGATAGCTTGCTCATCTTGTTGTATTGTACTGTTTTTGGGAAGGCAATCCGTGCAGCGCTCCAAGTTGCGACTATTTTGGTCGCCATGAGGAGTAACAAATATATTTGGCGACTAAAAATTCGGCGAAAGTCGCCAATTGGCGACCAACAGATTTGGAAAAAAAATCGCAAAATCCATCGATGTTTGGTCGAATTAACAACCGTAAAACGCCGGTAACGCAATATGAAATGTCCTCCCATTGATGTGACGATTTCGGCGACCAAATTATTTCTATGGCGACCATTTTACAGCTAAAGGTCGCCAAAGGGCGATTTTTTAAAAAATTGAGCTTAGAGCCCTGCAGTGTGTAAGTTTGATTGAAGGGAAGCCGAGTAATAACTAGCGATTGAAACACATCTTTTAGGCTGGGCCAAACTTGTATTGTTCTGTGTTTCCAAATTAGAAATAGTCCTTAGTTTGCAATGTTGGTGTTTAGTGCTTCTTGCATAGAGAACTGTAGCATTTGATAGACTTGAAGTAAAAAGATCAAGGTTGAGGCGAATCAGAAGGCATTTTGTCATTTTGTTGGCGAAAGCTTTTCTTTAAAAATGCCGCAATTTAAACTGAGAAGGGGAATGTACAATCTCTAAAACGCGACCTTTTTTCCTTTATATCCTCAGCTGAGTGTTGACCACGTCACAAGTAACAACGACGAGCTTACTCGGCTGGCAAATCTGGGTCTGGACATTCAGCAGATATTAAGGAATCGTCGGATTGGAAATCAGGAGAACACAAGAAGTATCGGAGACTATTGTGTTAAAGGTGGCTACAAGGACTTTGATATTCTAAGGTGCTTGCAGTTTGTTTTGATTTCTAAATGCATCTCTAGCTGTCCTCAAATTTACATCATTAACTCAGTTGATAGAACCACATTGTCTTGTAAACACCCCCCCTTCCCCCCTCCCACCCACTCTCCACCGACGCCGCACGCGGTTTACCCCCTTTAATCATGATCTATGATGATTTCTGTAGTGCCGCTACTGAAGAGCCTGTTATCGCAGAGCCTCACATTTGCGGTGGCTTTCCAATCGACGAAACCTTCCACTGTCTGGTGCTGATGTCGGATGGTGTTTACAAGTCCATCGATGAAGCGTCAGATGTAGAAACCAATTCCAATTTTGATGTTGTTCGGCTGGTCGCTGAAGAACTTCATTGTCAGAAGAACATGACTGGTGTGGCACAAGCTGTTGTGGATAGAGTGGGCAGGGCACATCATGACACATACATGACTCAAATGTCCAAGTGTCAGAAAAGAGATGATATGACATTACTGATTCGAATTTTCAAAGAGGAGATCGCCAATAGTTTGAAGAGTCCAAGGGCTCCCGGAAGACAGTCGGTGTCAGGTAGGTATGCAACACTTTCTGGCATACATTGGAAATTACGACTAAGAATTGATTGTCGGCGACCAGAGTTTCCATGCGGTCACCAGCAGGCGACTGACTTGAAATCTTGCTAGTGTTCGTCCTGCCAGCCTGTTCCAGGCTTCCAGAGGGTAAAATGGAGTGAAGTAGCAGACGGCGTGATAGCAGCGGAGGAGTGAAAAAACCAATGGAGGTTTGGGTCGGGTCGAGTAAAGTACGCGTTCATCACGCAACCCAACCCAACCCTCCCTCGTCTTTTCACTCCTCCACGACTGTTGCGCCGTTTACTATCACACTTCGTTATGCTGAACGCCTGGAACAGGCTATCTTCCTGCAAATCAACGCTCGACAAACAATGCGTCCGCTATTTTTTTGTTGCGCTCTTTTACACTTAGCTGGTCAAGAAATACAATCGAACCTCCCTTTGCGACCACCCCTCGAAAGCGATCCCTCTTGTTTGCGACCTCTTTTTCAAACTACCAAAAGTTTCCGAGTCAAATTCCTATAAAAGGATCCTCTCGTAAGCGACCACCTCATATAAGCGACCACTTTTAGAGATACTCGTTTACAACGTTCAATTTTTTTAAACTCCCATAGGCGACCACTTGACCGGCAATCGGCTTTATCTCTCACGAGCGGTAACTGAAAATTATTTCAACAGACATCATGTAAGTGGTGCTACCGGGTGTGTTTCGTGAAATTGTATTTTGCTCTTAACCGAAAATTTTTGCAAATTGAATATTTTTGGCGACTGAATTTTTCCATCTGGCAACAGCCTGTTCCACGCGTTTGGTCAGTGAAACTAATGAAACAAGGTTGTTTAATCGCCACTTGGCGCCAGTGTAGAAAGTTAATTCGGACCCTGCCCTCTTGGCGCACATGCAGACTTTATCATTAGCTCACTATAGTTGTGGTGCATTACAGCGATGCCTCCCATGAGTCCCGGAGTGCTTCCTGTGTCTGTACCATATAACCCTTCCAACCCCATGACGGGGAGTGCTCCTTCACTGTACATACCGTCCGGAGTACAGACCAAACCTGCACCAAGCGGAAATAGCCCGAGTCCTACCACGTCCACACCCACCAACTTAGTACCACAGGTAACCATCTCGCGGTCGGACACTCAGAGTTCCGCTTCATCGGCCAGCGGATCGCCTTCTGGTTCATTTCCTCCCGAGCATGCAACTGCTTTGGGTGCGAGTAGTCAAGGTATTGACGGCGAAGGGGAAAGCAACGAACAGGAACAAGGAACAGAAACCAGCGAAGAAACTAGGGTGCATTCGTATGTGGATTTCACTGATTTTAATCGCCAGGTGGATGAACTTGGAGCGGATTATGTTTATGCGTGGGACAAACCCAAACCAGCGGCACCAACGACGCCGGTGTAGATCTTTTTATTTTTTGTAACTGAACCACTTTAAATTTGATTGTAGAAAATTCTCTTTAAAATTTTTCCCAGGGACGATGGAGCCTATTTTTAACTTGAAAGAGGGGGGGGGGAGGGGGGGGGCTTGAGTACGAGCGCCTGGGGGCGCGAGTTTGTAGGCATGGGTTTGAACCATCCTACCCCAGAAAATTTTGAAATTTATTCTTCCTACGTACCTCATACTTAAAATACAAATGTCGTCCTTGCCAAAAGTGAGGGAAGCGAAAGTCCCTCCCCCTCCCCACCCCCTGCCTCGCTGTTGACCTGAGAACCCGCGCTTGAAAGTGCTGGATGGTTCTTCCAGAGAGAGTATCCCGTGCATAAACTAAACTTCTCATGCACGTCATGTCCATTCGAACATTTTCTCTTGGATACTGGACGGGAAGAAGAAGAGGCTTTTTTAGGAACTTTAAATGTGGTAATTGGACAAGTTATGATTACAGACCTCGAGAATCTACTTGGATTTCGAGGGAACATTACCCAGTAGTAATGTAGCACGAATATGAATATATTTTGTGTGACTTTTATTGTTGTACCTGTAAATGATCAATTCTACTCTGTAGTCGTATTAAATTTCATTTCATTTTCAAGTCAGTCTCACCGATAGTTTTTTTTTTGTGTGTAAAAGGAGCATCATCATAGTTTGCTTTTTTTCAAAACTTAAATTTTATCAACTGAGTTGATAATGTAAATTGGCCACCGTGAAGAGTTTCTAAAACTGATGTTTCGAGCGGTAGCCCCTCGTCAGAGTGAATGACAATATAGCTTAACACTTTAAACCCTTCGAGTGACTACCATATGATTTCTTCCTACAGTGTTATTGCTAAGTCACACTTCAATGTCACGAGAATAGAGGAAATTAGCCTACAGAGGAGACGTGTTTTGTTTTTTTTTTAACGTTTTTTAGTCAAACGGAAGTAAGCGCTAGGCAAGCGCAAAGTACGAGTCACTTGCGATGGGAGGAGCTGCTATCTTCGTAACTCGCGCTTTGCGCTCTCGTAGCGCTTGCCTCCGTTTGACTTGAAAACGCAAAAAATTACGCCGATTCTGCAGGCTAAAAGGAAATGATCGCGAACTAGCACAGTTATTCTCACGGGAAATATTTTAATCCGGTCAACTTTTTTCACCGCTTATGGCTAAATTATGCCAATTTTTTTCCAAACAACGTAAGTTTTTGGTCGTTTCACGGCTAACGGTTAACCCAATTGAGACCCTTCTCAGAGTGTTCCTATTAAAGATGTACCACCCACTCTTTGCCTCCTCTTTGTTTTCTCTTCTTTTCGTTCTTCTTTAGACGAATTTCGTTTGTGGAAGAGTGTTGTAGTGCGATTTTTCATTGACTGAACTTTCACACCGGGTGATAATGATCGGCCTGAGCCAAGATCATGAGTCACTTGGACTTCGAGAAGTCCCTCCTTTTCAGCAAAATCCTTCGCGCGAGTTAAAAAAATCAGTGAAAAAAAAATTGATATTTGCGCGCCGCGGGACGGACTTCGCCGAAAAGGAGGGACTGCTCGTAGTCTATAGGATACTCAATGTGGGAGAGAAGCAAAAGCAACGCTTCAAAGGTGCCGAAGTCGTATGATAGTGAGCAGCTCGGTATTCGGTTCAGAGAGAGGTGATACTGGCCTAAGTGCTGGGGGGCCCAGAAATGGTAAACAGAAATTATTCTCGTTCAAATAACTCTAACGTGAGGCAGGAAAGAGATTTCTCGCTCTCCCATTTCGGCCAGTGTAAACTTTCTTTTCTTATATCGAATTATAACTTTTAGCTATAGCCTTTGTCTTTAAAAGACTAGAGAACAATATTGCCAGGATGTTGCCATTGACGAAAACTGTGATATATTGACCTGTAACAAGTTACGTTTTGTTTCATTGTGAAACTCAAATTTAAGGTAAAACGTGATCTCATGGCTTACCCATGAACGATTGCGTTTAGTAGCGGAAGTGAATTCTCACAAGTGGGATATGCATGACTGGAACAAGATTTGAAGCCTATAGGAGAAAATTAAATCGCCAATTCATCTTTTTCGGTGACTATTTCAGTTCCTGGTTGTTTTCATAAAATTTTCCTCTTTCAAGACCAGAAAAATATTGTACACTAGAAATTGTAGACCAGCAATAAGTAGAGGTGTCTGATTCCTCTCCAGACCTCTCCGACCTCCCATCCCCCATATTTTGTAGATTTTTTCCATATTTGTTTTTTCCAAAAAAGTCTGTAAAACTAGACGGTGATGCATGATGATCATCAGTTTTGTTTGTTTTCTCGTAAAATACTGTCAAAAAGATCTACTCTTACGTTAAAATGTAACTGTTGTTATCCAAAGAGACATTCTCTTCTTTTTGGAAGACGTGCCTAATTTTTTTCCGGATCGAATGTTGGACCTACACATTACCATTTTGACAGTGAGTAAGCACGACCCTGGCCCTCTTAATCTTCCGCTTGTGAACACGTACATCGCAGACTGAAGGATTCGTAATTTTGTCCGACGTGTCTGGAAACTTTCCAGACACTTACCAGTTTCATCGAAACGGGTGTATTTCGAATTTCTCTGCGCTTTCTGTTTAACAGCTTTCAGTATTTGTCAATACATCAATCAAAATTTCCTTTAATTTATTTTCGTCGACAGTCTTTCATAAATCCAAATTTTGGTCTAAGAAATTCTTGCCTTATTGGATTTCGAAGGATTATCCGTTCACTTTGGCACGCGATGAAGCATAAAACAGTTTCCGACCGGATATGAACATTGAGTAAAAGTATTCTCTCCTTACAACGTCACATAATTGTAGAAATAGTTTTACTTAGTGAATTATTTTACCCTTTGTCTTGGTGATCGAGTCGTTTTCAGAGAATCGATATTATAAAGATAATTGGAGTAATTTAGACCAAAGGCCGGAAAACCCTACCCAGTTTGTTTTTTTTAATGACATGACCTAAGCAGTTCTTCCGACATCTCCATGGCCATAAATGGTCATCGGCCAAGAACACATAACTTCAGGTCTGGTGACTTGAAATTCGGTAAAACAACTGTTACTTTTCCTTCTGAGGTCCTTGGTCGACTGAATTGCCTCATGAATATTAACAAAAATATTTTTCGTGATTGAAATACCTCGAATTAAAACGGAAGGATACGAACACGAAAATTGTTCGAATTCCGATCGCGATAAATCGTGGTTCTGCGATTTTTCATTCGATATTTCTTGTAATTTTTGTACAAGAGATACTTCATTACAGCTTGCTTTCCTTTCCCTACTCGATAATCCGTACAGATGGTTTATCTCTTTTTGAAGATGCAAATCGAGAACTATTCTCTCTGAGTTTCGTAGGTGTGTCTGTACGTGGTTCTCGGATGAGTAGAGAAGTTAGTGGAGCATAACATTGAAAGTAACGCAATGAAGTTTAACGTGAGGAAAAAGTCTTGAAACTCGCCTAAAACAGGCCGAAAACCCCGATATTATTCTTACTTCTAGTTTAAAAACTGTTGGATGATTACTCATTGAGGCAATAAAAAATATGAAATGTTTAAGGAGGTTAAATTATTTCGGATTAAATTTGTTCTGTACGACGAAAATTTGAAATGTTGTACGTTCGCTTCGACCAATCAGGAAAAAGTGTTGACGTCATGTCACGGGGGTGAGGCCGACTCATCTCGTCGGAGTAAGTTCCTTAAGGACTCGTTCAGAAATTATCGCAATTGGTGGGTTTTTCTTTATTTTGCCTTTGTTGGAGACCGGTTTGGAAAGCACGGCTTCTTTGGTATCGAAAAATAAGTTTAAAGTGTTGTTTGCTGAGCTCGGCTCGGATTTAAACGCTCATCAAAAACATGGAGAATGAAATGAAATATTTGGCCGTCGATCGGGCAGCCATTGCTGATCCAGCGGCCCAAGCCAAATGGTCAGCGAAGAAGCTGGTGTGGATTCCTGACGACGAACATGGATTTGTGGCTGCAAGCGTAAAAGATGATAAGAAAGACTCAGTGGTTGTCGAATTAGAAGGAGGAAAACGAAAGACTGTGAACAAGGATGACATTCAAAGAATGAACCCACCCAAATTTGAGAAGGTGGAAGACATGGCTGACTTGACCTGTTTGAACGAAGCTAGCGTGTTGCACAATCTGAAAGACAGATACTTCTCTGGACTTATCTATGTAAGCGATTTATTATTTTTGGCTCTATTGGTTGGCTTTGTAGTAGTAAAACTTTGTTAGAACATGGCGATTTGAGTCATTGGTCTCACCGGAAGTTTAGTGTGCAAGTATCTGCTTCACACGACCGCTTCATTCAGTCGTTGCAGTTGTAAGCGCTAACTATTGATTGATTCTTTTTCACAGACGTACTCAGGTCTTTTCTGTGTCGTTGTGAACCCTTACAAACGCTTACCTATTTACACGGACAAAGTAGTGGACATGTATCGTGGAAGGAAGCGACACGAAGTACCTCCTCATATCTACGCCATAACAGACAACGCATATCGAAGTATGCTTCAAGGTAAAGTAAATCAGGGTTTTGAACAAACTTTCTATTTTATGCAATCAATACTGCTGCGTAAACGCTACTAGGCAGCGTTTTTGCATGCCCGATGATTTATTCAACGCAAACAGCCCTTGAGATTAAAATATTGGACAACCATCCCAGTGTACCAATTATCATTTTTCTTCGCTCACCGCCTGGGAGATGTTTGTTATATTTATTTTCCGTTTTCGTTGCCCAGCAAAATAAATTTTTCCTTTTCCCTCTGGCTGAAGTTTTTAAAATCAGCTTAATTTGCTGTCAAGTTTCAGACCTTGCTGTCTGTCTCAAAATTCAAGGTATATTTACGTGCCTCTCGCCGAAGTTATTAAAACAGTGTCATTCAGGAATGAAAATGTTAATGATTCGTTTTGAAAACATCCCTTTGTTCAATGTGTGTTGATTCTTAATAGAAAGGTTATACGTCGACGTTCAAGGTCTTTTATTCACCGATCGACTTAATTTCTCTGCCTCTCTTGATGATATTCTCAGTGGGCATTTCTTTACCTCAGAGCACGTCTATTCTGCATCCCTTGTTAATAAATATGTGTTTACTCTGTTAGCTGCTGGGTTTACTTGTTCTATTTACCATGTGAAGGGGTTTTCGATTCAATTTGTTTTCCTTGTAGGCGTTCGTAATGCACATGACCCGTTTCATGATGCTTGTAGATTTCCTCTCGCTCGCGAAAGCTCACGCCTCATGGAAAGCAAAACACGGCTTTCGAGGGAGTTTTGAGTTTACCTAAGCAGCCTTCAAGAATGAATATCTCCACTGAAGTAACCCTTTCTGTTAATTATTTGAACTACAGACCAAATGAAATAGTTTTTGTTAAGGAGGGAGGGGGGGAAATAAACCCACTAGTGGATGGGCTTTTGATTCTCACCAATCATTACTGAAAGTCAGCATTGTTATTGGGGACCAAGCTACTTCGGACATAAAAACCCTTGCAAACATGTGGATGACTTTTGTTCTTAAATTTGTTTTCAAGAAGTCAGAAACTAAGGTTGATATTAAAGTTTTTATGCAACTTGTGTACTAGTCGCAGATATTAGCACTAACTAAAGGATATTGTCCTAAACAAAGTTTTCTTTTCAAATCATGCTGTTGAAAATTCTTTGTAGGGGTGCCTGGAATTTAAGTTTGATTCTGTTATACAATTTGTAAACACACAGGGCTTTTGTTTATGCCTTGTCTTTTGAATTTTTTTTCCTGTACATGTTCCAAGTTGTTCATCATCATAGTTTAAACATTCAATGTAAATTTGTTGTGATGAACAAGGCCTGGTTATTGCCCTGGTTATCAAAATTGAGTCTAACTGATCATGATTAAGATAATAAACTAGGTAACGCCCCAAAGAGAGAAAAGCTTTTTCATTCTCTATTGTGTGTGGTACTTTTATGATTTTAGCTCTACTTTTGGCATCCATTCTTAATATATTCAATTTGCCATGTAACAATGGCACTGGAATGAGGTTTGCAAGTTTTAAGGAATGTTATCAGCATTTGGTTTATTCAGTACAATGACAGAAGTTTAAAAACCTGGTGAGGAGATGTAATTGTAATCCAGTAAAATTTATTAACACAAGTTTTGACAGTTTCAAGAATTGCTATATTTTTGTGTGTGTTTACTTTACAAATGGTATCACTGTGACGTTTATAAATGTTATTTTATTTATGATAAGTCGTGTGTTCATTTTTCATGAATCAAGTCAAAATTTTAAACCATCTAATCTGTGTTTGTCTCCATTTGACACATCTTTCTAATGCCACTGTGCTTTTGTAATCCATGTAACCTTATTCCAAAAGTGTAGTTTTACCTATAATGTTACATTTCGAACCACAATCATTGAAAATGTAGCATAGTTAATATTTGCATGAGATAATTTGAACTTTCATTAAACGACATACAATTTCCCTTGGGTTAAAAGAGACCGTTTTTGTTTAGATAAACATTGGTATTGCTAGTAATTAAGATAGACCTGTAAGGGGTATTCTTCTTCTAAATTGTATTATTTTTGCTTAGAGTTATCTTGTAAGATTGTAGAATCTTTGAATTGAAAGTGCTGTGACCACTACATCATGTGTTTGATGGCATTACATGTAGTGAACTTTCCCAATGGTGTCAAATGAACATGGATATCCATAGAATTTTGTAATCAGACACACAAATGATCACACTGAGCCTCGCGAAAGCAGAACAATTTTTTTCTCTTGAGAGAGTCATTACAGTTAAATCAGAAAGTTTGGCCTTGTCTGTTATCATTTATATGGGTGTACCACACTTATCTCCTTTATGAAATTTTGTTAACAGATAAACATTCTTGGAGATTTCATTTTCCTCCTGGTTCTTTGTAAACATATTATGTCAATGTGTCCAAAATAAACAAATTAAATTATCTGAACTAAATATACTTCAAAGGAACTGAAGGAAAATTTTCAAATTTAATATCAGTTTAAGAACATCTCAACCTACATGTATTTTTAGCATCAAGTTTCTTTTATCCTTATTCCTTCCATATGTTATTGTTCTGCTATAAATAACTTCTCAGTTGGAACTATTTATTATGGGAAAAGTTCCAAGTTTGAGTAATCAAAATTGTATTAATTTTTTTTAATTATAACTTGCAAATATAGAATTCAGTAGAAAGAAAGCCTATCTGGTTTCTTGAATTTAAAGTTGAATTCCTAAAATGTTAACTTTTCTGAACCTTGTTTTAATTGAAAACATAATTTAAGTATCTTTTGTTATTTCTGCTGGACAACCTTGTTTTGACTCTTGGAAACTACATAACTTTTCCTTATTTGTTCTATGAAAATTGTTAAGCTGGTCTCTGCTTGGACATGTTCTTGGTCTTTCAATTTACTCAGCTATTTGTTCAAAATGAAATTGAAATACAGTGTTTGTCATTAATTCAGACTGATGAATACCAGTAGAGACATGTGTGTTGTTAATCACAAAAACATACCAATCTGTTTTTAATTAAGTCCAATTTTCATCATCTGAAATCCTTTGCAGCTTTTTTGTAGAATGCTTTGGTTATTTAGTGAGACTATGTGGAGATTTTTTATTAGCTTAGACAAGAAATTTCAAAGCAGAGCTGAATTTTTTTGTCAATGGTAGTTTATGCCTTTAAAGTGTGTATGTCCTAGAACAAGAAAACCAGAGTTAGAAGTAGAATGGCATTTTTGTTGTTGTTGACCATTTCTGTGTTATTAAGAATTGAACCCCTATGAAACATTTTGAACGTTGTGCCATAATGCATCTGAATTTAACTCTTACAAAAAAAAATAAAGTTTTTTACTGAAATGTTCATAAATTTAGGTCTATTGTATTTCTAATGTCAATTCCTCGTGATCTTTCATATCAGTCCAGGGTTTCAAAACAAGCCAGTGATAGCTGGAGTTCTACTGGCTACTTGACAACATGTTGCCAGTTGCTCTGGTCAAAGTAGTTACCTTTTGGCCCTAAATTAACTCTTCACAGTTATCTACCTTTGCAGAGTCTGATGCCTTCTTCAAAACATTTTGAAACCCTATTTATATTGGCTGGTATTTCCTTTACAATCATGTAAAAAGTGCTCATGCTTGATGTAATCAATGTTGTTAAGAAGCCGTTTTATGCAGAAAATTCACAGCTGTTATTTCTTCGGTTGTTTCAAACATTCAAAACAAGTGAAATAAGCTCAATGTGGCTCAAGGCATCTGTTAAATATCCTCTGTTAAATCACAAGAAGAAAACTTGATTAAAGTTAATAATGAAGATATCACTTGATGTAATATATGCACATGCCATTTTTTAAAATCAGTTGTGAAATTGAACTATCAAAACAGTATTTCACAAATGTGCTCAATGTCACATGCAAAACATAGGGCAATTGTGACTTTTGTGTAATTTTATACTTGTCTGCTGCAAACATCAATTTTTATTTTGTCACATCCTCTTATTGTCAAGACGAGCCAAATTTGTATCAACAACTGTGAATTTTTTTACGCAAGATATACGTGACAGATTCATGTTATTTCGATATTGTTGAGAGTAACTGCTTGTTGGTCACCTTTCTGAGGAGACGCTTTACTGACATATAAAAATATAGGAATGTACTTTACTTTAAATAATAAAGTAACCTTTTATAGATACAGTGTTTAGTAGCCTAGACATGAAAAAGTAGGCCATTTAGAAAATTGATAATCAACAACATGTCTGATGAAAATATTTGTTGAATATCAAGTGTTTTCTCATGACTGAGCATCGTTCCATCCATTGGTAATCATTATTTCTTAATTTTATGATCATAGCTGGCTATAACACTATATTCTTCACTTTTTTCCAGACCGTGAAAACCAGTCAATTCTCTGCACGTAAGTAAAACATTATTTTGTGCTTTTTGCATGTTTTAAGTGATTCCTTTAAAGAGAGCTCATCTAGTCAATCAAGAAGAAGGAAGGTTGTTATTAACACCTGAAAAACAGATTGCCCGTTTGATTTAATCAATAAGCACTTTACAACTACATGTAGCTTGTCTATATTGTGGATTGGATTTATAGATTTTCATACATATGTAATCCTGGCCCAAACTCCTCTCTGTGATTGGTACCAAGGTAGCTGCTTGTGTAATTACATTTCAATAGTTAATTTCACATTTTGATTCCTTTTCCATTTTTCTTCAGGGGAGAGTCAGGTGCTGGGAAAACAGAGAATACCAAGAAAGTAATTCAGTACTTGGCAACAGTGGCTGGTCACTCACACAGCAAAACAGCACAGACTCCGAAGAAATCTGGTTCAACTAGTTCAGCTGTCAGCACAAAGATTGGATTATCTGGAAGCCAGGTAATTATCCTCTAAATGCACATGTTGTGTAAAACCTAATCTTGTTCCAAGGGGGAATAAGGAAAAAAACTGTGGAAGGTGAAAGGAATGCATTTGGTAAACTTTCAAATTGAGAAGATAATGGTTATACTACATGCCTATTTTTACGCAGAATTGCTTGTAGTTTAATGGAGCATTAGATTTTTACATTCCATGTTATAAAATCTGAATTGAATCTTTAATTTTATCGGCTCAATGAGGACTTGCTTTTAAACTAGTCCAACTTTGATGGAGCTTGTTGAATAAAGAAGATTTGTTTTTATTCTTGTAGGTGGAGTTGGAGAGGCAACTTCTTGCTGCTAACCCCATCCTTGAAGCTTTTGGAAATGCTAAGACAGTGAAGAATGACAACTCATCACGTTTTGTAAGTCTTCCTTACAGAGCACAACTAGTTGAAGGGAGAACTTGAACCATTCAATATGACTATGTCATATTATACTGTTAATTGTTTTAGTGTAACTATAGGTACAGGGTTTGTAGTGTTTTGGCAGCTAATTTGTTACTTGAGTACATTTTTTGCAACCTGTTGGATGGGGGCAATGCTTAATTTTGTACTGTTTGACTTTGTCCTTGTAGGGAAAGTTCATTAGAATCAACTTCGATGCATCAGGATTCATTGCTGGTGCCAATATTGAATCTTGTATCCTTGAAAAATCATCTGTATTTGTGAATGGCGTTTAAAATAAACGAAGATGTGATAAAACTTTCTCTAATGAGAAATTTGTCACAAGCATAGCACTAAGAAAAATATGAGTTCCTGGGAAGGCATAATGGTTACCTCAGATCTTCTAGTTTTGCAGTGATTTTAATGCTCTATAACTAAGCTGCAGAGATCTTTTTGGTGCAATAGGCTATTACAAGGTTCACATGTTATTTATCCTTCACTCATGATAAGACCTTCTTGAGAAATCACGTGCTGTGCGACAAACACCAAACGAGAGAAGTTTTCACATTTTCTACCAAGTCCTCAATGGTTTGGACAAAAAGGCCAGAGGTAAGAAGCTTGTGGTTAACAAATAATAGAACTGAGAGCAAACTAATAGGGCATGATTTGTGACCTGCAATCAGGTATGCAATTAATTTTTTTTTTCATGTTTCCTTCCTTTTCTGATGCCACCTTTCAGTGACATTATAAAGACCCCAAAACAGTATTTTTGCTTCCATAGCTATTCACTAAAGAGAAATATCACAATATAAAAAAAAGAAAAGATATCCAGGAGCTTACCCAAAATAATAAATACATATTTGGATAAGCTGCAGCAATTTATTGAAATAAGACAAAATGGATGGTCTGTAGGAATGGAATGAGATACTTACAAGGTTTGTTCGACCTAGACTGCTATAGCACCATTAATTTTACAGAAATATTAAGGAGGGTATGCAGTTTGTATTAGATATATCCACCTTGTTTTATTGCAGCGGACATGCTGTTTCAGGATGCAGGCTCATATAATTATTTGAGCAATGGTAATTTACCAGTAAATGGTTGGGATGATGCAGCAGACCTCCAGGATTCTTTGGTAAGTGATGTACTACTAATGTAGCCTTTTAGAACTAGTTGCTTCTCCCAATGACTTGCCAAAGCTATTTGCACTGACTTTTGCAAGGATGCCTTTTGCTAATACTGCTGGAATCAATTATTTTTTACTTCTTTTTCAGACTTGCATGAGGGACATGGGAATTCCAGAGGATGACATAAATGGTGAACTATTTATTTTGTATAAACTTTTATGTTTGAATTTGTTGATATACATACAACCATAGTAAAGAACAGAACCATTACTTATAAAACAACGCTCCTTCCCTGATTTGTTACATGCTTCCTCTTCCTACATGCCCGCGCATTCACATTACTCCCTCCCTTGTGCTATTATCTTTTAATGTTCACTATTTGAGATCTTGGTATTTGTGTTCTGTCCTCCTTAGCCCTTTTCCGTGTAGTGTCTGCTGTTCTTCAGTTTGGCAACATGGCTTTCAAGGAGGAGAGAAGTTCAGAACAAGCTATAATGCCAAGCAATGAAGGTTAGATTTTTTCAGGATATTTAAGAGGAGGAATTTATCTTTCCACACAATACTGTAGTTTCAGTTCACTGCAAAAACCTAGCAATGTTAGCACTTACACTGCTTTTCCCTCCTGTCTATAGTAAAGAAATGTTTTATTTCCTTCTACCTCAAAGCCCATTCATAATTCCCCAGTCATCCATTCAACTAGTAGAGCAAAGAATTGCATTAAAAATCAACCATTAAAGTTGCTTATGTAAGTCTAAGCTTTCTTGGGTAGTGATTGATGTACATTTTTTGTATACTCCCTCTTGCTTGCAGTTGCTCAGAAAGTTTGCCATTTACTTGGTATTCCTGTTACGGAATTTTCCAAGGCTGTACTGAGACCAAGAGTAAAAGTTGGCCGTGACTATGTACAGAAGGCTCAAACAAAAGCCCAAGTGAGTAATTCTGTTGGCAAACTTTGATTAACTGGAAGAGAGCTGACACTTCTCTGTTTTACCATATTTCCATCAAGAGTAAGTTAATTGACAACTAATTCAGTGGGATTCAACAAATTGCATGCCAGGAGTAAAATCTCTGACCAATTTTTTGTTATATTCTTGGCAAAAAAACAATTTTTTTTTTTTAGTTTCTCTATAGTATATACTGAAAAAAATTATTCACCTTCACTTTGGTGAATAACAGTTAAATGTTAAGTACCCTTGAATTCTTTTTTGTTGTTTTTGTTGTTCTAATAAGGTATAAACTGACAGGCGTTGTTATGAACGTGTAATATTTTAATCACATTTTAGGCTATGCATTAGTTTTGAGCATTTTTTTTTTTAATCTGAGTTTTTTTCCTTTACAGGCAGAGTTTGCTATTGAGGCTGTTTCTAAGACTCTCTATGAAAGAATGTTCAAGTGGATTGTGTTCAGGATAAACAAATCCCTGGACAGAACCAAGCGAGAAGGAGCTTCATTTATTGGCATCCTGGATATTGCAGGATTTGAAATCTTCCAAGTAAGCTGTGCATCAGGAAATGACAAACAAATATTAGAATTAAATGAAACATGAATTGAGTTAGTATCAACTGGTGATAGAATTGCAGAATTTTACACTACGTTTGGTGGGTGAACCCTTTACATTTGAACATCAGTACATGTATGCAAGTTCTCCATATCATTCTTAATATATTTCTTATGGTACTTAAAAAGAGAATTTGTCTATCAATCAAGAGTATGTTTGTGCAGTATTCTCTTACTCGTTTCCTAACAGTTTTATGTGTATTTTTCTTTTAGATGAACTCTTTTGAACAGCTCTGCATCAACTATACCAATGAAAAACTGCAACAGCTTTTCAATCACACAATGTTCATTTTGGAGCAGGTACTGTCTCTAATTTTCTGAGAGTTTCCTTAGATGTTCCTAGTTCTGCTGTATTTGACTTTCTTCAGCTTTTAGATAAAAGATGTCAGAATTTTTACACCATTCAAGACATTTTAAACATGAGTTTTATGCATTTAACTTGCTTTGAAGTGGTGGGTTTGGTAGCGACAATGAATTGGGTCCAAGAGTCTTGATTTTGAACCAGATATGTGTAGGCAAAGTGTTGTTTGCAAAGGTCTTCCACAAAGTTCTTTTGTGTGATGTTTCATGACCAGAAAGGGATTTTTGTCATTATTACACCCATTTTGAAATCACTGGTGGTCCCTGTAATCTGATTGGCTGTAATTGATGTGATTTATCCACACTATTTTTTTATTTAAATCGCATCTTTTTCCCAGGCAATGAGGAGGCTACACTAAAAACGAAACGACCAATCAGATTTCAAGGCTTGTTCAAAGTAACCAATCAAATTGCTGAAAAATGAAAGACAAAGAGTATCATGTGGCAAATTTTGCAACTTTTGTTTCCAAAACTCTTACCTTTTTCCCCCCAAGAGATGGATGAATTTTCAGACTGGTTCAGTACTGCATCAATAAAATGTTTGAACTGACCAAGTCCTGTATTTGGGTGATTTCAAAATGGATGTAATAAAGTGGTAATTGAACCTCGTGTTGTGTAATTTTGGTCTGAAATCATACTTGTGATTTCAAATCGAACTTGCGCTGCGTGCTCATTTGATTTTGAAATCACGCGTATGATTTTAGCCCAAATTGCACTCCACTCAGTTCAATCACCATTATTTACTACAACTGGACCCTACAATACTTAACACTCTCGTGCCTCTATACTCTGATGTGATTTTGGGTTTGATTTAATTTTCAATGACAGGAAGAGTACAGGAAGGAAGGAATTGAATGGAAATTCATTGACTTTGGACTGGATCTGCAACCCTGCATTGATTTACTGGAGAAGGTTAGTCTGACTTGGAAACAGCCAGCTTAATTTGTGCAAGTTTGGCATGTGTATTGTGTGGTGTCTTTAGTTTATAACCTGCTTTGTTTGTTTCCACTGCAACCGATGTTGTTGTTCTTAAACATCACGTGTGGCCCAAATTTAAGCCTGTCTAACAATACATTGAACATGGTATAACAGTGGCAACTAAAGAAGAAGAAATTTGGTTTTATCAACTGGGTTGATAATGTAAATTGCCCAAAGAGTTTCTAAAGCTGAAATTTCAAAAGTTAGCTTTTTGTCAAAGCTTTAGAAACTCTACGGTGGCCGATTTACTTTATCAAATCGCCCCCTTCATTTAAAGAAGAAGTTACATGTATGTATATTAAAAATTGTTTTTTGAAACTGATCCTACTGTTGGGTCAAAACGTTTTGCTTGTTTTTGGTGGCAGGCTTTATTTTAAACAGCAATACGGTGCTATGAGCTGTATGTGTTAAGAAAAAAAAAGAAGATTCTTTAAAGAGCTTCTCCTTGAATGTTTAGAGATCCATAATTACGTGTTTGTTCTTTACTGCTAAGGTTACCTCATTAAATTGTGATGTTTTATTCACAGCCAATGGGATTGATGGCTCTGTTAGATGAAGAATGCTGGTTTCCAAAAGCCACAGACAAGTCATTTGTAGAAAAAGTTATCAAGGAGCACAGTAAACATCAGAAGTTCAAGATCCCAGAGTTCCGCTCTGAAGCTCATTTCACGGTCATCCACTATGCTGGCAAGGTAAGTTGTGTCTTTGATGTTGAAGTTTAGTAGGAATGGTCCTGCAGAGTTAAACATTGCTCTCCTGTCCGTAGTTTAAATCTAAAAAATGACAATTTTTTATTTTGTTGATAGGTGAAAGGTCCTTTGTAGCAAAATAACATTAAATCTTTATTTAACTCGCACAAATACAACTCCGTTTTGTTTTCATCGATCGAGGAAGAGAGGAGCCTGTGAACGAGGTTGCAAAGGTTGATGTTTTCTTGTTAGTGATGGGACGCAAGACGAGTAACCGTCACGTGACCACGCGTCACGTAACCGCGGGGCGTGTAAACTGGAGTTGTGCAAGTCAGAATATCCAATAGATTACCAATGTCATTATTTTGGCTGTTTTCTTATACAGGTTGACTACAACAGCAATCAGTGGCTGATGAAAAACATGGACCCCCTCAACGACAACATCATTTCTCTGCTGCAGAATTCCTCAGACAATTTTGTTAGTCTTCTTTGGAAAGATTCAGGTATGGTGACCCTGAGTCTGAATGGCTCAGAAAATCACTCGCCCACCCCGGGTTTATTCGGGCACCTCCCGATAGGGGAGCAGTAGAATTTTCCAAAGGGGCGGGGAGGGAGCCTTTGACAAGCATATCACTGGCATTTGGGGAAGGTTGGGGGGTTCATTTGCACTCTTCGAGACTGCACCTTCTATAGCTGAGCTCTGGGCAAGGAATAAACTATATATTTCTCTGTTAATAACGTTATGATTTTTACATGCTATCAACATAGTTCTTCAGCGAGTGATCGACTCGCGACGAAGGAGTTTGACTGAAAAAGATTGCTCCAGTGCGTGTCTGTTCTATTCTTCAAGTTCTTTGTAGTGAACAAAATTTCTTTGCGATTTGCTTTTTTAACAGAGAACATTGTCAGTATGAATGCAACTCAGAGCGAAACTCCGTTTGGTAGTAAAGTGCGTAAGGGAATGTTCAGAACTGTCAGCCAGCTGTACAAGGTTTGTCGGGAATACTTGTACCTCCGGAACTAAGTGAAATGAGAACGCACTGTTTAACCAGTCATTGGTTTTCCCTTGTTTATTTTTTCTGAGTTAAATTTGAATTATCTGTAACCCTTTGAACCCTAAACGTGACAAGAATCTATTTTCTCCTCACAATATCACCCCTGAATCAAACATTAAGGTAGCCAGAAGAAAGGAAATGATCAGCAACTGAAGAAGCAATCGATTGTTAACCAAATTCTCCTTGCCGGCACCTTCGGAAATGTGTAGAGGACAGTATGAAGACTATGCATACTGATGTTAGGGTGTAAAGGATTAATGATCTTTCGTCTTTAGTTAATATCTCTATTCTGCATTTCAGTAGATGGTTTTCATATATATCGTTTAACGTTTTAATCAGTGGTGTTTCACGGTGAAAGAGCCAATCTTTTGTAGTTTTACACTTCTCCCCATTTTGAAAAGAAGGATTGTTAAACCTCGGAAAAGGCCGATTCACTAGTTGCATTTTTTTCGTATTGACGAGATGTTCTTTGCATTTATTTTAAAACTGATGTTTGTATCTTCAGGAACAACTAGCCAAACTGATGGTGGTTCTTCACAACACCAATCCTAACTTTGTGAGGTGTATTATTCCAAATCACGAGAAGAGAGTGAGTACCCATTTAATGTTTAGGCTAGTAACGTTAAATTGCGTTGCTTTTTAAGTTGCAATCTTTAAAACACTGAAGGCAATTACCATATTAAGATTAAAATTGTTAATGGACAAGAAAAATGCTCTTTCTGCCCCTAGGCTGGTAAGATTCACGCGCAGCTTGTACTGGACCAACTAAGGTGTAATGGTGTCCTGGAAGGAATTAGGATCTGCCGACAAGGTTTCCCGAACAGGATGCTTTTCCAGGAATTTAAACAGAGGTATGCAAGGCCTTTATTTAATTTTGCATCATGAAAACTGATAGTTACGCGTTGCCGTGATGCCACTAATTGTGTCCTCAATTACGGCAACTGCACTATTGATATTTGTTCTCTTATCTTTTCCTGTTCATGTGAGGAGCTTTATCCCTCATCTGCCGCACCAAAAACAGTTAGATTATACTTTGACACCCTGAAGATAACGCCTTGACTGATAATGCCTTCCCCTTTGAAAATAACGAAATCATTGGATCAGTGTCGGTATTTCAGCGACCAAAACCAAACCATATACCTTTACTCTTTATCAGGTGACTGTTATTTGGTTCGGGGAGGGGTGGGTGTGCAGTTACACAGATACTGACCTTGATCTATATCAATGATAGGTGAGGAGTACGGCACATGACTGAGAATCCTACGAATGCCGTACCTAATTATAATCTTTTGTACCAAATTGCTTTTTTGAGACTCACTTCCGTTGCCTTGCAATGGGGTGGGGCTCCATACATTAGAGGTCCGGCGTTTGAACTGGGCTTACTTCAGGTGGGAAAGTCATTACATAAACTTCTCATTACTCCTCAGATATGAGTTGCTGACACCAGGAGTCATTCCTAAGGGTTTTATGGATGGAAGAAAAGCCTGTCAGAAAATGGTATGTCGATTTGCCGGTTTCACTCTCTTCATCAAGTTACCTTACTTCTCGGTGCAATTTTCAATTGACAGTTAAAAAGATTTTGGTAGGCATTTATCTACCTAACTTTTCGCTGTCTTTGGTCGAGAAGATCCGCGTCATCTATTCAGCCAATCAATTTCGAAACTAAAACCAATCGCGACTTGTCACGCCATTTCCCCTGCGCTTGAGTGAATCGTTACTTCCTTTTTTCCTGCACTTGTGGCGACGCGTCACTTCATTTTTCTCGCCCTTAAGGCGACTTGTCACTTCATTTTTCCCGCGCTTAAAGTGACTCGTCACTCCATTTTTCCCGCGCTTAAAGTGGCTTGTCACTCCATTTTTCCCGCGCTTAAAGTGACTCGTCACTCCATTTTTCCCGCGCTTAAAGTGGCTTGTCACTCCATTTTTCCCGCGCTTAAAGTGACTCGTCACTCCATTTTTCCCGCGATTAAAGTGGCTCGTCACTTCATTTTTCCCGCGCTTAAAGTGACTCGTCACTCCATTTTTCCCGCGCTTAAAGTGGCTTGTCACTCCATTTTTCCCGCGCTTAAAGTGACTCATCACTCCATTTTTCCCGCGCTTAAAGTGACCCGTCACTCCATTTTTCCCGCCCTTAAGGCGACTTGTTAATCAACTTTCCTTGCAGTTAAGCTAACTTGTCACTCCATTTTTCCCGGGTTTGAGTGACTCATCACTCCATTCTTCTTACCCCTAAGGCGACTTTCCAATCGAGTTCCCAGTAGTCAGATGACTTGTCGATCCACTTTTCCCGTGGGAGTTAGTTTGCTTTTTCTTTGCCTCAAACCCTCATCGGGTCACTGTTATATTCTCCTTGGTGCCTTTTGATGACTGTGAAAAAAAAAAAGATGAAATAAAATGGATGTAATTAACACAAAACTAGCCAGTGATAGGCGTTTCGTTTCGTTTCGAAGCTGTGTGCAGCATTTACAGGAGGCGAGTTCTGGTCAGCGGTTAACCGCCCACCATTTTTTTTTTTTTTTTTTTGGTACTGAAAAGAAAAGGAACTTCCAGCATCCTTTAGGAGGAAAGAAATGAGGAAAAAGCTCCCAATATCTATGTTCAACTGCACTATATTTGTCTAAAATAATTTTTATTGAAACGACACCCCAAGGTTCGCTGTGTTTGGAGCTTAATGAAGTGTTGTATTTTTCATCACACTTTACAAGTTAAAGATTTTAGAACGCTTGTATTATTTTAAAATTGTGTATGATAACATTTTGAATTATGAATAGGGCACCCGTAATATTGTTATGAATTTAAGAAATGTTTCCCAAGAGTTCTAACAATTCTTATTCATTTTTTTTTCAGCTGGAGGTTCTCGAGCTGGACACGAATTCTTATCGTATCGGCCAGTCCAAGATCTTCTTCAGGGCAGGCGTGTTGGCTCATTTGGAGGAGGAACGTGATCTGAAACTCACAGAGATCATCACTGTTTTCCAAGCCTTCTGCCGTGGGAACATCGCAAGAAGGCACTATAACAAGCGGGTTCAACAACTAAGCGCTATTCGCGTTATTCAACGAAACTGCCTCAGTTACCTTAAACTGCGCAACTGGCAGTGGTGGCGCCTATTCACGAAGGTGAAGCCGTTGCTCAACGTGACCAGGACAGACGAAGCGCTACGCGAAGCCCTCGACCTAAAGAAAGCGAACGAAGAGAAGTTGGAAAAGTCTGAAGCAGCGGTCACCGAGCTGGAGAGGAAATACAGTCAGGTATCTGAGGAAAAGAGTATCATGCAAGAGCAGCTTGAAAGAGAACGCGACGCCTTCCAGGAGGCTGATGACATGCGTCAAAGGCTGCAGACCCGAAAGCAGGAGCTGGAAGAATTGTTGAACGATCAGATGGAGCGATTTGACGAAGAGGAAGAAAAGGTTCTTAGTCTTACTGAAGAGAAAAAGAAACTGATGAAGGATATTCAAGACTTGGAGGATAGGTATGTCTGTTTTAAACCGTCCAGTTTGAGAGAAAAGTTATATAGTAAGGTTTGACAGGCAGTTGGAGTCCTTTTTGCCAGGAATTGTCTCGCGTTATGTAGTTAAATGAACTCTCGGCTTTTCAAAATGTGCCCGTAATCTTTTGGTTCAAGTAGCATAACCATAGTAACTGCGATTGTGTGATGATGACGAAAATTGAATACTCCCTGGTGTTGAACCCAGGCCCTGCTGAAATTATCTTTACCCTTGAGTCTCAGAGAACTCGTAGGTGAGCGAGGCATATCTGTGCGACTTGTATCAGGACAAGATTCCGTATTGTTAAAAGGAAAATGGGAAATTTTCAAGGGAGAAAAGAAAACAATTAGGTCAACCCTATTTAAAGCACCAACACAGGGCCCGACCACAATAGTGGGTGCTCCCTACGGTGTTGCATGTTTGCGTGTAATCTGTTTTCCTGTTTTGCCTCTTGTGCAGCTTGGAAGAGGAAGAAGCTGCCAGACAAAAGCTTCAGCTTGAGAAGGTCTCTGTTGAGGCCAAATTGAAGAAGCAGGAGGAGGACCTGACTTTAATGGAAGACTCCAATTCGAAAGTATGTTTCTGACAACTTTATTGAGAGTTATTAGACAGTAATTTGCAGAAGAAAAGTCATTTTTTTCAGACTGTGCTATGATCTATCCATGGCACTCTTTCTTTGATCAAGTATTGTTTCCGTCTGAATCTTAACCCTTTAACTCCCAAAGTGACAAAAAAAAATTTCTCCTTACAATATCAATGCAATATCAACCAGATAAGTGATGAGAATAAAGAAAAATATCAATCTGGGGATAATTATTTGATCCAATACTAAATTCTCTGAACTAACATTACAAGGATTGTATGGTTGACAGTAAGGAGAATGACAAATTTGATCCGGGAGTTAAAGGGTTAACGTTACACCTTATCTCTCCCGGGATAAACTCTTGTGTTGAGTCTATACTGACACGGTATGCTTTTATTTCAACAGTTGACGAAGGATAAGAAATCGTTAGAAGACAAGCTACAGGAGACAAATCAAGCTCTCGCCGACGAAGAGGAGAAAGCTAAAGGCTTGGCCAAACAGAAAGCTAAACAGGATGCTCTCATTGCAGATCTCGAAGAACGATTACGAAATTCAGAAAAGGTAGGCAATGAGTTGGTCCAAAGGTGATATTGATTTTTTTTTTTAGTCTCTGTGATGGAGATACCGTCAAGAAATTTCATCTCTCTTGGAGTCTGTCCTATTAAAAGGATAATAACGATGACGTAACAGTACGGTGTCACTCATAGGTTGACAGTGTAGAAACAGGTCCGTAGTGCGTACGCACTGTATATCGATTGGCAAAACCAACGCAATCTTGGATTACTTTCGACACTCAATTGGAAATGTCTGCTTTCCAGAATTTGATTGCTTATATTTATGTCATGTCAGGCTTGCCAAGACTTGGAAAAAATCCGTCGAAAGTTAGAGGCTGAACTCGCTGATGTCCATCACCAATTGGAGGAAGCCAAACAAACGGTAAGAAACTGACGTCATTGATTGTGGTAGATGCTCAGTGACATGATAAATCAATGGAAAACGGAGGAGGAAGTCGGTAGACATTTGTGGATTCTGAGTTCATTTTGGTTCTGCACTATTTTACTGATATAATAATATTTATTTTGTGTTAAAGATCCAAGATCTGGAGGCGACCATTCACAAAAAAGACATGGAATTGAATGACTTGAATGCCAGGTACAAATATTATCATAGCGTTGCTTGTTTGTAAATTAGCTCATTGGGATTTGGAGCTCGTTTTAATGATGTAGATTGAACGTTTGGTTTGTGTTTCATTCAGGGCTGATGAAGAATCTGCCAGGAGAAGCGAGCTCGAGAAAACCAAGCGAGAACTGGACAATCAGTTGGAGGAACTGAAGGAGGATTTAGAGGCTGAGAAAAGTGCGAGGACAAAGGCCGAGAAACAACGGCGGGAACTCGGAGAGGTGAAGAAAACAGATCATTATTCTGCACTCTGCAATAAACTTTTCGGGTTTCAGTCGGTAACGTAAGAATACTCGGGAAAAGGAAATTCCGATTGCTCTTTATAGAATTCGAACTGATGATCTTCCGATTACTGCCTGAATGCTCTACCACTGAGCTAATAACGTAGCTAGTCAGGGTATTATTTGAGGTTAAAAAAGTTATGACTGTGCAGTGCCAGATCTAGATGTTCAAGGTTTCATTGAATACGGTATCTCAGCATCTCTTATTGCAGATTTTGCTGTATTTTGTGCAACACAGAGGTTCAGTTTCAAATTATTTGTTTTTAGGAATTGGAGTCCCTCAAGTCGGAACTCGAAGAATCGATTGACACCACTGCTGCTGCTCAGGACATGAGGAACAAACGAGAAGAAGAGCTGATGAAACTTAAGAGGAGCGTGGACGAAGAAACTGTAGCACACGAGGCTGCCATGGCACAACTTCGGCAGAAACACACTCAAGCAGTGGAGGAACTGAACGTAGAACTGGAAACAACCAAAAAGGTAACATTTTGTAGTGTTCTTCAAAGAATTTCCATTCTTTGTTTATAATCGCCATAGCAGAGCCGGAAGACAGTGGAGTCTTTCTAACAGGTCCAAGAGGCTAAAACAAAACAAATTCTAGTTAGAGGTACACGTTTCGTAGAGAGTCTTGAATTCTTGAACCATTGTGCGTAAAGGAGGTCAAGGTTTGAGAGCAAAGGACGAACCAAGAAGTTTTTTTCCTAAGCTTAACCCTTTAACTCCCAAGATCTGATTGTTAATTCTCCCCTCTAGCAGCTACACATTTCCTTGTAAATTAGTTATGAGAGCTTGGTGCTAGATCAAGATAGCAGCTTCTACCTGATAAGTTTGAATATTCTCATTACCTGTTTGCTGAAGAATGTATGGATATCGTAGGGAGAAGTTTCATGTTAATCACTTCTGGGAGTTAAGGAGTTAAGCATAACGTAATGAAGAAGAAGTTTTGGTGCAAACCCTGGACAACTTCTTTTCTTCTCTCTCCAAAGTCTTAAATTTTACACGCAGAAATGTTTGGGAACCACCTAATACTATCAACGCAAACAACTTTATTCCCATAAATAATTAATCGCGAAATGCTCGCTCAGTGGTTGTCTTAGGTACTTTCGTAATTTCTCCACCATGCTTACTTACCACTCTTTTCCTTTAATCTTTTAACTCCCATAAGTGACCAAGGCAGAATTTCTCCCAACAATATCAATACAATATCAAGCAGACAAATGATGAGAATAAAGAAAATAGTCAATTGAAGGAGTGACAGTTGATCCAATACCAAATTCTCCAAACTCACTTAATAATAGTTGAATGGAAGACAAAGAGAATTCATAGTAAAATCTTGGAAGTGAAAGGGTTTACTCGCTAAGGGTTCTCTCCATCCGTTATATTCTCAGGGCAAAGCTCAACTTGAAAGAGCCAAGGCACATTTAGAGGAAGGCAACTCGCAACTGAAATCCGAAGTCGAGGAATTAAGCAGTCGAAAGACCGAGGCTGAACGCAAAGTGAAAGTGTTGGAAAACCAAGTCGCTGAGGCGAACGCCCGGCTCACCGATGATGAACATCAAGTCAGTGAGCTACAAAGTGCCAAAGTTAAATTACAGAAAGAGATGGAAACGGCAAACACTCAAGTGGAGGAACTTGAATCCAGGTGTTCGACTGCAGAGAGAGCAAAGGCCATGCTTGAATCGCAACTTGCAGAAACACAGGTAAAAACCGGGATTATTGTCGCGACTTCTGGTCGTCCAAGAAGAGCAAATTTACATTGTTTTGTGTAAATACGTTTTATGGTTTAACCCTAAAACGTGTTCACCACATTCAATTAAATGTCGTCACGTTGTGCCGAATGAGTTTCCGAAGTGGTTTTTCTCAGCTTGCTCGTTGGTACTGAAAATGAAAAATAAAACAGTAAAAAAGGTACTTAATCAGGGGCAACATGAATACTGTTCGTGACATTGCGTAGGCTCAGTGGTAAGTCCATTGCGCACGTCACTGGCATCAAATTTCTCCGCTTTGTCACCGGTTGCAAGTTTCCTGCGCTCGGCTCCGATTTGTTACGTGGCTTGATTGGTTTATTCCTTTGGTGTGATCGTGACTGGTCAGTTATAACAACTTGGAAGGTGACAAGAAATATATATCAAGTTGTCTAAAAACTTCTTGACTTTTGTGGTAATGCTAAGAAAATTTTCTTTCTCAGGAATCTTTATCAGATGAAACCCGCCAAAAACTTGCACTTAGCAATAAACTCAAAGATTCTGAGGCAGAAGTAAATCGCCTGCAAGATCAACTCGACGACGAAGAAGACGCCAAGGTCGCGCTTCAGAAGAACCTCTCCCAAGTTCAAGCGCAAGTGAGTGAATGAAGAATCTTCTTTTACGGAATTATATCTTGGAAAAGTTTAAAGATTTATTATTGGATGTATGTGTGGCTCAAATGCCATTTCAATTTCGTCCGTTGCAATTTGGATTGCTAAATAACCTAGCTATTTATTTATTTATTTTAATTTCACTTCTCAGGTCGGAGAACAAAAGAAACTTGCGGATGATCGCTCCGCACTTCTTGAAGAGGCCGAGCAGGCCAAGAAAAAAATGGCGCGAGAGGTTGAAACCCTACAAGCACGTGTAGATGAACTAAGCGCCAATAACAGCAAACTGGAGAAAACTAGGAAAAGATTGCAAGATGAGGTCAGCGATAGGCCTAGCAATATTGCTTTTACTGTTGATTTGAATTTAAAAATCTGGTCTTAGAAGGGTTACTTGGAATAGATGGCAAGCTGACGTAGTCATTAGCTTTATAACAGCGTTATTAGTGTAGGCTTGGATCAACAAATCGGTTCGTAGAGGGGCTATGAACGACAGTCGATAAAGATTATTATACATTAGACTTGCTGTGAAAAATCTGATTGGTTGAGAGCATCAATCAATATTCAATAGCGTGTGAAGTTGACATGATAATGTAACAACTGCCGTAGATATTGCAGTTATCTTGTCGTGTTCAAAGTCTCTCTAGTTTCCGAGCCCTTCGTCCTTGTACTGTTCTCGAACTTTTGCAAAATCAGAAAATGTCTTCTTTTGCAGATTGTTTAAAAAATGTATACTAATACAATTATTAAGTTCGGCTTTCGCATGATATCATGCATTTTCAAACCTCGTGTCTGGGTTACCTGCCTCAGCCTTCGGCTTCGGCTGATAACTTATATCTCAGTTTCGAGAGTTCTTGATATCGACTCAACTTCATCCAATACACATTCAATTGCTTATTACAACCTTTACCATTTCTCAAACAGGTCGACGATGTGCAACTCAACTTGGAGAAGGAGAAGGCTCAAGTCAGTGCCCTGGAGAAGAAACAGAGAAAGTTTGATCAGGTTGGTTTGGCTTGGAATTGCTCGCGAGGTGTTTGACACCTATTGTTTTCCGCCACTGGCAGGTAACTGTAAGAATACAGATTTGGGTGGAAGACGAAGGATTAATGATGGAGTTAACTACAAGAAGAAATTCAAAATTGGAAAAAAAAGTGCCAAGAAGCGTTGATCCTAGCTGTGAAGTATCGAAGATTTACCCACAGGCTTAAACTTATGAACAACGTCTTATTGTGCAAGGTTTGCTTTGCGCATACAGAGCCTGGATGCCACAGGCGACTAAGTTTTGTCATAGGATGACTCGTATTGCCCTGATAAAAGCGTTTTAGGAACTGGGCGGTCCAAACTCGCTAGAACAGAGCCCTGAAGCAACCAGAGATTCTTTTCAAAGAACAAAGCTTTGAGCTCGTGAAAGTACTTCAGAGTACCTCTCAGCAGGATTGCCATGTAGGGTTACGACCACGGACTTGTAAATAAGACAGAAATCCTTAGTTGTTTTTCATCTGATCTGAGAGAGAGATTGTTAATGTGTCTTTTCTCCTATATTGCAGTTGCTCGCAGAAGAGAAAGCCATTTCTGAGAAGAACGCTATGGAAAGGGATAACGCTGAACGAGACGCCAGACAGAATGAAACAAAGGTATGTGTCTCCAGTTGTCCTTTCAGTGATCAAACTTTCATTTCTTTGTACAATACCAAAAAAATTTCGGGTGGGCAGGTGAGCAGAACAATAGAACTGATCAGCAAGCTGGAATCCTCTGCCAATGTATCATTTTTACGTCCCCCAAACCAGCGTGATTTGGAGTTAATTTCTCACTAACACTTTACTTTGCTTTCTCTATCGCTGCAACGAACTGTATCACAATCACGTCTGACAAGTGTGCCACGGTTTCACGAACTACTTCCTAAACCATTCGTGTGCTGTTATTTGTCCAGGTTATCTCTCTCACGCACGAATTGGAGGAGCTTCAAGAGAAGCTTGGAGAAACTGAAAGAGTCCGCAAGGCTGCACAGAATGAACTCGAAGCCATGATGGAAAGCAAAGATGACTTCGGCAAAAACGTGCACGAGTTGGAGAAGGCTAAACGGTTGTTAGAAGCTCAACTCGAAGAGAAGAAACAACAGATCGAAGAACTTGAGGACGAGCTGCAGATCACCGAGGATGCCAAGCTGAGGATGGAAGTCAACATGCAAGCCGCCAAGACTCAGTTTGATAGAGAACTGGCTGCAAGGGACGAGCAGAACGAAGAGAAGAGGAAAGCGTTACTCAAACAGGTGGGCATCGCTATCATAATAACTCATGACCGAAAATCACAATTATGACTAAAATTCTTTCGGGTTAGCCTTGCATTTGCAAATCTTAAGACCTGAAAAGGTTTATTTATTTCAGTAATCAATTCAATTGCGGATAGAACCTTTGACTGTCTTAGTTCTCCGTTCCATGTTTTCACCATTTCATTCCCAGAGGTGATTACAAGTAACTCCTTCACATGTCTAGAATAGACAAAACGATGACGATCATTGTGACCTAAAATGGGAGGGGTGGGTGGGGTGGTTTAACGTGATAAAACACTAGACTACCTCACGCAGTTAACGAAGAAAAGTATGAAGCAATTTTCAATTACTTTGGTTTTGCTTTACTCTGCTCTGTGATTGGTCTAGAAACTTACATTTCCTTCCCTCTTACCTATCGGATGAGAAACTAACAGCAATAGACTTGTTTTGTTCGCCTGTTTTGTTTACCCATTTACACATTTCAGCTCATGTGATCATGCTCTAGAGAACTGTTTCCTTCAAAGTCCCTCTTATTCACGCGCATATGTACGCATAATTTACAAAAGATAAAACAGGGAATTCCCTTGCGACCTGGAATGGGTAATCAAAATATCCAAGTTAAGAGGTCTATCGTGACCTTATCGCTCGCGTTTTCCCGCGCTTCTGACGGAGTGCCAGTTTTCACTTTGATTTCTCATTAGGTAAGGGCTATTTATTAATCGTTTTGGTTACTTTGGTTTCGGTGCTCCAACAGCCAGAGTGGAAGGTTTACTACTCGGATCTTGCAAGTTTAAGGGTTGAAAATATCAATGATAATTCGTGTGCTTTGGTTTTTCCAGCTCCGTGAACTTGAGAGCGAACTGGATGAAGAGCGCAAGGGCAGAGTTAGCGCTGCTAACGCTAAGAAGAAGATCGAAATGGATATGGCTGATCTGGAAGAACAACTTGACGCAAGCAACCGTGTGAAGGAAGATGGCATCCGTCAACTGAAGAAATACCAACAGCAGGTTAAGGATATTCAGCGAGATCTGGACGACGCCCGACAAGCGAGAGACGAGATATCTGAGCAAGCCAAAGAAAACGAGAGGAAAGCCAAGCAGCTGGAGGCTGACTACTTACAAATGCAAGAGGTACGGGGTTGTGCCAGGAAACATGACCAATTTGAACTCCTCTAAAATTAATCTGAGACAACTTTTATCGCCGCTGAAGTCGCCCAGATAACCTTTTTTACTGACCTCGGTGCTTGCGAATTTCCATCGTGTCTGGTGATTGGACAAAAAGATTCAGAAAACTGCGAATATCTGTAGGAAAGTTTTACTAGATTTAGACGAGTGTTTCATTCTTCCCATACAAAATTAAAACTTGTGTTCTTGTTGGAACAATTATAGCAACAAGTGTTAAAAGAGTTATCGTTCTTTCTGATTTCTAGGATCTTGCTGCTGCCGAACGAGCCAGAAAGAGTTTAGAGTCGGAAAGAGACGAGTTAGCAGAAGAACTAGCGAGTTCAACTCATCTCAGGTAACATTAAAACTGCTCATAGCGATAGCGACACTATCAGCTCATCAGATGCAAGATTAAGGCTACTTGCGAATTTTCCTCTCATGGCCGATTACTTTAATTTCGGTACTTGGAGTTCTTACTGGCTTTACACTTATTTCGAGTAACCGTGGTGAATACTTTTGTTTTATTTTTTTTCGACACGATGAATTGGCGCCCTGAATTTAGCGCATATTGACCGAATTAAGGTGAATTATTAAATAATTTTTGTTAGAACTGAAGAGGAGAAATACCAAAAGGCAATTGAATAAAGATCACTTCAAATGTCCCGAATTCTACCTGGTTTGTCCATGACACAAAATGTGAGGAAATATTTTTTGCATCGCACAGCGTTTTCTTCAATTAGAAAGGAATAAAACTTGTTTTGAAAGATGGCAAAAGACTAAAGTGACTATGAGCTACTGAGGAGGAACAAATAAAGAAGATTGGCTTGGATTGTAAATGAAAAAACTTGATCAAACCATACTGTTTATTTCTTCATGATTCCTCTTGCAGTTGCTTAACTTTCTTTGCTTACGTTCCAGGGGCTCTGCTGCCGACGAGAAGCGCAAACAAGATGCACGCATCGCTCAACTGGAAGAGGAACTCGAGGAGGAAAGAACTCAGAACGAACTGCTGATGGAGAAATACAAGCGGGCTAACATGCAGGTTTGTGGGAAGAGTTGTGACCAGCTGGAATTGATTAATGCTGCTTGAGTCAAGTTGAATTCATTGTGTATTATTTTTATATTGCAATAACAGATGGAACAATTCCAGACAGACTTGAACTCTGAGCGAGCTGCATTACAGAAAATGGAGAGCGCTAAGCTGACGTTAGAGAAGCAGGTAAAAGAGACCAAAAGACAGGTTCATTTATTTATTAATTCCATTATCTATTAATTTCTTTCTTATTTATTTATTTTGTTAATTTCTGTTATGTTATTCTTTCAGAACAAGGACATGAAGGTAAAACTAGCGGAGCTTGAAAGCCAGACGCGCGCCCGCAATCGGATGACCGTGCAAGCACTGGAGAACAAATTAGCAACATTGCAAGAACAACTTGATGCTGAGTCCAAGTAAGTAACAAAAAAAGTTACTCAATCTTCGATCCGCAATCCTCTAGCGTGTAAAAGTGGAGTTGGAAGAATGGAAACGAGGATACTGAAATACGTTTCGGAAAGACGAATCATTTTCGGCAATTGTTTGGCAACTTAGTTATTCTAATTTTTTCAAAGTTATTTCTCACTTTTGAGGCTGCCATTACGGTGCCTGGACGGTTAAGGCGGAGGGACGGTAAACGTGTCCGCGTCTTGCTCTGTCTCTTCGCTATTCCGCATTCACTAGATCTTAGTTCCTTTCCAACAAATTTTTAAACAATTTATGTTAATTACGTTAAACTAGAAGGCCGTGAACGCTTTCCCTACGTGTCGAAATGGTTTTCATAAACTGGTGTGATGTTACAGGGGGATCGATGTCAATATCTGAGCAATTGCACCCTTACCCCTTCCCTTACTTAACATCAGTCAACGGATAACAAGTTAGGGTTAATGCTGGGTTAGGGGAGGGGTAGGTGCTCAGATACTGACTTTGATCCAAACTGGGTCATACGCAGGGAGGAAATTGCATAGAAAATGTCAATGTGCATATGAGGCATATTTTGGTTAACCATAATGTGTGCCCTGCTTCAGGGAGCGTTCAACCATGGCCAAGAACAACCGCAAGCTCGATAAGAAGTACAAAGAGGCAGTGTTGCAAGCAGAGGAGGAAAGACGACATGCTGACCAATATAAAGAACAGGTTTGTGTAATAGTGACATTTTTTTTTATTTTTATTCGGCTAAGAAACCGTTCAATCAAAGATTTATCATCAGTTCTGTTTTGGACATATAGAGAACTTTGTGAAGTCTTGAGAAGCAAGTTGCTCCGGTGGAATATTTTTTAGTTGTACTGTCTTTTAAGGAGACGTGTGATCTGCGCCCTAAGAGTTAAAAGCCTTTTTTGCAACATGCTTTAATTATGTAATATATCTTTTACTCTTTGGGAAAGTTATTTTGAGTTCGTCGTTTTCCCAATTGCAAAATGACAAGAGTGCTAACAGATCTTTGTGGTCGTTCAAAGGAATAGTGACATCAATCATTTTTTTCCAAGGTTACTTTGAGGTCTACCTCGCACTCGATCTTTCCCTCTTTGAGAAGCTCTTTTTAAAAAGAATCCTATTGGAAAATAGCCTCATCAAGCCTCATCTTGAATATATTTTTTTGACTCCCTACAGATGGAAAAGGTAAACACTCGTGTGAAGACCTTGAAGCGATCTGTAGATGAGGCGGAGGAAGAGAACACTCGACTCAATGCCGCCAAACGCAAAATTCAACGAGAACTGGATGACTACATTGAAGCGAACGAGGAATTGACCCGCGAAGTACAAAGTCTCCGGAATAGGCTCCGGTGAGTGCCGACCTTTTTGTTGCCACAATTTGAACCCTTCGGTTCAAAAATCTTTCAGCGTGTGTTTCGAGTTTTGTTTTTTCTTCAGGAACACTTAATTGGGCTTGGGATTCCTATGATGTTCCCGCCTGAGCAAGGACAGATAAATGGTGTGAATAGTCGAAGATTCACCGCATCTTGAGCGTGTGATTCGATCTCACTAGTAATTCTCCTTACTGTCTGTCCAATGAATCTCATTGGAGAAATTGGTATCGAATCAATAAGTAACCCCATAATTGATATTTTTCTTTATTGTCATCATCTGTATACATGATATTGAATAGATACAGTAAGGAGAAATTATGTCTTGGTCACTCACGGGAGTTAAAGGGTTAAACGCTCCGGAAAGGACTCGATAATGCAACAAGTTTCAAATTTAGTTGCGCGATTTGACTATTGGACTATCCTGCAATCGCTTCTTCCTGTACGCCGATACAAAAGGATGGGACTCTTGCAAGATTTTAGACTTGAACAACGTTTGCGCATCGCGAAGACCGTTGCATGCAATTCTGAGCTTCTCTCTCTCTCTCTTTTTCTCAGGGGCCGCGGTGGTGCAACAACTCGCAGTGGATTCACCACTCCCCCAGAGCCAAGAAGAAAGTCTACCAGGGCAGATAGGTCCGCCGACGTAGGGGACAATGATATGGCACCTGAACCAGACGCAGAATCATAGAATCCACCCCCTCTCCCTCCCTCCCTCCCTCCCTTCCTCCCTCCCCTCAGCCACTACCTCATCCAGCTTCAATTGTCTCTCTTTCATTCTTAAATTTATCTCCAAAAGTCGTGACTAGTTCTTTTTAATTTAAAATTTGGTTTCAATTGGGTAGTTTTTGTAAGGAAAATATTCTGTTTGCGAGATAGTTCATCATCAGCTTTCATAGTATGATAACTGTATTACATATTACCGTGACTTTGGAGTATCTAAATCGCCTCATAATAAAATACGCTAATCAAGCGAACGAAACTTTGTGTTTTCGGTCGTAGCACAAAATCTCCTTAGTCGATATTTTTGGAATATTCTGTGTCTTTTGTCAGTCTTTCTTAGTTGTGATTTCTGTTCAGCTCTTTACCTCTGACTTGAGGAAATTACCATGATAGAAAGATCAACATGTAAAGTTTTTAGACAGATTAAAATAAAAGAACTGAGAACTATTTTCAATGAAATTTAAAATAGAGCCCTTATCTTAGTGATCGCGGGAAGGATATGAGACCGGGGTAGTGGTACTTCAAAGTGTTCGGGACGATCTGACATGGTTGGCACGGATTTCAGTGTGCCGTTATTGATCTTTATTAACGTAAAATTCAAGGATTTGTGTTATAGTATTGTAGTTTTTCATGAGATTATTGTGCATGGAGTTTTGATATTTACAATCCTTATGACGGTTAGTCTCGTTTGCAGCGAGTGTTACGCTGCAGTAGTGTTGCGTGACCAAGCTTATCGATGCTGCAAAGGAGACTGTTTACTAAGAAGAGCTAACTTTTAAATGTAAACATTTATATTTGTGATGTACTTACTAGTCGATTAGTTACTGGAATAAAAAGTGCAAGTCTGTTGAGGGTTTGCCGTGTTTGCAGCAAATTACATGGCTTGCCACGCAACTCTCGGTGACCAAGTTGTACTGTGAAGGCGAAGAGAGCTGAAACAGACTCTTGTGAGGCCTCTGAGATAAACATCCTAAAATTATCGATAATTTCTATTTTATAAGCTGCAAATTTATGGTGATTAGAATAAAAATTTTGTTGAACTACTGGATTGGTGGTTTTACACTCAAACGACTGTTGCGCTTACAAAGTGCGTCTTTAGGAGGAGTAAGTGGCGGTTGGTTATACTTGAGGCCTGCATTTTTCGAAATATTATCTAAGGGGCAGCCTGAACGAAATGAAAATCATCTTACACTCTATCTAGAACAAGTAAAGAAAAATAATTCTCGTCCAGTCTCGAGTTATTCACCGCACCGCCTCACGCTTTTCATCCCTTTACACTTTTTATGTACTGGCCCCCACAGAATTGCGATTCCTCTTGAAAGTAGCTTTTCTTTGTTGTTTTTTTTTTTCGGTTTTGTTGAATTGGAAAATTGTCCTAAGCTATCAGTTCGAGGGTTACCCGACATAATGGGCGGTTACTATGGCGAACCATTTGTGCCAAAAATATAGCCTACGTGTAGCCGCTAAACCGTACCACTTCGAAAAAATATTACCAAAATTAAGCTACCAAAAATATCAATCGCTAGTGATAAAACTAAATCGTTAATGCTGAAATATTCATCGAAAGTGATAAAACTCAATCTTTCGTGCAAGTGTCGATTTGTTACCGATTCTAATTTGAACCAGTCTCCCGCTTGTTAAGCAAAGATGAACCCATCAAATCCTGCTTATTTTCTTGAAATCTGATAAGGGACATTGCAATGAGAATAAAGGTAAAGACAGACCGGCACAGACTTCCAATGTGGCTTTTGTGATCGTTTTCAAATTATATTTTTTCTCTCACCAGCGTGTCTTAAAAGGATTTTCCTTTTTTGTAAGAGATGATTGGAGGTTTCGTAAAATTTTTTTCAGCAACGGCTGATCGTGTAACAGACTCCACTGCTTCATCAGTATTTGTTTTAAATTTTTAACTGCCGGGTGGTACGTTGTGACAAAACGCACTAAACGTTCGTGACCTTTTCGCTTTTGTATATGTGTAAGAGCCGATTGTCTGAAGGCAAAGTTGACCTCGGGCAAAGACCTTCATATGATGTTTTCTGGGTACCCTCTTGCTATGAGGCGTTGTTTTAATTTTAAAGGCCCTCTTCAAATGTTTCTTTCGAAGAGTTAGTTCTAAGCAATCTTACTGCTTCGCCTTTAATGAAACCATATTTTACGCCTAGTGTGTGATACGAGGCGAAGTGCGTAAATTGGAAGGAAAATGGGTTTTGTTGTCCAATATGAAATCTGTTGCGAATCTCTCTCCTTTAAACACTGTGGTATCGAAGAAAGTGATTTGGTTCCTTGATATTTCGGCCGTGAATTTGATAGTAGGGTGGAAATAGTTAGCTCGTTTAATAAACCGTTCTACCTCTTTTCTGTCGCAATCCCAAAGGGAACAAATGTCATCTCTGTAACGTTTTCATTCCAATGGCTTGGTCTCGCTTTGTTGGATTATTTCGTTTCAGTTTCCGCCATGAAAATATTGGCAAATGACACTGCCATATTTGTACCCCTAGCGGTTCCATGTGTTTCGATGTAGTTCTCCTCATTGAATTGAAAAGAATTTTCTACAAGAATTAAGCTAAGCATTTCCCTTAGCTTGTGCGTTGGGATCTGTGCGTTACGGTTGTGGAACTTCTTGTAAGCTCCACATTCTATATTCGTTCCTTCTTCTTATGGTGTATTTGTGAACAAGCTAGAAACGTCCATTGGTACTAGAATAGTATCTTTGCCTACCTTTGTTTTTTCATAAAAGTTGATAAAAACAGTGGTGTCCTTTATATAGGATTGTCGAGATAGGCTGGAGAGAAAGGTGTCTCCACTAACGATGAAATTCTCAGTAGGGCCGTCACACCCTGAGATTATAGGTCTACCGACCGGTATAGGTTTGTGTATTTTCATGAGCGTACAGAATATTGATACTCTCAATCTAGGCGGATTGGGAGTTTCTTAGTCATGTCATCAATGTGTTTGACCCGATACATTTGGTCAATGATCCCATTAACCCTTGCCGGTGTGTTTTCATGTTTACTATCGGTGCTTTAAGAGGTTTGTAGTCAACTCTGTTGTTGGGTTGCACTTTGGCCTCTTCTATTTTTTCTGTTTTATTCACGATGGCTGTTGTTGTACCTTTGTCTGCTGTTTTTGAGGTGTAAAGCAGAGTTGTTTTTCAACTCTTTTAGAGCCGTGACCTCATTGCGTGACAAATTATTTTTGGCTTAGCAGGTAATTTAGTGTTAACAACTGAGTTGAAAACGTAAATTAGCCACCGTTAAGGGTAAAAAAGTTGACGTTTCGAGCGTTAGCCCTTCGTCTATCGCCTATACTTGCTATACTCTCCCACCGACGCAGCACCACAGTTTCTTTAGAAACTTACCCCCTTTATTCTTTGGCTTAGTTTCGGTGATCTCTGCAAGCTGTGCTTTGACATTTTCCAAGTAGCTCTAAAAGACAAAAGAAGGCTGAACTGGTGGCATCCAGTTTGATTGGACATGAAACGGATGTGGTTCTTTGTTTTGTCCGTGAAAGTTGAATAACGCACCGATCCCAGCGCTCTGTCTCAGGAAAATGCTTGGATTGTGAAAGGAAAAATATAATTTGGAGGCGATAATGCGACGCGACCACAAAAGCTTCATGGGAAGTCCGTGCCGGTCCATCTTTTACGGAGCCCAGTTAGTGCCATCCCGTATTTCTCATAAAGTTTTTTTTCACGACTTCAACTTTCCTGTACGACTCAACATTTCAGAACGACTTAAACATTCCGGGGCGCCATTTTTTCTGGCTGTTTCCACCGGAAGACTCAACACTAGATCGTAATGTACTTGCTGTAACACTTTTTGGTAAAAACTCAATCTCGAACCCAGGGTCATTTTGTCAGCGGTATGGTCGCCAAATAATGACCTCTGGGAGAATCGAAATCGTCAGTCTTGAGCCCAGGGTCATTTTGGCTCCTTGTCAGCATCATGGTCACTTTGAAATCCGAGGTATGTCATGTATGGGGAATATTAGGACATTATATGTATGCAAAGTATAGGACATAATATTTATTGGGGATATTAATTATAATTATGCTCAGTGTGTTTGTCTTACACTCAATTTCTAGAAAATAAATCAGTTTTCAAATGAGGATAAAATATTTGCGTTGGCTTGAGTTAGACTGGTTCTCTGTATCGTCAATGAAATGAGAAGAAGTTAATTCAGACATGGCCAACTCGCTCGTCAACATCGGAATGATTGGCTCATTTCCTTGTTTTCACCTGCTCCTACTGACAAGAATAATCGCTATGGCTTTGTCTCTTTTTTAACGGCCACAAAACTGCTTTACTTTGGCCTTGTGTGTTCACACAAAACAATTTGACTGTTGACATCTCCACCAAGGCCTAAATTGGGACAAAATGGCATTCAATCGTAAGGTAAACATATTGTAGGTACTGTTGAATAACAGACCAGAGAAATTCTTTCCGGAAAGTTAAAGTGCAGGGAAGTTGAAGTCGTGAAGCCCCCTCTTCCCCCAAAGAAAAAAACGCACTTTCCCTAAGCAAGATTAACAGGCGAGAGATTGCTTCAAGTTAAATTCTATAAAAAATCTAGCTCTAGCGGTTGATTTTTTATCACCAGCGATTGATATTTTAGCACCAACGATTTAGTTTTATTAATAGCTGTTAATATTTTTGGCACAAATGGCTCCCCATGGGTTACTACTTCGAAACGGTTTCGTGCTCGGGCGAGTTCGAGATGGCTAAGTATCACATCTTGTCGGTGAATGAATTTTATTTAGTTTATTTTATTTAATTATTATCTATACACGAGAAAAAATTCATCGGGTACAAAAAAACAAATATATAATGGTAATAGGACCGAGTGAAGTCCGATTTTGTTAATCACTCGTATGATTAGAGACCGAATTGGATGACACGAAGTCCTGGCACGAATTAATCATAATTATTACAATTTCCGAAAACAAATACATTAAGACAAACATCTTCACTAAGGACAATTTATAATAAAGTTCGGATATAACGCGCACTGTCATTGGTTGAAAGAGCGTGCTCTATGAGAGTATAGAGCATAGAACTGAGCTAAAGCTGTCACGCCATCTGCCAAATTGTACTACGTTCGACCTTTTCCAGGACTTCTTTTTAGCTTTTTTTCGATAATTGAAAGTGAAATTTCGGAACAAGCGAGCCGGCAAGTAGCAACAGATGAGCCAAACAAAGGTTTGTAAACACATCAGGCGCCGTAATTTACATTATTAAAACGTGAGCAGATACGAAAATCCTCAAAGGAAAAACAAAATAGACATTCCGAGTTTTAAAGATTTTCACGCTCAATTAGATTGCAAGCTTACGTACGGTAATAAAAATCAAACACAGCTAACACTCGTATAGTATATAAAGTTCAGAGTTCAAAAACAAAACAAAACAAAACAGAAATTATGAAAAATGTAATCAAACTGACATAACTGTCAAAATTGATACTAATCATGACAGTGTCTGAG